CGCCGGGGCTGGGACAGAGCGTCGAGCAGGAGTTCCTGCTCGACGGTGCAAACGAAGAGCGCGCGCGCCGCAAGGTCCCGCCCGCGGACCTTGCGCGGCTCATCAAGACGCGAGAGGAGCTTGCCGCGCAATGGGCGCGCGCAGCAGCGCTGCCACCAGACCCCCGCGAGTTCGGCTGTTCTTCTGTTGGTGTTTTCGGTGGTAGGCAGTGTGCCGTGACGACTGTGGACGCGGTGCGCCTCTGGCGCGAGGCCGTGCACGCGAGCGACCTGTACATTGAGTACATGCACGACCCTATCGCGGGTCTCGAACGCTTGTGCGATCTCGGCTGGGTAGAGCTTGGCTTCTGTAAGAATTGCGTCGGAGCGTGGTGCGCAAGCTGGGCGAGGCAGCGGGAGAAGGTGTGGGCGAACTTGGAGTTGTGGTTGGAGTTGCCGAGGAAGGAAGAAGAGGAGGAGCTATGATATGTGACGAGGGGCCAGTGGCATGCGATCGTTTGTCTTTTCGACTTCTTGGGATAGTGTAATTAGGCTGAGGCGAACGTATGTTTCTTCTTGATTCCTTCTGGACGAGCGGGCTTAGGCAAATGATAGCGTCTCGCCCTGTGCGTGTGGGTGCTGACATTAATTATCTCAGGCACAGCAGATAAGTCTTGTGGTGCGAGAAGAATGAACCAATAAATGTCAAATCACTATTGCGCGCAGATGTACGTGACGCGAATCCTCACCCATACCCTCTGGTCTAATTTCTAGCAAGGTTATGTTTACACTCCGTAGACCCAATCAATCGTGAATACTCTAAGTTACAACGCTATCGCTCGTCGGGACTTTTAGTCTAGTTAGAGCAGCGAAAAGGCGACTATTTCTCGGCCGCCTGCCTACGGTGACTACCCGCGGCAACAACATAAGGCATCTGACTCATAATGCCGCCCTGAGAGTCCGGGCGGGGCATCGGGTGGGGACGCTTGAAGACGCCTCTACACCCCACCGAGGTGCGGTCGCCATGTGCTACCTGTAACAGGCCCCCGAGCCACCGAATTCTTCGTCGCAAGCGCAACACGCTGCGAATATAGTGAGAACCCAGGCACATGGAAGCAGAGCGCAGCTGATTTTATAGTCAGCGCTTTGTTGCTCACCTCTGCCACTGGTATACCTTCCGCAGCAAGATCAAAGAGCTATCTCCTTGTAATCAGCAGCTTCCCAGACACGCTGACGCTCTATTGACTGTGATAACTGCACATATTAGTCATGGGCGCAATACCAGCAAGCTGCGGTCCACAAATACCCAGGCCTGGTATATAAATGGCCGTGATAAGCGGTCTATATCACCTGCGCCGGCCTGCCACAGTTCAGTTCTCGGCGCCATCATGTCATCCACTGCAGACTCGGAGCTCACTGCCGCAATACCACTCTGGCCAGAGGGCGCGGAATTGAAGCACTATACAGGCGGATGCCACTGCAGGCAGTTCCGCTACAGATTGACCCACCCCGTGTTCGAAGAGGGGCAGTTCGAGGTTGTCGTCTGCAACTGTAGCTTCTGTACGGCGCACGGCAAGATGAATATGTGAGCTGCATCGGACTTTGACGTGCCTGCAGGAAAGCTCATATGCTTGGCTGCGTTCGCAGATACGCGCTCGAAAATAAGTTCGAGCTCCTGTCAAACAATGTCGAGGAGCTGAAACTGTATCAGTTCCACGCAAGGGTCGTCGAGCACTATTTTTGTCCCACGTGTGGCGTCCAGTTTTTGACGAAAGCGCTCGGTTATGTTGTAGTCAACGCGCGTACCGTGGATGGCGTCGACTTGATGAAGCTGAAGATCAAGCATGTTGATCTTCGGAACACCTGAGGAGGATAACATTACCGTTTGGGAGGGAAAGTAGATGGTATAAAGAAACAGGACGTGGTGGAGAGGCGGACTTAGCTTGACGGCAGCCCTATGAAGCCAATCATTTGCATGATTCAAAAAAACTTAGTCGGATAGCTGACCCTACTCAAGTCGTCCGTGCAAGTCCTTGGAGTTGAAATTCACGTTATTTTTCGTCAGGCACTGGGTTTTTGACCAATGCGTTTGGCACGGTGATCGTTATTTCAATAAATCTTCACAGTGAAGAAACTCGCCTTGCTCTAACTGAAAGGACAGAATAGGTTACACTACACAACCCAATCGTAGAGAGAATGCACCGTCAAACACACTTTTTTTTATTCCTAGTTGAAAAGTACTAGCAGCACACCATGCAGGTCACCGGCAAGCGAGAGCCAGCCCGTTGATGTACAGATGCAAGTCGCAGCGTACCACTGGGCTGATAGTGCACTGCAGAGAATTACATTGCGTTGATTCACATCTCCTGACGTTACAGTAGTCCTTGAATCGGCTGATTTTCACCAACAGACTGTTGCAACTCGCGTTAGAGAAGCGATATCGAGCTGCAAGTCCGCTAGCACTGGCTCCAAAGCTTACTACATGAGATACGGAGCTGGCGGCACGTAGCTGACAGTGCGCGTGCCCAAACGCGCGCCGTCATCATCCTCCCACTTCAGTGATATCTTACGCCTCGTCTGGGAGATTCACAACTCGCAACGGTGTCTGCCCGCTGCTATGTTGTGAGTTACTTTGCCATACCACTGGTAAAGGCTTGCATCCACCCCAAGCCGGGAGAGGCTTCACGGTGCAAGGAACAATCTCGGAAACAGGTAGAATTCGCCGGGTTTCCTAGTATTATGGCCCTGGTGCAAATTTTATTTAGTTTGTAGCTCTGTCTTTAATCTATGATTGTGCTTATTCTAAGCTTACCTTGTCTTGAGAGTCTTGGCGCCGCTGCGACTGGGCATTCCGGTGTCTGGTACATCTTGAGCGTGTTATGCAAGCAATCAGGGTGTTTTTCAAGAGCCAGCAATTTTTGTGATGAAGTATGGTCTTACGAGCCTGGAAGAGGATTACTGAGGGGGCTGTAGTTGTGTTGAAGCCGGGGCACACTGGTCTGTCCTGAGGACCCCGTGTACTCCGCACCGTTCACACCGGTTCAGGTTCACTCCGGATGCCATTTCTGGCGCGTGTGTCTGCCAAGCCTTTCTGACGCTGTTGCCCTGTGAGCAAGCTAGCCGCGGCCATCCGATATCCTCGAGACTTGCTTCAGCGTCGGCAGGATGCCGTTCGGGGTCTAGCTTAAGCGCTGCAGCGGATGCTTACACGGCAGCGCTCGCCTTGTTCCGCCCGCCATCGTTATCCTTTAGAGCACATTTTCTCCCAAGCTCCTCTGTGATCAAAATGAAACGGTCATGAACGTAGTTTACCCTTCAGGTGCCCCGTGTCTCTCTCTCGGACCCGGAGTTTCGGTTACCGCCTGTACCGAGGTCGTGGTCACAAGAAGACTCTATCGCTGGCATCGATGGGAACCAAGGCACCTTTTTACAGCTCTGAGCCTTCTTATTCTGCCCTGAACATGGAAAATTTACTTTGTGTGGACGGGATTTCTCCCATTTCTCGGGAGAGGCATGCGCGCCTGGCTGCACCCGCGTCCTGGTACGGTGCCGAAGCCGCATCAACAGCCCAGAGCTACAAGCAACAGTCTTCTGGGATTTCACTATTCTCACTGGTCACCCGGACCCACGGAAGTGTCTGCATGATGAGAATGTTCATAGTTCGGCACGCCAGGCTTGCCAGGCACAAGGCTTTGTATGTCCGCTCGATCAATCCTCTCGCCTTCGACTCTATGCAGGTGAAAACGACGGCATTGCAGACATTTGCAAACGGTATCGATATGTTGCATGTGTAAAGGCTTGGCAGACCAAACGGCTTACTACCGGAACTCTACGGATCTCGTGCCTTTGAATGCGTCAAGTGAGTATCACTCAAGCATGCCGCCCTCTTGGATAATCTTCTATCGGTACCAGGACTCTTAGCTGTACCAGCGACAGCGCATAGTAAGCTCCACATCGACTCTCGAGCCCGGAAGAGGGGGAAGGGGGTATGTACCTTGGTATCGGTTTTGCAGCACCAGCACATTTGACTTGCCTACTTCCTTTGATGGCTGTGTCAGCCCGCTCACCGTGTACAGCCTCGCATTATACGTGCTTCACCATGGCATTTCTCCCACAGACTTTCCGATGGACGATGGGCGCATCTGTCCCAACGTGGCAGAAAGCGCGTCGATGCAGTGCGGCTGCCTCGGCTGCTCGTCTTTCTCCCACCAAGCGTGCGCACCGAGGTCATTTGTTGACCCACAGTATGGGGTCCCTCATCGCTGGGGCGTCCCGACTGACAGGATTTGTCCACGGTCCCGCCTCTCGGAACCCACACTCCTGTGAGCGTCCAACGCCACTGTTCACGATTGGGCCGTAGAGCCTGCCACCTGTGACTGTGACTGAATAATTCACGCAGATTATGTCTGTATCCGTTGCTAGTAATAGGTTGGTGTATGTGGTATAAAAACGGGCCATCGTCGACGACGGTTAGCCAGGACGTCCAGTTCTACCTCCTCCGGTAAACCACTCAGTCTTTCAGACATCGCAATGGCCTTCTCCTCTCTTCTGGCCCTCGTTGCCCTCGTCGCGGTCACTCGCGCAGCCCCGACCGCAGTCTGCTCTGACGGCACTCGCGTCAGCAACTCTGCTTGCTGTGCTTTCATTCCTGTGTGTCATTACTGCATTCTGGCTTCTTATATCTTTGTTCACAGCTTCTATCCTTCATAGCTTGCTCAGGATCTGCAGGAGACCCTTTTCATGAATGAGTGTGGTGAAGATGGTTAGTCTATTTCAAACAGCCTTCATTCCGCCCTACCTAATCATGGCTACTTGCAGCTCACGAGGCCATTCGTCTGACTTTCCACGATGCTGTCGCGATCTCCCGCTCCAAGGGAGCCAAGGCGTAAGTCCTTACTTGGCCTGGCTTTTACCTGTCTGACGTAACGGTCCCACAGCGGAGGAGGCGCCGACGGCTCGATGCTCCTGTTCCCCACCGTCGAGCCTAACTTCTCGGCCAACAACGGTATCAGCGACTCTGTCAACAACCTCATTCCTCTCATGCAGAAGCACGACACCATCAGCGCTGGTGACCTCGTCCAGTTCGCTGGTGCCGTTGCCCTTAGTAACTGCCCCGTAAGCCTTACCTACGACATATTCTCCGCCCGCTTGCTCATATTGACATTGAATTTCTGCAGGGCGCGCCGCGTCTCGAATTCTTGGCTGGTCGCCCGAACAAGACCATTGCTGCCATCGATGGCCTGATCCCTGAGCCTCAGGACGATGTCACCAAGATCCTCGAGCGTTTCGATGATGCTGGAGGCTTCACGCCCTTCGAGGTCGTATCTCTCCTTGCGTCCCACTCTGTCGCCCGCGCGGATAAGGTCGACTCGACCATTGATGCCGCTCCCTTCGACTCAGTCAGTGGCTCGTCCAAGTGCTTATGTTTCCACACCTGACCAGCTCTCCTCTAGACGCCGTTTGTCTTTGACACACAGGTCTTCCTCGAGGTTCTGCTCAAAGGCGTAGGTTTCCCAGGAACGAACAACAACACGGGCGAGGTCGCCTCGCCTCTCCCGAACACCACCGGTACCGACACCGGCGAGATGCGTCTGCAGTCCGACTTTGCGCTCGCACACGACGAGCGCACGGCGTGCTTCTGGCAGGGCTTCGTCAACCAGCAGGACTTCATGTCGAACAGCTTCCAGCAAGCGATGGCGAAGCTCGCCATCCTTGGCCACGATCGCAACAAGCTGGTCGACTGCAGCGACGTCGTCCCCGTGCCGCAACCCGCCGTCAAGAAGCCCGCGACGTTCCCCGCGACGACCGGCCCGAAGGATCTTCAGCTCACGTGCCGCGCCGAGAGGTTCCCGACCCTCACCACCGACAGTGCGTGTCTCTTCTTTCATTCGAGGTGCCGAGTGCTGATTGTGTGTTCTTGCTGCAGATGCTGCTCAAGAGACTCTGATTCCTCACTGCCCCGACGGCAGCATGAACTGCACTACGGTCCAGTTCAATGGCCCGGCATAAATTTGCCCATAGGCAACTTTGGATACGATAGTTCTGATTACCTCGGAGTTATTGAGTCGTCGGATGTATAAGCGTCTCGACAAGTTTGAATATGTATCTATCTTTCTCACAAGCACCGTACAAAGTGATGCACCCCTATGCATTACGATCAGCCTGATCATGACAACTTGAAGCTCAAATATCCTCATAATGAAGTGTCAAGTAATATTGAACCCAAGACGCTTCGATCAACAGCACTTTCCTTATTCGTTTTCCTCGGCATTATCCGACATGTCAAAACTCTTGGCGCCTACCCCATTTCTCCCTCCAGACGTCACCGTTCCGTTCTCTTGTTCGCGTACAAGAGGCAAGAAATGCCTGATCCCTCATGTCTCCAACAAACTTACATTTGTATAGAACAATAATCTCGGAGGAAGACTGCTCAAACAGGTCTCGCCATCTTGACTGCTGCTAAAATACTGGCACGACCATTCACACGACTCGGGGTAAGGTTTATGCTGAACTCGCCTCCTTCGAGAGAACACGCTCATATTTTTAACGATAGCTCTGGACAGAATACTCCTCTACGAGGGCATGTGATCCTGCGCGGCGATTTCCAGCTTTTCAAAGACATTCGAACTTGACGCTCGCCGCGATGGAGCGCCACCGCTATCCTTCGCATCCGCGCAATAACATGGCTGTTACCTTCCTGGGAACAACGAGCGGTGGAGGTCCGACCGACACACGTAACTGTTCCAGTCTCGTCGTAGGTGCTATGGGTAATAATGAACTATGGAGTACGTCGTAAGAGGCTGTGGGTTGTTATACCTACCCATGGGGCCTGACCCACCACCTACCAGTGGTTGATTGTGCAGAAGGTACCGTGCGCCAGTTTTCCACACAGCCACATCGAGATGCCAGACGCGTCAAGATCAACGATGTCACGAAGATGTTCATTACGCACATGCACGGTATGACGTTTTGTACCGCGCGAATTGCGTCCGCAGCTGATTGGGAGACAGCGGATCATACAATGGGAATCATCACACTTTTGCGCAATGTTCTCGGGATGTATCGCGGCGACTCGCATGAGGGGCCCGTCGTGCCGAGGCCGGTACGGACGCCCAAAATCGAAATTTACGGCCCTAGAGGCATCCGCCACTTTATTCGCACCATCTTCACCCTCACGCATACACGATCGGCAGACCGATACTGTGTCCACGAGCTTCTGATGCACGGAGAGACTGCCTCCGCGTCCGCAAACGACGCCGAGCAGCTTCATCCGAGCGAAGAAGCTGGTACCGACATACCGTGCGGCGAAGACGGCTTCTGGAGGGGCGTTGTATCACATAAACTCCACAGAGGCGGAGCCAATCGTCTGGTTGTAGACGCTGGGCCGATCGTACACCGAGGTAAGCAATTGGCGTTTTAGACTCACGTCACCCTCGAGGACGCGTAACTTACGCGGCGGCAGATCCCTGCATTGGATACATCATCCGCGAAAAGCTTAATCTGTACCCCAATGTCGAACGAAACGAAGCTCCCTATACGTTGAAACCACGAATGATTGTCGCGCTGGGTGATACCTCCGACCCTACGGCGCTCATCCCGCTCGTTACGGAGGACCCAGATGCGCCAGTGTCGCTTTTGATCCATGAAGCGACTGACGCCTACATACCACCAAGTGTCGACCCCGACCAACGAACAGGCAAGAATCGTTCAGAACAGAGCGTTATGCAGAAGGCCGTTGAGAAGGGACACAGTACGCCCGCGATGGCTGGCTTGTTTGCGAGGCAGATCAGCGCGGAACGCTTGGCGCTGAACCATATCGGCTCACGGTACGTCCCCGCGATCTTGCTTGGGAATATCTACATGTACTGAAGGTATTATGTAGGTTCCCCGCACCGCCACACGCACCAAAATCCTTTCGCGACAAATTCAGAAGGGACTGCATGGCTGAAGTGGAAGCGCAGGCGACCCGCACGTGGAATCCCGAGAATGGTGCGAGCGCCATGGCTGTGTCTGACTTCGACCGGATTATTATCCCGCCGAACCCACTTGTACCCGTTGGGGCGCAGGAAAGCGAGGCAGAGGAAAACGCGGAGCATGGCGAGGACGCCGGGCAAAGCCCATCGACTTCGGCAGGCACCGACGTAAGTCGCGGATATTATGTTATCAAGAGAAGAAACATCTGCTTACGCTCGGGTGCAGGTCGAACGCAGCCAGGCGCACCATTCGAGCGATCCTGCAGAGCAGGGCAAACCGCGAAGCAGAGGCGGATTCCAAGGGCGGGATAAATCTCGGGGAGCTGGGAAGAAACGCGAACATAGCGGATGTACATCAAGGCGCGGCCATGATACCGGCAGGGGCGACGGCAGGCGTCAACACCCAAACCACAAGAAACAGAGACGACACGACGACGGGGCTTGAACCACTAGCACAGGACGTTCTGACACTGGGATACTTAAATCGCGTATTATATAAGAACATGCATTCAGTATGGGTAATCTTCTGATGTCCTAGCAGCGTAAATGTATGGTATCGTCTTACTGATCACTACCATAGCGGCCCTTGGGCGCTGGGCGCTGAGGGTGGTCTCGGATGGACAACTTACAACATGACATACATAAGTAACTGGTGCCGGCGCCGATCATGGGACTTTTCAGTTTCAGCTGCTAACAACCGAGGTTCTACGCGTATGTCCTCAAAACCTGCGTTGTAGGGGCACCCTTCTTCCCAAGATTACCGTATGTGTGCTTTGCTGAACTCAACCATCGATGAGCGGCGAGGCATGATGGAACAATATGGAGACGACTGGCCAGACAAGCCTGTGAGTCACACTATCTTGCTATCTGGTCGGCAGCTAAAGTCATGTGGATCAGAACGACTTGCTCCAATGGCTCATGGAAGCCGCAGAAGGGGTCGAGCGTGAGCCGAGGGCTCTGGCCGCCCGTTTGCTCGTAGTCTGCTTCGCTGCCATACATACGTCTGCTATGGTAGGCCACAAACCTTAGTCTCCTCAGCACTGCGTGCTGACTGTTTTAGCCCCTCAGAGCTTCACTCATGCTTTGTATCACCTGGAAACACACCCAGAGTACATGAAGCCACTGCGGGAGGAAGTTGAAGCTATCGTTCCGGAATTTGGCTGGTTGAAGGATTCGCTTCAGAAGATGCGCAAGGTCGACAGCTTCCTGAAGGAGTGTCAGCGGCTGGACAGCATCATCAGCTGTACGCCCTGCGCCTCATACCACTATGCATATTCTGAGAAGTTCGTACAGTTCTCATAGAACGCAAGGCAATGAATAACTATACCTTCTCCGACGGCACGTTTACTCCTAAAGGCAGCCACGTCTCAACCTCGAGAATGGTGACACACGTCGGTCGCGAGAACTACGACGAGGCAAGTGTCTTCAACCCGTGGCGGTTTTCCGATATGCGCAACGAGACAGGCGAAGGCACGAAACATCAGATGGTTAACATCAATATGCAATACCTTCCGTTTGGCATCGGAAAGCACGCTTGGTGAGTATTATCTCTAGGCCGTTGAGGTCGGCACATTGAAGGATTACTGTAGCCCGGGACGGTTCTTTGCTGCGAACATGCTGAAGACCATGTGGCGCATCTTGTGATGACCTACGACGTCCGCATGGAGAAGCCAGGAGAGATCCCGCCTAGATTTTTCTTTGGCCAGAGTATATTGCCTAACCAGACAGCGAAGGTCTTGTTCAGGAAGCGTAAAGACTAAGTCATATTCAGACGATATGGTATCAACTTCACTCAAGTTATTATCGCTGTAGCTGCTGACGATCGGTATGATATAAAAAGTCAGACGCGCTGGCTGAACTCTCGATATCGCCCCAATGACTGTACTATGATGGCCCCCTGGTTTATAAAGGCTCCTTGCTTTATGAAATCGACCTTGCTGTGAGTGGGACACGTTTGGCAGGCACGGAGAGTTCGGTTTTTTTGTAAGGAATGATGGATCGTTCAATCCCAGAATCCGAGAGATATCGGGCGTTCTGCCACCTAGCAGACCTGGACCGCCAACGTCACTAGTACTAGTATCATCAGCCGGCCGATGAGATGCTACTACTCCCATGCCTTGAGAACGTTTAGAAGGTTGTGGTCCCACACATATACCCTGCCATGGCAAGCTCTGTTATCTACCCCACGCGTGATACAGTGCACTGCTACAGCTCTCACAATGCAAGTACTACTCTAAAATGGCTGGCAACGGCGCAAAATTGGGCAGTAGAATCACTGAAGATTACAGCGACATGTTCCAAATACCTCTTGCACATTCTCAGACCACAATATTATAGATTCGAAGGAACCCTTAGCTGCTGACGACGAGCATGTGAAGGAAAGCAGGCGATTCCCACCAGTCACACGCAGACCCGCCAGTCCATCACAGGCGTCACAGCTTGCCGAAAATGTAAATATCGTAACACATCACTGGCGTTTATGCCATAAGGCCCACTACCTAAAAAGGCAGCAGGAATGAACTAGGTCTACTTATTTTATGTCACAAGTAGTTTCACGAATCTCACGGTAAGCTCCATGTTAACGGCGATGACATGGAACACTAGGTTTATTCTTGCTCCGATGCCCTCTGTTTTATCGTTGGCTACTGGGCGCTGCACTTGCAGAGCGTCGTCGGCACCCAAGACACGAAGCGAGATGTTTTACTTGATCGCCCTGCCTGTGTTCGAAATATCTTGGCTGCTGATCGCAGTCATAGGCATGTGAATGCCAGCACTGGAAAAAGAATCGTCGTCAGGAGCAGCTTTTATAGGTCCGCGTAAAGATAGCCCACGCCAGACTGACCTTACTTGCTGCCACCATGTTCTTGGACTCGCCGACGTCTACGTACGGCCTCATCCTGCTGGGAACGGCACTATACTTCTTGAACTGGTTCAAAGAGTACAAGGCAAGTGAATATCCTCTGGTTCTCGCCGCCAGGGTTATCCTAACCTCCGTATAGCTCAGGAATGTACCTGCGCTGGGGCCGACGGCACCGTTGCTCTCTTACTGGGGCGCATTCAGATTCATCACCAGTTGCCAGGAAATGCTTGCAGAGGGGCATGCCAAGGTATACTCAACATGTCCTTTGCTGCACTGCTGCTGACGGGGTTTCGACGTGGCAGTTCGGCGGGAGCCCGTTCAGGATAGCAACTCGCCAGTACTGGCATTACATTGTCTCGGACCCTAAGCTCATTGATGAGCTGCGGCGCGCACCGGACGACGAGCTGTCTTTCATTGACGCCGCGGCCGAGGTCAGCATTCATGACTCATTGATTCCGCGAAGTCAGCAAAGCTGATTTTCCCGCAGGGCCTGGAGCTCGAGTACACGATGGGCGTGGCAGCGCCGAAGAATATGTATCATGTGCCGATCATCAAGACGACGCTCACACGCAATCTGAGCCACCTCTATGGAGGGATCTACGACGAGATATGCAGCGCGTTTGCAGACCGCGTCCCCGCGGAAGATGGTAAGCTCAATCTTACAACTCATTCACCGCGCGTTCAGCTGGAACTCCGTCCACATAGAATGGACGGCTGTGCCCGCAATGGATGCCATTATGGAGGTTGTCGCTCGGACCAGTGCCCGCATCTTCGTTGGCCTCCCTCTCTGTAAGCGACTTCACTGTTATCCGCTGCGGTCGTGTTGACAGTGAACTAGGCCGTAATCAAGAGTTCTTGGATATCGCTGTTAACTACACAACAGACGTAGTCAAGACTGGACTTATACTCAACATGGTACCTGTTCCCCTTAAACCGTAAGTCATTACCTCGCACTCAGAGATCATTCCTTCCTAAGCGATGCCTTGCAGGATTGTGAACCGCCTTATCAACAAGGTCGATAAAACCGTTGACCGCACATATGCTTTGCTGAGTTCCACGATTGATGAGCGGCGGAGAATGATGGAGCAGTATGGAGACGACTGGCCAGACAAGCCTGTGAGTCACACTATCTTGCTATCTGGTCGGCAGCTAAAGTCATGTGGATCAGAACGACTTGCTCCAATGGCTCATGGAAGCCGCAGAAGGGGTCGAGCGTGAGCCGAGGGCTCTGGCCGCCCGTTTGCTCGTAGTCTGCTTCGCCGCCATTCACACGTCTTCTTTGGTATGCCGCGAGCCCTGGCCCCTTAGCACCGCGTGCTGACTGTTTTTGGGGCTTCAGAGCTTCACTCATGCTTTGTACCACCTTGCAGCACACCCAGAGTACATGAAGCCGCTGCGGGAGGAAGTTGAAGCTATGTTCCGGATTCTGGCTGGTCGAAGGATTCGCTTCAGAAGATGCGCAAGGTCGACAGCTTCCTGAAGGAGTGTCAACGATTCGAGGGTATCGGCAGCTGTACGTTTCGCGTCTCACAGTACCAACCACGTGCTTAATACCCTCGCATAGTATTTCTTGGACGCAAGGCGCTGAAAGACTACACCTTCTCCGACGGCACGTTTATCCCCAAGGGCAGCTACGTCTCAACTTCGAAGATGGCGATACATGACACGTGCGAGTACTATGATGAACCGCACGTCTTTGACCCATGGCGATTTTCCAACATGCGCGACGAGACAGGCGAAGGCACGAAGCACCAGATGGTCAACACGAGTATGGAGTACCTTCCGTTTGGCCTCGGAAAGCACGCTTGGTGAGTATTGTTCCTAGGGCATCGAGGTCGGTGCATTGAAGGACTATTGTAGCCCGGGACGGTTCTTTGCTGCGAACGAGCTGAAGAGCATGATGGCGCATCTTGTGGTGACGTATGACATCCGCATGGAGAAGCTCGGAGAGATCCCGCCAGGACTCCGCTTCGGCCCTGCCACATCGCCTAACCGAACAGCGAAGGTTTTGTTCAGGAAGCGGAAGGACTGAATCGCATTCAGACGATCTATTATCATTTGTCCTTAAGCTGTTGCCACTGGTGTGGCAAGCGGTCGGCATGATATAGCAAGACAGAATGTTGGCTGAAATGCACCCGGTTTTGTCGATCCCAGGTATTTGTGCTTGAGTGAGTTGTACCAGGATTGCGCAAAGGTCGCAATCGGGCCCTAGTATTCACGCGGCATCTTGATATCGTTGGACTTGATACATTGCAGAGGAGGCCGTCTGATGAAGACTGTCGACTATCGAGGCAACGATATGGGAATCTTCTGGGCGCTTTCTGGCCGGGGCACCTTAAAGCCGTTAAATGAGCGCCGAGCATCGACGGATCGACGATTACTTCGAACCATCTATCAGGCATCCTTAGTGCCGTTGTGCTACCCATCAAGCCAGGGGGCGACCACAGATGGCGCAGAAGCCGGATAATACGAGCAACAGCTCCGCCAGTGGCCCTGCTGCCGCTGCAGATATTTCGACGATTCTCGCTGATCAGACTCCCGTAGATCGGGCTACTACAGCACAGAGCGCAGATTTAGATGTTTTGCAGATCCCTAAGGGTGTCTTGCCCGCTCCAAAGGCAAGTATCGTCTCACAACTCCAATATGTCAGATGTGTAGTCTGACTGCCGAAGCGCCGAAATGCTAGGACAAATCTCTATTCTCGGAGCCCGCGGTGCAGTGGTGCTTGACATTCCTCGTAGGATCTGTCAGATTGCGATACTTCCCAAGGCGGCCGGGGCTATGGAGAAGGCGAGCACTGTTGGGCGTGGGATGTGCCCAGCAATGTGCCTTGCATTGCTACTCCATGCGCTACAACTCACTCGTTCACGATGCTTTCTATTCCCCGGAGGATTCCCCTGAACATCTCTTTTGGAGACGACTGTCTCTCGTCCACGAAGTACCGGGCGCTTCAAAAGCACTAGACATCGACCGGATTGAAGCTGCATTTATGGAAATGGGGGACCTCGAGCTTTGGAAGTGTTTGGTACAACTTGCTGCCCAACGAGAAACAGACCTCCGGCGGAAACTGAGCTGGAGTACGTACAAACCAGTCCTCTTCGCGCCATTCTATGGCAGTCGCTCAATTTCCAATTCCCCTATTTGTTTTTCAGGAAAATGGCTCTACTATAGCCTGGTATCGTCCGCTGCATCTCGTCACCACTGGGCCGTCATCAATTGCCTGAACGTGCGACAACTACCTCACAAGGTAGCGGAAAAAGATGCGCAGGAACTGTTATTTCTCCAGCCTGTGTACCTGAGCATGGTCGAGGCAACGCCTACATGGCAGGTACGCGCAACACATTTCCCTTCGCAGTAGGCGCTCTAATGGGCTACAGTCCATAGTCATATATTCACACGGGGGTATGATGGCTGCCACCGTGGTTGGGCTACTCGCACGGCATAGGCTTGTCCTCCGTCTCTCGCTTTTGACGGGCGTGATCGCCCTAGCCGTATCTTGCGGCACGACCGCCCTCTGGCACTCCGCGGTTGTATACGAGCCGGCATCGTTCAAGGAGCTAAAAGTGTTAAATGAGACACTCGGGATGTTTTTCAAGGATCCGAGAACGTCGGGCACGCTGCCACCCAGCCTCCAGTTGGCAGCATTGTTAGATTCATCAACCGGCCGATGAGACACTACCAAGTCCTCAGGAAATCTGTAGTCGTAACTAGTGATTCCTGATGTACCGTGTACGGGGAACGGAGAGTTTTTTTTACTTACCACATGGACACCCCACTCTTTGGAACAGCACAGGTCTCGAGACTTTGCGGGCATCTGACTTGACGGAAAATTGCAGTGATTAGACTGTTTCTGGAATATCTCCTCAATACCATCAGATTGGGATTTATGCCCGTTGCATTGCAAGGACGAAAAAGTTATATCTTGACGTTGGATAATGGGTGTGCATGCCTGACGGACGAGTCGGTGTAGTACTGTACTCTGTTCTGGCGCTTCCACGTTCGGCATGATTTTTGAACGGAATCATCCAGCTGCTAGGCATACCCGGTCTTGTTTTACTACTCATCAGGTCAGAGGACACACACAGATGGTGCGGAAACCGGACGAAGCCAGCAGCGGCTCTACCGATGGCCTTTCTGCGGCTGCAGATATCTCGACGACGCTCGCTGATCAGAGCCCTGGTGACCTAGCTTCCGTGAACCAGAACACGGCTTCACAGGGCCTGCAAGTGTCAATAGATGCAGTTCCTATACCAACGGTAAGCATAGGTGTGCTACCTGATGCACGTCAAGTTCATGATCTGACCACTGAAAAATGTCAGAGCCAGTCTGTGTTCTCAGAGCCTGCAGTGACCTGGGGACTGACATTTCTCGCGGGATTCGTTGCATTGCGATACTACCCAAAGCGTCCAGGGCTCTGGAGAAGGCGAGCACTATTTGGCATGGGGTGCTCCCACCAGTGTATGTCAGATTACATTGCCAGTCGCTACAACACGCTCGTTCGGGACGCCTACTACTCACCAGAGGATTCCCCCGAACGTCTTTTCTGGAGGCGATTATCCCTCATCTATGAGGTAGAGACCTTTCAAAAATTGCTGGACGGCTTCCCACAGATCTTTATATCAAAAGTTTCGGAGGGCCTAGAGGCTGAATGGAAGACTTGCTGTCAGGTTATAAGCCTCTACGAAGAACGTGCACGCGGGAAATTGAATTGGAGTGCGTGGAAACTTTGCTGTCACCTCATTCTTCGTCTATCCGACTGACGACGTGTCTTCATCTGGCAGAGCAACGGTTATACTACAGCATCATATCGCCCACCGAATCCCGTCATGACTGGGCCATCGCGATTTGCTTGCTTGGGAAGCGGCAGCCCGATGACATACCAGACAAGGACACGCAGGAGCTGTTCTTCTTCCAGCCCGCATACCTGAGCATGCTCATGGCGATACCCACATGGAAGGTACGCGCGACACGCTGACCCGCGCAACTGATGCACTAACCATGCTACAGCCCATAGACGAGTATGCCCATGCCGGCGTTCTCGTTGCCGGTGCGGTTGGCTTATGCGCACGGCACAAGCTTGTCCTTCGCTTCTCGCTCCTGACCGGCATGACTGCCCTGGCCGTGTCCTGCGCTACGGCCGCCCTCTACAACGTCACCCTTGTATACGAGCCGGCGTCGTTCAAACAAATAAAGTCGTTCAACGAGACGCTTGGGCTCGTTTTCGAGGACCCGAAGAAGTCGGGTGCTTTGCCACCTAGTCTTCGACTGGAGGCACTGCTCGAGTCATCGGCCGACCGATGATACCTTATCGATCATCACCTTAGGAAGGTTTCGCCGCCCATCATAATTTAGAAAGGATAGAGACGGACTCTTCTAGACTCTTCTGTACAGTAGTTACAGGTCTGGAGCCGTTTCCCTGAAACACCCCCACTCCTTGAAACGATCCGGATGTCGAGGCTTAAAGGTCTCCTAAAGTCTCAGGCAAAATAGTAACAAGTGCATTGCTTCCGGAACTCCTACCGAGCCAAGCGATGACGTGTTGTTCAAGTTGTAGATACCACCATGCTCCTTCCGCATGGGTTGAAAACAGATGCCTAGGCCTTCGTTAGACAGGATCACCCTTTGAGAGGTCCATATAGTATTCCCAATGACTTATTGATAATAACTGTGCTCTAAAATTGCGATCTGTCTGGTCCGAGACGATAAGGGTCTGTACAGAGCGCGTAACATGATAACATGGGCTTAATATCGACAAAGTCTATATACAAGCAGCGCCTCCGACTCTGGTGTGCACGGTGGTATATGCCTCTAGTGAATACATCTGGATATCGTACGAGGTGGAAAGCGTCGTTGGAAATGGATGACTGGGGCAGCAGCAGACGAATGGCTGAGTAAGGGGATGGCACAAGCAATAAATAGAAAGCGTGAGCGGCTCGTGTGTCGCGGGCATCACGGCGAGCCCGCCTCTAGATGACGTTGACGCTGTGCAGATGCGCGCGGAGGATACCCTCTCGGACGCCGACGAGGATGACGGCGGTCGCACGGGTGTCCTGGGGGCATCAGGTCAGTCACAGACAGACACGGGCATCGAAACGGTAAAAGAGTTAAAGAGAGTAAAAGAGAGTAAAAAAAAACACGCACGATAACGGATGTCTCGTGGCAGAAAAACGGCCTCGGCTTCGGCGACAGTCGTTTCTGGGGCGGATGTGTCAGCCTTCCAATCCGGGACGCGGCTTCGTGGCGGCGTACGTGATATCCGCGGAATTTGTCGCGGAAGTCTGCCAATTGGCCTCTCGTCAGCATCACCGCCGGGTAGGAAATCAACAGGTGGGGAAGCAACGCACACTTGACTACGTGCGGTACATCATTCGGTTGGTCGCCATAACTCGGCACGTATTTCTGTACGCGGACGCCCGAGGCGAGCGTCGCCTGCAGGATATCCATCTGTGCGCAGTGAGACCGTCAGTTCCGACCTGTGCTTCGCAAGGTTCTCTTCTGCCGCACCTTGTTGAAGAACAGGATGAGCGTGGCGCCCTCGAGCAGCTGGTTCTGGCAGATCTCGCGCCATAGCATGATCGAATCCTCCTGTGCGGAACCATCAGCCGTCGGGCCACGCAGAACAGCAGGGTGCGCACGTACCAGTCGGTTTACTTTCGAGTCCTCTTCGAGCATCAAGTTGAACGCGAGAGGTGCGAGGAAGATGATCGCTTGCACGTCGTCGAAGTATGGTATCCAGTGTGGTCTCTGCCATGCCATCAGTACATGATCGCGCGCAGCGTCACATCAATTACCCACCACACTGCGGTTTCCGCCCACGTCGTAGATGTACCATTCCTGGCCCGATGCACCGCTCTCCATCGCGAAGCGGTGCTCTTCAACACCGAGCGTGCGCAACCGTGCGCGGACAATGTCGTCTGTAGACGCCCAGGACTTCAGAAATGGCCTACCTGCAAAAGCTTTGTTCTCGAGCGCTTACCGTCCGTTGGCTCGTAGCCTGTCGACGAGACCCTGGCCGCGTCATTCAGGAAACTGACGAACCCTCGTTAGCGACACGCAAAGACGAGAAGTCTTATGTGCGACTCACAATCCGGGCATGTCCTGCAGCCGGACGCCGCGTCTGCGGAGCATGTCCTTGACGGCGTTATCCTCCCACATGCTCACGATGTCGTCCTTGCTCGCCTCGAGGGCAGCGCCAAGCTCGTCGCCGAGTGACCGGCCGTTTCTGTTCCCATTCTCTTGCTGCAACTTCACGAGCACGTCTTTCCAGCCGTTGCCCGCGCGCACGACCACCTCCTTGACGCCGGGAGTGCGAGGGGCAGCCGTCTCGCCGTCGCCAGACGGGCCGAGACTCGACGCGAGCTCAGGGAAAAGCTTCGCGGTGAGCTCGGTCTCGATCTTGAGCAGGGGAAGCAGCCGCGCGCGTGCGCGCCTGTGCACGTCCGTGAGCGGCGCTTGCGACTGGGGCTGGGTGCTGAAGCGCACGGAGCGCGTCGAGGTGGGCGGGGGCTTCCCGCTGTGGTGGACCGTACCATTCTGCACGACGCCGAGCGGCACCGGTGCACCCATGGGCAGCTTCCCCCGGGCTTTTTCTGAGAGGACGGGCTGCGGTGGCGGTGGAGGAGGCGCCTCGGTCGGGGATGACATTTCCTCGCCAAGGACCTCGAGCAGCGTCTTAAGCGATCTGGTGACATGCGCAAATGAGCGGTCAGTATTGGGCTGAGATGCTGGGATGCAGCGTAGAAGCCAGCTTAACGGCACCTGCTCGCCAGCCTGACTCGCATCGCGCGAATTTACGAGAAGCGTGAAGCCATGGCAGGCATCGCGTCAGCGCGTATCGCCCGCTTTTCGTAATTGCGAGACGATGCCGGCGATAAGCGTACTCGCCGTCGTCTGGTTGCGGACCGTGGGGCCCTCAACTGTGCCAGACAACGTGAAACGGCGGGTAGCGCGACCAAACTCGCTGAGGGGAGGGATGACGCCATTGCTTGTTTGGCCAGCGGTGGAAACAACAGGAACCGGCAGAACTAGGATGATGGGAGAGCCGCGGCCGCCGGTTGACATACCTTATCAGGTTCAATTGGATGATGGTTCGCCATGCGAGACGTTCGTTGCGAAAGTGCGAGGGCGTAAACGCGAGTTGGAAGTCTGAGACTGCTCAGACAGACTGGCCCCGTGCGAGTGCAGGGCGAAGTACTTACTCTTCAGAGTAGTGCTCTTGCCGGACTCTGCCTGGCCTGTAACAGACGGAGGAGGTTCGCAGTCCATAACGGGACAAAGGAGGGCGGGCGGGCGGGCGCACCTAGGAGCAGGACCTTGACAGCCTTCTTCCTGCGCTCGTATGCTTTCCTGTCCTCCTGGATGCTCTCATCGATCTGGAGGGAGACGCGGTGTGCTTCGTGTGCAGCCTGCTCCCGCCTTGCGCGTTCCTCGGCGGACTCGCCTGGGGGCGGCTTGAGGATCTGGGCGAGGGGATCGTCCTGCCTGTCCTCGAACGGGGCATGGTTGGCGTGGAAGGGACGCCGGGCGAGGGAGGCCATGCTCTGGAGACGGGCAGACGGAGGTTGAGGAAAGGGACAAAAGAGGAGGGGGCTATGCACTTCCAGGAGCTGGTCGGCAGCCACTGTGATCAGCAAAGTATGATCACCCGCAATCACGATTCCGGACGGGGAGCCTGAAACAACGCCACCTTTGTCTTTCAGCATCACTTCCCTGCTGACGTCCCAAAGTTGGCGGCATTTTTCCCGCCTCAACTGCTCGCTCAAGGCCAAGTTGTGTGCCCGAAATCAGCACGCGGGTATTCTGCACAGCTTTGAGCAGCCTTGCCGCCATCCGCCATCACTGATTCGGCGTGTGGGTCACGCCTTTAGGCTGAGCCTGGTCGTGGCCCGGTGGGTAGCGAGGGCCCGTAAAAGTCTGTCTCACATCTTCTCGTCTCACACTCGGCCATGTCGCACACACACAGTGGCGGTCTCATTCCGAGCCACAGCAGGCGTCGTCGCCGGCGCTGAGGGCAACAGCGAACACCTCGGAGATGCACTCGGCCTACGGTAACGATCATTGATGACATTGATCGACGTTTAGCCCCGGTATCTTGATTTGTCCGGACGCCTCAGCTGCGACTCAGCTCCCGCTCTCGCTCTCGCCCAGGACGTACTGTACTGCCAGTCGCGCACGGCGACGAGTTACGCAACGATGCGCTGTCATGATATTCCTCCAATCTGAACGCTATCTACATTAATCATCATGGCATTCGTACGGCATCTTGATATCGTGGTGCTCGCCGCGTAAGGATGCGAAGCCTGAGAACATGATCTACAGGACCGTACACAATGGCAGCAGACTTCGTCAGAGGGCGATCCTACCGTTTCTAGTCCGTATTGCACACGTTCGTGCTGGCTTACTCATCCGCCATTGTTGTCCACTGCTTCGCGGCTTTCCGCGTTTGGCCGTTGTGCGTCGAGGCTCAGCATTCGCGGCCCGGCGACGTATCCCTAGCGACGCCGCTCACGCCGTCCTCAAAGGGCACCCACAGCTTCGTAGGCTGCTGCGGAAGGAGCTGCAAATACGAGCCCCAGGCAGGATCATCCGCAGGGAGGCCAAAGTTCAAGAAACTATCGTCGCTCGACGGTGTCTCCATGCCGAGGTCGATGTCGGCTTCGATCTTCGCGGCGACTGCATAGCTCTCATTAATCGCAGCTGCCAACAGACCATCTGCGCACTCACTGTTATTATTGCCCCTCGTCGAGGCCAGCCAAGGCAGCGCGCTAAGCTCCATACCCGCAAAGCCGTTGGCGTCCCACTGGCACCCCTGATACGCAATCAACGATCCAGGGTCATACGCATATTGGCGCGGCGGGTGCATCAGCACGGGGCCAGAGGTGCTCGCGCCAGAAGCATCTCGCCCACGAGACGCATCTGTCAAATTAATATTTCAGCCCACGCATTCAGTTACACAGGCCTGGATGGGCAGTCCACTCACCTGCAGGACGTTCGTCGCCGAGAAGAGAGGGCACAGGACCGGGAAACAGCGACGACGGCCCAGCCCAGAGTGCCTGCCACTCCGCATCGGGCACACAGAGGGCAGGGGCATGCGGGCTTGCTGGGGGCTGTGCCTTCTTGCGAGGCTTCCGGGGCCGTTTCGGCTTCGGTTTGCGACCGACATGAACGTCGGCAGAACCACCATCTCCCGGAGCAGCGTCGGTATCGTGTTTGTTCTTGTCACCAGCCGCCTTCTTGTCGACTGCGACCTTGCCTCTCTTCTTGCGCACGGCCGGCTTGGCTTTCGGAGCTGCGACCTCAGTATCGGCAGCTGTCTCGCCAGGCGCATCTGCCGACCATGACAATGTCGAACTTGGATTGCTAGGCGACAAATTGGGCAGCATACCATGAGCCGCTTTCCGTTCGCGCTGAGAGCTTGAACGATCGGGGGCTGCCTTGCCCTTCCGCCTGACTGCGATCCCTCTCAGAGGCTCTGAACTTGGGACATCAGCATATCGAGCCACAGACGATACCAAACTCTCACCATCCTCAGAGCTATATGTCACACGCAAAGTTTGGCCAACTGCTGCGGCAGATAACGGTGCAAGCACAGGCGCCGGGGGCACCACAACGTTTCCAGTCTTCTCCTCCACTGGTGCACTGACAACGGTATCTGGCGCGGCGGCAAGCTTCTCCTTCTCTTCGATAATAGGCTGAGCCGGGTTTTCAACGGTATCGTCCTGCATCTTCTCGCCGTGTACGGCCTGTTTACTGCCACTGCCGCCCGCACACGTGGTGTCCGACCCAGGGCGAATTGGCCTGGGCGGACGCCGCGGCTCCGGTGAGTTAGGGCGCGAAGCCGGGGCACCAGTCGGACGATGCGGCGGCGGGAGCTCCTGCGGTCTAGCATTGGGAGAGTCAGCTGTTGTGACAGCAGGAACGGAGACGGTTCTCCGCCGGACGTCTTGATGCCGCGAAGAGTTGCTCGAGGCGATGGCAGGAGGTGGTTGGGGATGGCGCGCGGAGGGTCTCGATAAGCTGACACCACCAGCAGCGTCAGCGCGTTTTGCTGGACCGGTCCACGAAACAGGACGGAGCGGGAAGAGTCGAGCCAGCGTCGGCAGGGAGGGCGTACTCTGCAAACAGTCGGCCTCGGTGAGAACGCACCGCGAAGAGACCGACGACGCTACGACAGTTGGGAGAGACAGACGTGCTCGTACCCTGCTTTCGTTTGGAAAATCGTGCGAATGACGTTGATGGCATTGTGGAGCCGTGGCTTCGTCGTTTGTTGGCCTACGGTTTTCTTCATTCAATGGCGCGGAAACGGTTTTGTCGTTACAGTTAGCACGATGAGTATTGTGCACAGCACTATTGAAGAGGATATCGTTCACTAGTGGACCGCGCACCAGAAGCTCTTGGCAGTCTGCATGCTCAACGTCGACATCAGGCAGGGGTGCATGGTCATTTTCTGAATTCTCGTCGGGCTTCCGAGCTATTTGATGATCATTGTAAGCCAGAGAAGTGCAAGCAGAGGTGACACGTCCGTACCAATATCTGCGTCTGCAGAATGGGTGCCTTCTGAACCATTCTCAATGGGGGTTTTCACAGGCGTGGTCCGACCAACGTCAAGGTGGACATCACTGCAATCAGTAGACTTGAACGACGCTGGAGGCGTATCAGAGCGCATGAGAGAGACAGTAGATGCAAATCCAGAGGTAAGAGCGGAAGCCGAATCACTAGACACAGTCCCAGTATGCACGGGCCCAGGGTTTGAAGCGGTGTTCTGAAGTTCGCCAGCGGGCTGTGGTTCCAGCGTAAAAACAACCTTAGCGCAGCGAGTAGGAGGCGCAAGGTGCAGATTGCTGCCGGAGACCGCCGATTCAATAACCGCAGGCGGTTCGGGGAAGGTTCCGTTCACCACCGCCGGAGCAGCGCAGTCCTCACCGGGGACGGGGGCACGCTTGGAAGAAAAAAGGGGAGGAATGTCTACAGGCTCCGTTTTGACAAGTTTGCGTTTGAAGCGCGGAGGAAGGACAGGACTCGACGACCGGATAGGGCGAGCAGACACAGCGGTGACCGGGCCGGAAGGAGCAGAGCTAGATGAAGTGCAAGGGACGTTTGAGATGACAACCGGGTCAGAAAGGCCAGTGGGATGCTCTACGAAGCGGGCAGCATGCGAGATATTTTTAGAGGACGGTCCAGAGGCCAAACTGGCAGAAGAAAACGGAGGTGGAGTATATGCGCCTTGTGTGGTGGTCCGAGGGCCCAAGGAGGTACAGTCGGAGGCAAACTTCTGCATAAGCTCGAGAGAGCTTGAGAACGTACAAGCATCGAGATCTAGCTTAGGTTTAGTGTTGGTGAGCGGCAGGCCTTCGCCTCCTGAGGACAAGGGGGTTAAGGGTTCTTCTTCCACGTCAGAGGAAGGAAAACAGTGTTCCAAGGGCGGCGTAGACGGGCGCATACAGCGAGCAGCTCTGGTAGCTCTGCGCACAACGGTGGCGATAGGCGGCGTCGGCTGGGTGTATGCGGATCTGCCTCGCGGAAAACAGCCGATACAGCCTGGAACCGGAGCAGAGTCGTGCGCACGAGTGTGCCTGATGACTTGAGACTTGCCAGGGGATTTCAACGATTTATCTTTGCGAGTAGATGCCGCCTTCGGGGGGAAGCAGACGAGACAGTCGGGGTGTGGCCGCGCGTCGTGTGCACGCGTATGACGCGTCAATCGCGGTGCGTCCGGACTCGGCTCAGCGGGTTCCGCCTTGATCTTCTTGGCAGGGCGCACAGGCGGCCCAATGGTGGGCGACGGCGCGCGTTCGCGTTTTACGCGCACGCTCTTGGTCGACGCCGACGGCTCTGGGGCCACCGTGCGCTGGTGCTTGCGGGTCGCATCAGCGGGGAGGTCGTACGTCTCCTTGCCAATCTTCTCGCCTTCCCTCTTTATGGCCTTCCATCGCCGCCTGAAAAACCAGAGGCGCACGGCCTCAGGGTCGATGTTCCGGACCTCTGCCCACGCACGTCGCGACTCGAGCGTCGGGACGCGTTTGTCGCGCTGCCATGCCGCCTCGAGCTCGGCACTGAGAGCATCCGGAAGTACATGCCTGTTGGATGGCATGTTGGCTGAGGGAGAGGATGATGGGTAGAGGAAGAAGACGTCGGGAGTTGCCTTTCTCAGATTTGAGGACGCGATGAGCAGACGCGCAACGCGGATCAGGACAGCGCCGTCGGCCGATTTAATTCCTGGCCTGGTAGAGCTTGCCGCCCCAGCTCGTACCGCGGTCGAGCTCCTCATCGATAACACATAGCGGGAATATAAAAACTGTAGACACAGATGTAGCCGTGCGTCGGGCACAGGTGGAAGTATATATATATTGCGCACATGGAAAGCGATACAAGGATCCGGATCGCCCGCTACAGGTATACAGCCTCTAGAGGATGATGATGTGCGCTGTGAGTCAACCACGAAGCCGTCGATGTCTGGGGTGATCCCATGTAAGAGGGCGCACAATTTTGAAACGGACCTGAAGGGGCGAGGTCTAGAGCAGGGATCCTTCCGACTAAACAATCTAGCATGGGTGGGAAAACGGTCTGTAAGGTTTGACAAGCACCACTCGCGGGCACGAACATTCTGGGAGAAGGCGCTCTCGCCAGTACTTTGACGACCGCAGTGCCAGAGTACGGGCCTTCGCAGTTGCTGCGCATGACGATGAGGTCGCTCCCGGTGGTGAGCTCGAAGACGTACTAGGGTCTGAGTGGGAGGATGACGAAGGTCACGACAAAGCTCCAAGGAAGTCACCATCGGACAACACTAAAACATGAGGGTTGCTAGTACGTGAATTCGCGAATCTCCTAGGCTCCAGTCCTGATTGCAGTACTGTAGCCTAGCTCCTGAGATTGTGGGAGATGGTGGATGATGGTGGGTCGCTGCCGTCTTGCCGCTGCGCTTGGAAGTAGAGTAGTGGTGCTGGTCTTCCTAGCAATCACTGAAGAGCGTCTTTCAGTGATGCCGCCGTCATATAAGGTAGCGTGCGAAGGGTGTGGCCGCGAGTCCGTTAGCCCGAACACGACTTTCGGGGACCACTCCGGCTGCTATTCCTGTAAGCACCCTGCATCTCTCCAGCATGTTGATTGTGGACCTGACAGATGGGAGCACCGAACCGGAGAGATGCACAGCACGACGCACGTTTTGCGAATCGAGTGGGGAGACCCGAAGCGAACGGTCATCGAGCAGGATATTCCAGGTAGCTAGCGGTGAGGGTTCTTTAATAAGGTGGAAGAGGCGTTATCGAGCGCTCTCGGTACGAACCACCCCCAAAACGGGCCGCCCGCTTCGCTACGGGGGCGTCGGTCGTGGCGGGATGCGAACGCGGCCTGTGATTGGATGATTAGGTCGGAGAAGCCAGACCCGAGCGGGCCGCGGACCCTCGCCCTTGACGTCAAGGGCCGGCTGAGGTTGTTGGCGCGGGCGTTCCGTAGCCTCTCCTCTCCACCCTCGACCTTCTCAGAGCCTCTAGACGTCGGCGAAAACTTCCTTCGCGCAACCGCCAGTGCTCTGCCGAGGATGATGGACCGGCGCGGTGCGGCGAAAATGGATCGCTCCAGTGGCGACATACTACAGGTGCCTTCTCTTTTGTTCTGTTTGCTCGTGCTCAGCGAACACATAACACGCCAGTTTTACTCGCAGACAAAGCCTCCGCTCTCTCTCGAACACGTCTATCTTTCTCCTACTGGCTGTCCTGCGGGCGGACCATAGACTTCCCGGACGATATTTGATTGCGCTTGCTACGTTGATCACCGTGCAACGGTCTCGACACAAGTTTGGGACGTCTTTTGTCCGGCGTTCAGGTGCGCATCCAATTCCCGTTGGCAGCCTTCGACGACGTGCTAACCGGCAACTACGGCTCGGAACGTTTGTCGGCTGCTTTAGAACAGCTCTATCGTACCTATCACGACAACCGCAAGGTGCCGTGAGCCGGCAGTATATTTTCTTGACGCGACCAGGCAAGTTTTTTTTTTCCTTCCACCATACCACTCAACATGGACACTGAGGCGGGCCCATCCAGCTCTGCAGTCATCCAGACTCCACCAACACGCATGGACACCCCTACTCACCCGCTCATGGACGACCGACCGCCTGGAGGCACTCGCAGGTCAGGCATCAAGACACCACGTAAGGTGCAGTGGCAAGACTACGATGAGCCGTCAGAGTCGACCAAGAGAGCGTTGGATGAGCACGGTCTTGATGTACGTCTTTTTCGCTGCGTAATCTCTGTGTGTAAAGCCCACAGTACTTTGATAGCTTGCACCGCTGGAAGAACTCAAAGACGCGCTCGAAAGGCATTCATTATCTCCTTCTCACTTCCCTCCTCCTCACTTCCCTCCCCGAACACCATCGACTGACGACTCGGCGAGCCCGGACTCGCCCGTGACCCTCAACAGCAAGAGACATACCGTGCCCGGCGAGACGTACATCGGCGCGAACGAAACCGCAGGTCTGCCCGGCACCGACATCGAGGCGTACTCGCGCCAGCGAGCAAGTCAAGTCGTGCGGGCGCACAGCCGTGGTTTTCTGAGCCGTTTTGCACCGCGCTCGCGCTCTCAGTCGCCGAGCAGCGCGGTGCGCCACCGCCGCCGACGCACATATCAATCGTCAGATGTCGACACCGACGCCGAGACCGACATCGAGCACCACGCCGAGTCCGTCGCGGCAACACCCCACCCACGGCCTGGCACAAGCATCTTGTCGACGCTCCTCTCGCTGTACGACCATAATGCCACCGGACCGTCGAGGCTGCACCACGCCAGCTCGTTTGATGATTCGCGGGCCAGTTCTATGTACGAGACTACGACCAACGAGACGGACTACAGCAATCGTGTGAGTCCGGAGCCGACGCCTGTCTCCCAGAAGCGGCGCCGTCCATGGGACGTCTTCAAACGCGAACGGCCCGAGCACACGCACAAGAGCCCTGGCGTCTTCGGTGCGCTTGTGGCGAGCACTAACAACCTGTCTGGCGCGGCAGCGCCTGTGTCAAGCACGATTGCCCCGTCGATGCAGCGCCCGGGGTACCACTTGTCGAGGTGCGTGACGTGCCGCTTGTGCAACGTACGGAAGACTGACGCCACGCAAGATACTCCACAGACGAAACCGACACGTTGCGCGGCACGCCCGTCCCTCCGGAAGACGACACGCACCTGCACCGGCCGCCTAGCGCGTATTTCGACTCGGACCGGCTTACGGCGTCGTCGGCCACGCTGGAGGGCGGCTCGGGCACTGCCGAAACGACGCCCACCGAGGGCACGCCACCGTCGCTCAACAAGGGCGGGCGCCGGCAAAAGTGGACGCACGTCCTCAAGGACCTGCCGAAGACGAGCTTCAGCCGCGCGGCGACGCCGACCGCGAGCACGCCGGGGACCCCGCTCAAGGAGACGGACGAGTGGTTCACGAAGCGGGACTGGGAGCGGCTGCAGGAGAAGAAGGAGCGGAAGCGGCGGCGCAAGAAGGCCGAGATCTACGTGCGCGTTTTCGATCTCCAACCTCTGATCGCGACTAGAAACTTACGAAAAGAGTTTTGCAGATCACACGCCATGTGGCGGAGATCATCCAGCGGCAGGAGTTTGTGTGCAAGCTCGCGCGCGCGATGATGATGTTCGGCGGGCCGAGCCACCGGCTGCAGGCACAGATCCGGGCGACGGCGCGCGTGCTCGAGATCGAGCTCTCGTGCATGTACCTGCCGGACATGATGCTCATTTCGTTCGACGACCCGACCACGGGGACGAGCAACATCAAGCTCATCCGCCAGGGCGGCGCGTTCGACATCTCGAAGCTCCAGGCGGCATACAAGCTGTATTGGAAGGTGCGTTTTGGCCCCCGAGCCGTCTGAATGGCAGCTGATAGGTTGGCAGGTCATCCATGACGACACCTCGGTCAAGGACGCGTCGGTCGAGCTCGACGAGCTGATGCGCAAGCCCCCGCTGTACAACAAGTGGCAGCTCATCTTCTTCGGCGGAATGTGCTCCGCTTCCATCTGCAGCGTTAGCTTCAGCGGGTCCTTCCTCGACTGTCTCATTTCCTTCCCGCTGGGCTGCTTGCTCATCGTGATCCAGCTCTTTGCCGCGCGGCACGAGCTGTACTCAAACGTCTTCGAGTGCGTTCATCCATCCGCAGCGTGCCCAGCCGTTGTCACTGAACATTTCTGCCAACAGGATCACCGTCGCGACACTCTTCAGCTTCGTCGCCGCCGCGCTCGCGTCGACGTCGTACTTCTGCTACTCGGCCGTCGCGGCGTCGTCGATCGTGCTCATCCTGCCGGGGTACATCATCCTCTGCGGCAGCCTCGAGCTCTCGTCGCACAACATCGTCTCGGGCGCCGTGCGCGTCTGCTTCTCGGTCATCTACTCGCTCTTCCTCGGCTTCGGGCTCGCGATCGGCTCGTCGGCGTTCACGAAGATCACCAGGCACGACCTGCCCGGCCAGGACGACGTCTCGTGCTCGCTCAGCCACCGTTCCGACGGGCCGTGGTGGCAGCGGACGCCGTCGGTCGAGTGGGGTACGTTCTTTTGCCTTGTTTCTAGCGCGCCCGGTTGCACAGGGCTGATTGAGGTGTCGGCAGCTTTCCTTACTGTGCCTTTGTACTCGCTCTGGCTGAGCTTGCGCTTCTACGCGTCGTGTCGCAGGAAAGAATTGGTGAGTACATGCACTCGTTAGCGTGAATCGCATGTGCTGACAGCCCTATCAGCCGCTTCTTGTAGCAATCTCGTCGCTTGGGTGGGTGTGCAACCACTTCACGGGCCTCAAGTTCCCTGGTCAGAGTGACATCTCGGCTGCCGTCGGTGCCTTTGCTGTCGGTCTCGTCTCCAACCTCTACGGGCGTTTCTTCAACGGAAACGCCTTCGTCATCATGGCGAGTAGCGACACTTTCTGTTAGCTGGCAATGAGTCTGACCTGTGCGGACTTTCAGATCACTGGTATTCTCTTCCAACTTCCTTCTGGTGTCGCCAACGGCGGCCTCTTCACGTTCGTTTCCAAACAAGACTCGGGCCAGTCTTCGGCCGACTCGTACCTTTCTGGCTTCCAGACCGCGCTGCAGCTAGTCTCCGTCTCGATCGGCCTCACAGTCGGCCTTGGTATTTCCCTCGTCTGCGTCTTCCCGATCCAGTCACGCAGGCGTGCGGCTGGTATCTTTAGTTTGTAGTCACGTCGCTCTTACACCTTTACTCCCACATTCTTTGCTTCACATAGAGACCATATTGTGGTCATCATTAGAGGTTCTTGCGCACATCTTTCACCCATCTACTTGCAACCACATAGACGTATCATGCTCATTCTCTTTTCTCTGTAGCAATAGGCTTTATCAGGATGGTTACATTCTTTTCACCTAGAGTTTGCGCATCTGTCTCCGAGCTGTGTAATAAATACTACCACGTTACTTCGGACTCCTTCACCCCCGCCTCATGTCTTATAATACACTTTCGACAGACATCGAGTTGGCCATGCTTCTCCCCGATGCGACGCAACGGCCGCTTAGGTCTGCCGCTTCCTGAAGCTGACCGCCGCAGCGGAGTTTGCCAGGCGCGTATGCCGCACCCACCGTCCGGGCGGAATGACGCCTTCCACCTCTGGTCGGACGTCATAGTTGACTACGACGTGCGCCATCATGAGCTTGAGCTCATTCACCGCGAAGAAGCGTCCGGGGCTGTCCGTGTTCGTCAGCACGCAGCCACCACGACTGAGGCAAAGGCGGGAAGATGCGCACCACGCGTGTTGGCCGTGCCCGAAGGAGATGTACTCGGCGCTGGTGTTCACCATCTGGTGCTTGATGCCTGCGTCCGCGTCCGCGCCGCGCAGGCGCTCGAAACGCCACGGGTCGAAGGTGTCCGCGTCCGCGTAAACCTCGTCGTCGTGGTGCATCGGCCGCGAGGCCGCCATCACGAACGTGCCCGCGGGGACGCGCGTGCCATCCGAGAAGGTGTAGTCCTGCATCGCAAGGCGTGACATCGTCACTAGGTGGCCCCGGTTAGCGTGTGAATTATGTGCAGGAGACAGAGCGCGTACGTGCACCGAGGCCGTGCACCCGTTGGCACTCCTTCATGAAGCTGTCGAGCTTCCGCATGCGCTGCACCGCGCCCTTCGTCCAGCCGTCTTCGCGCACAATTTCCTCGATTTCTTCGCGCAGGGGCGCGATGCATTCGGGGTGGGCGGCGAGTATATGCAGCGCGTTTGTGAAGGTCTGGAGTTCACTAGGAAGTGAGAAGTCCATGATACTGTAGTGAAAGATGTAAAGCGCACCATAGACGAGGTGTGAATGGCGGCAAAGTTGACAATCAGGATACGCAGGACGAGGCCGTCGACTGTGCGTCCGTCTTCATTGGCCTCCTCAATAAGCCACTGGATCATGTCGCTCTACCGTATATGGTCAGCTATGATGTTTGAATAGCGCTGAACACACGTACCGGTTTGTCCGGCCAGTCGTCGCCATGCTGCTTGTATTGCCTCAGCCGCTCCTCAATGACCCCGCCGATTTTTGCCTTTGCCTTTTCGAGGCTTTTCGGGACGGGGGAGATCAGGCGACCTACCAAGCTGAACAGGTGTGATGCACACTCGGCGGGTCATTTCACGGACATTAAGCAAGAGAACTCACGGTCTGAGGAAAATCGGAGTTAAGTGCAAGGCAAGGCCCGTCTTTACAACGTCCGTGGCAAATTGGATGCCGATTGCGCAAAACTCTGGGTCTCTACCTGCGACGAATCCTTCAGTTATCCACCATTTCAGTCTCATTGGTGGAGGCACTCACAATACGGCAACCCGACGAAGACCCTGTTGCTCACCCTGCTGACGACCCGCATGGTGGCCTTCAGCACCGGCACCTTCGCCCATCCCTCTGTGGGTGGCACAACGTCGGCGAACGACTGCACAATCTCGTCGTGAATATCGGCGAAGAACGGGGTGAGGTGGCGCGTGAGCTGCGTGCGAATGACGGGGACGTGATACCCGTTTGACGTAGCCTCGCGGCCAAGTGTGTGGTCGGCTTGCAGCGACTGCGGGGTCCGTCAGTGGCACTCAGCGGTGACAAAGGGTCGGGACATACGTAGCGAATACCCTCTTTGAAGGAGAGCTGCTCCTCTGGCGCCTTGCGCAGTTCCTGGATCAGCGCGGGGCTAGTGACGACGACGATCCAGTGGGTAAGATCTGCGATGCGGAATACGCGGCCTTTGTACTATGTACGGCTGCTCAGGCGAATGCCTCGCTCGGGAGATGGGAACATATGCGTACCTTCCGGTAGCCTTCGTCGACAACCTCGAATCCATGGCGGACGTATCTGTACGCCGCAAACCAAGAGCTGATGGGCCCTGTGGGCCCTGGGCTAGGGATGTGCTAGCAATGCTGTTGTCAGTGTTCGTTGCGCCATTCACTGAGACATTCGGGATCACACCTGCAGCTTATCTTGCCGAAGATAATAAATGACCAGCCCGAACGAGATAAGCCCAGTAATGATTGAAATGGAGTTCATGGAGTTCATGGCATGCAGCGGCGATGAGTTAGCCAAGTCCACCCGTATTGCCAGTGGATCATATAAAGAGAAAGAGAGGCTGGGCGGGCTTCAGAAACATGTTCACAGTGCATGTGAAACTACAATCCGTGATTTGCTCTTGCCGAGTGTTCGTTCATGAGTCGGGTTACAGCTGTTCCTCTCGCGCTCGCCGGGCCCCGGGATCTAGATCTGGGCACTCCCTCCGCACTGGTGGCGCGGCCTTTTCTTGTGGCTGGCCTTGGCACAGGGTGGTAAGCGCAGTTTTTTTTTCGAGAAAACTCAGACACAAGCGGCTAAACAAGGCCCAGTTATTCCTCGATTCTACACCGATGCAAACTGAGGAAAAACTGGTGCAAAACCAGCCAAAAGGGTCTAAAACCTAGTAAAACTGGCGGAAAACCGAGTTTTGCCTTCGGTTTTTTTCAGGTGAAAACCGGAGAAAGTTAGGGCCTTGTTCAATCAGTTTTTGGCCAATTTACGCCGGAAAAAAGCGCGCTTCTGGAGGCTGTCCGGGCCTACACCCGCGCATCCTGTGCTCTTGTGGCAGCTCTACAGTACTGTCCGGGCGCCGTGCGTGTCTCTGGCCGGTCACAGCATCTTCTTTCTCACCCCATCACTCCTTCTCTATAGACTTATATTGGCCACACACTGCGCTGGCTCGCTCTGACCGGCTCAACAGTGGTTCTCGGCTAAAGGCGCATCACATGCCCTCTCCCTCTTTGGCGCGCAAGAGTCCGCCGCGGCCTCCGTATCGTTGATTTGTCCGTACAGCCTCGCTTTATGCCATAGTCACGGGTCACAAATTGACAACATTGCTTCATGTGCTCTGCCGTAGCTCACTGCCTACCTAAGGCAATTGACAATTTACGATTTAAATGTACACAGCCCTCATCGGGAAAACAACTTGGCTCCACAGTGCGACAGAGTGCGACAGGAGCATTTTGGAGCACTATAGAGCCAAGTCCTGTTTCCTAATGCTAGAAACACCTGCATTACACTGCATTACTTTGCAGTGAGTGACAGAACGTGAAAAAGTGCGCTTACAGCTCGTGACGGCAAGCATTGTCTTTATAAAATATTTGTACACACTAGATATCCGGACAAAAATCACGGACTGCACACGCAAAGCCCAATGGCGCATCAGGCGCCACGAAGCCACCGCTTCCTTCCGTTTGAGGTAGCACGTCGGGTCAATCATGCTTCGCCTACTGTACTCGAGATACATAGCCGCTTACTACTTCAGCGGTGGCGAGGATACATACGGACAGGGGAAAATGCCAGCCTGCAGAATCTGTAGCTATCATTGGTACCATACGCGCTTGAAGCCGACATACGGTGGAGGACACAAGTTGAATTGACGACCGGTCGCCCCTTCAATGAACTAACTCAAGCATTCACTTCCTTATGTATGTCTATAAGAGCGAAGTATTCGTTTTCCGTTTATGCATATGCCATCCCGGCAACAACAGGGTTTCACACGCGCGAAAGGTCGTCAAGTTTATGTGACCTCCACCTTATCCGGGATGTGAGCGGGCCCCTCTGAACAAGAATCATACAGATTTATGCCCAAATATGGACTTTGGCATCATCATGCCAATCTAAGTGACACAGTCAGCGTGTGCGGGGCCCTTGCCAAGACATGAAACACGTACGACGTAGTTAGGCATATCCACAACTTCGTGCATGCGCAGATCGCCTGCGACGCTGCAAAGCATGTACGCTTCTTCTCTGCTTAGGTCGTGCTCGACCATCAGGACAGTTATCATGTGCCGTACAGCATCCCGGGCGGCTTCTCGGATGTCTTGGAACAGATTGAGATTTTAGGGTACGAAGTCTTATGCTGTGTACGAGCTTACCTGGCCTAACACCGGTGGTGCAGTAGTAGCCTTTGGGGTCTTCTGAAACGCTGGGTGTGGAGAAGTGCGGAGTCTTGACGTGAGATTTGTCCTTCAGGACTGTCAGGCGCACCGTGGTCTTCATAGGCGTCTCAATAGCAGTGCCGCAAACCTCTGAGTCACCACGATAATTCAAGACTAAGTGTTTCCTGAGAGAAATCTACTCACCTCCATCACCCTGGGCAGCATGTCCATCCTGTGCGGCCACCATATAAGGATATACAACCTTGCGAAATAGTAGAACTTACCCCGGTGGAATACAGCGCTCCTTCAACCTGAATTGGGAGATACAACGTCGTGCCCTTCGTCAAGTGCTTGGTATCAATGTTGCCTCCTGTGCTATACGGCGGTATGGTCGAGTGGGGCCCCTTCTCGGCAAGTGCAACGCCCATCTCGCCGGCGAACGGCCTTAACGGGATCTTTATGCCCTTGAGCTTGTCGAACCAGGCAAAGTCCTGTCCGGCAGGCAAGTCCCAGATCTTCAGGGACGGCGTCGGGAACTCGTCCGCCAGGAGTCCGAACCCAGGGAGGATACCCGTCCAGCCCCACTCGGCCGTGCTGACCTCGAGAATGTCAACCTGCAGCGTGTCTCCTGGCTGTGCGTCCTCGATGTAAATTGGGCCATTGACCTGGTCGAGCGTGGCGATGTCAAGAGTGCGCAGGGAGGTTGCGACGGTCGCTGGCGTGACTTGACCATTGGACGCGTCAAGGCAGTCGAAACTGACGGTCTCCCCCGACTTGACTCGGGCCACTGGGGGGATGCTAGACATGCGGGTGCCGATATGGGTCATCTCGAGATGTCAGCAATCAGTGGTACCGACCTGTTGTCCCAGGCGAGATGGCACTGTGAACGCCTGATAGAGTGGATAGACATAGCCAGAGGAGGGCGTTCACAGTAGTCTCAGAGTCGGCGAGCAGGTATATATCCCGTCGAGCATGGGAAATAGCGAAGCACATGCTGCCTCGGGAGCTGGGAGTCCGCAAGCTTGAGAAAGATAGCAAGACAAAACAGTATATCCGACAAAGGGGGTGATATACTTTGCCGATCGGTCACCCACGTCAGTATGGATCTGTATGGATACCTCAGCAAGCGAACGGGATACATTGCAAAGCACGGTGGTAGGAGGCAAACTCGCATCTCCAAATTTGTAGCAAACAAACTAAGCGTTTTTGGCCATCAGTACCGCTAGAAATGTGCCAGATATTGGGTTAATTATGAACAGGCGCCCACAAATTTGCTCCAATGTGGTGAAGTTTATGTGACGTTCCACAAGCGAAGGGTTGAACAACTGGTCCTCGCACCTGTATCTTACTTGTGGCCTCAATCTTCTCTCTGACACTCTTGCACTAGAGGTCAGGCGTGTACCTCATCCCCTGGAGACCGGCTACTGTCCAAAATACACGCTTGCTCTACTAGCTTGGCTTTGCTGAACATCTTACACGACCCCGCCCTGCCGACTCCCTCAGCAAACTATGGCAGATTCATCTCTGTATGCCTCTTGCGCAGAGGCTCTGACACTGGCACAGTCCCACAAGGATGATCTCGCATTCGTACTCGACCCCGACAAAGGCTTCGCCCCGAAAATGCGCCAAATCTGTCAAGTACAACTCGCGGACGCGCAGGAGAACGCGGACAAGTATTCAATAGAGGAGCTCGAGGCTTTGCGAATGGAGAGCGATACGTGGGGCCTCTTGCAGGCTGTGATGCCGTAAGTCTGCGCGCACCGCTCTCTGCTCGGCCTCTGGACTGACGTTCGCAGCATGCGCAAGACTGCCTATCCCTCGTACCCGCGGGCCGCGCAGTTACTCACCGAGAACCCGTACACGCCGCCCTCGACTCTTGCACAAGCGATCATGCATGCCTCGCGGCTGCTCGCCGAGCTCGTCGTCGTCCGCGAGTGGCTGCACGATACCGCGCCGCCGCCCGCGTCGGTCGACGCGACGACCGGCTACTGGAAGTTCACGAAGCATCAAGTGATGCAGGCGCTGCGCATGAACAAGTCTGCCGGCTTGAGTGGAATGGATCCGGACGCGATCAACCGTGAGGAAGGCGGGAACCTTGCGCCGGACGACGCGGTGAGTGGCCTGCGCGGTCTACCCCACCGAGTCGCGACCTGACGTCCCAGGAAGGCATACGAAAAGGCATTCACACACGCGTTATACGCCCACGTACGGGCAGGCAGACTGGAAGAAGCCGTGGAAATGTGCAGGAAAGCGAATCAGCCATGGCGCGCGGCGAGCATTCGGGGGTCGGCACTTTTTCAATGGCGCGCAATAGGTGCGTTTAAGGACGTGTTATTCTGCTCGACAACCCAGTTCACCTATGCTGTACTCAGCAAATGAACCAAGAGATGACGACGCGATGGACGAGTCGGAAGACTTCGATGTGTGGCGAGGGAATAGACGGCGAAAGCTGTGGAAGTCAGCGTGCGTCAGCGCCGCTCTGAACGTGCGTTCTGGTGTTTTTCAGTTCTCATTGTCTCCTAACGGCCGTTCATAGCCCAATCTATCGACAACGGAACGTGCATTATATGCAGCGTTGGCCCCCAGTCCACAAACCGCTTCATATCTCAAGGCAGCCTGTAGGACATGGTCTGACCATCTATGGGCGCAGATTAGTGTTGTATGCGAAGAGAAGGAGAGCCAAGAGATGGCGCGCTTGAGAACAAGTTTCTGGGAAAATCCTGAGGAGCTCGATATTGGAGCTCCCGCAGATGATAACGACGAGGCGGAGGAAGAAGAGTGGGAACGAGAAGTTGTGGGCTCGCTAGAATCACTGGGGACTGTTTCGGTGGAGGAAGGGTGCGTTCGCTACTCCGTCTTTTGAGCTGAGCTGAATATGCACAGAGCTCCTTCGGATAACCCATACCACATTTCTCAGCTTAGCATCATTTTGGACCGGACAGATGCGCTCCTCGAAGCTTTTGCGACTGGGCTCAAAGAGGGACGTTATGACCCAGAGTCTATTGAGCAAGTCATGCCTCATGTTCGCCAATTGTAGCCAAGCTAACCCGGGACAGCTATCCTACCATGACGCGCTTCTTCGCGCACCTATGCCTCTTCCTCCAGCTTATTGACGTGTCGCCCCCACCATTAGCAACGCAGGTCATTCTTGAAGCGTATCTACAGGTTCTCGAGGTTGGCATTCCTTTGCACCCATATTGGGCAAGCGCGTACTGACAACTTGCAGCGCGCAGGCCAACGAGAGTTGATTGCCATGTACGCCGGCGCGTTGGGCGACAATGCAGTAGAACGATACGCCATGTTCCTCACCTCGCTCGAGCTCTCTGCAGACATCTCAGAGCGCAGGCTCGCGCTCACTCGCGCGAGAGATCACGGCCTCGACATGGATCGTGTCGCGATCGTGACTGCCGAGCGCACGATAGAGAAGGCCTTTTCGGTGGGCCATATGAGCGTGACTTTATTTTAACGAAGCGATCCTGACCATTGAATCCAAGATTTTACCTCCTGCGAAAGGCCCATTACCATCTGTTATTAGCCAGCAGCCGCCACCGTCAAACGCTGAGCTGCTCCTGGTGCGGTCAGTTGAGTGGACGACATATCTGGAGTCTACGTACGACACCGCGCTGGAGCAAGCGAATGTGATCTTGCGGTACTTGCTCGGTGCGTGAAATCATACCTCACTTGCTCCCTCGCTTTTGCTCACCACTGCACCCAGGTTGTGGCCGCGTGCAAGTTGCCAAGACCATGTTGGACCGGCTGCCCACGGAGCTGAGCACGATCCGGCACCCGGAGGAGCGCGCGACCGAGTTTTTGCACTACCGGCAGTTCTTCATGGTCTGGGATGCGCTCGAACGCGTCGTGGAGACGCAGGCGCTCGAGGCGCCGCAGATGACCCGGGAGACGCGCGCTGAGTGGCTCGCCGACTACCGCGGCACACTCGACGCCGCTCGCGAGCGCGTCGTGCGGCTGCTCACCACTGAATGGCTCGTCCCCGACAGCGCACGCGGGGCGAGCGACAGGCAGATCTCGAAGGAGCTATTGCGGATACGCCAGATTTATGTTCCCGAGCTGATCCTTCGTCTGCATGCGATGTTGTACAGCCCGCGTACGCGCATTCCGGGGTGCGTTCCGTCCCGCTCAGCTTTCTCATGCCGCTGCGTTGCTGATAGATGTGTCTCATTTGCAGGAACCTCAAACACGCGCTCGAGTTCGCGAACGTCGTCGCCGACTCACGGTACCGCCTCTACGACGACTTTGCAGACCAGCCTAGCCGGCGGCTGGGTGACTACCTTGGTGCAGTCCGGCAGGCGATCCTTGGAGGCCTGGAAGGTGGCGGCTCGGATCCGTTCAGAGTCCTGACGTTGTAGATTGCCTGTTTGCACTGCTGTACGTCATGGTGCGCTGTCGCACCTCTAATCCTCTCAGGGAGCACGCATTTGGCGACGTGAACATGCCGGGACTCCTCATACCGTTCTGCATGTGGCGAAGAACATTTGAAATTGCACGAGGAGATTGATCCTCGCTCAAGACAACTGTATAGACATGCCAGACCTAAGTTACTACTTGTGTTCTCACTAGCGACCCGAGCTTGCGTACATGCAACGTTCTCGGGCTATAGTCTTTGGCGAAACTAGGTGCCGAGCCCAACTTCGAAGTTGCTGAATACCGGCGTCGTCAGAGACGTGTCGAATTCGGACGAGAGCAGAGCGCGCAGGCTCTCTTTGTGGTTCGAGAATTCGTTCACGTATCCCGCGATCTTGGCGTTGTATTGCTGCACTTTGAGAACACGCACTGGATAGTCTTTATGAGCTGCGGTCCCCGGCGTAGAGTCTGATCAGCCATACCTAGGGTCGTTCGCTTGTAGTAAGAGCTGGGGCGCGTTAGCACAGGTCACCGGTGAGGCAGATCGCGACGTACTCGCAGAAATTTGCTAAGAGCAAAAATTTGAGTAAACGGTTGCGTCAATGCATGGCGGGCTGAGGACCTACCAAACTCCTGGATTGTCCTATATAGAGGGCCCACATGTTCATAAAGGCTCTCGTAAAATGATGTGTCTGGGACCGAGGCGCCAGTGATGGAGTCGATAGTAGCGGAACTGACGACTAAGAGTTGGAAGAGAGCATCACACTGAAACGTATGGGCTGTTATAGGCGTCAGAAAGGGCAAAGTGACCCACCACGCAAAGCCAGGTGCCTACGAGAGGCTGGGCGTTAACTCGGCGATGACTCTCCAGAGAGTAGGCAGTCTGGCCGACAAGTATCAATTTACATGTGTCACAGAAAGTTAGATGCGACTACTTACCTTGGCTGTAAGTACAAGATCCTAGAGTTTGGGATAAAATTATCGAACCGCACTCAGAATAGCCATGCAGCCTTACCCCGAGCTCAGGGTACAACTTGGCGACATCTGTGAGAGCCTCCAAGAGAACCTGTATGCCATCAGAGATAGGATGATTACCATCAGAGCTTAGAGAGGTTCCTAGACGTTTATGCTACTACTAGGTTAATATTGGCAGGAGGGAAGCGGTAATCCAGCCTTACGCTCAGTGAGTAAACAGTAATTGTATCTAGGGTCCCTCCTGCGGCAGCAGCACGCTCTGAGGAAGGTCTTAGTTAACTTCATTGGACTATTTGCACTAGCGCCTTCACCTTTGTCTGATATGAATTCTGCTCTGGCTGCCTCGAGCGCCTTTCTGACTGAGCTTATGGTTTGACCTAGTTAGGGTGTTAGTAATCGTTCAAAGTAAGTTTCAAAGACATTACGCTGTTTGGGGATCATTCTACGAGGACCCTGTTGCTGTGGAGAGACGGGCTGTGCAACTTGTTGTTGGGCATTTAGGAGCTTGATGAGCATTTCTTCCATGACAATTAGTCTTTTCGACATATCGGTGATCTGTTGCCGTAGCTCCTGCTCGGCCTACATACGAAGTTAACGCAAGAGCGACACGCATAGGCCACGGTACGTGGTGATTCACACCTTATGCTTCCTAACAGCCTCTGGTTCCCAGTCTGGCTCGTCTTCACTGATAAGGCTGGACTCGTCCTCGGGCACTGGAGGCACTGTGTACAACAGCACGCCGCCATCGGTTGCTTCATCCCCAGCTCGCATGCTAGCATTTGCGGGCTCGTCATCATATGCCATAGCTCCGTACTCCTCTATGTCCGGCTCGTCATCGGAAGAGGATGCATAATACTGATCGTCGTCATTTGCATTAAACCGGGTTACGTAGTCCATTTGCAACAAGGACTTCTCCTGCCAATTACCGAGCGTCACAAAAGTGCTGTCCAGCATCGATATAATGATATCGTGTAGACGCACCCGTTCATACCAGCCTTTGAATAGCCCCCGGTTGTAGTACTCCACCTGCGTGTCTAGCTCGAGCCGCTGCTGGCGCCAAATCTGCGCAAGTACGTCCAGACGCTGGCCAAAGGCTTCGAAGACGAAATTCCAAGTGTCAAGCATATCCTCGAACTCACGGACAGCCACAGGTCGTAGCCGTGCCACTTTCAGCACCTTCATGTGACGCACGAGAAGAAGATGGATCATGCATAAGATGCACTGGATGAGCAACTTCGAAGTGAGTGAACGAGATCATGAGCATCAGCTGACGAACGTACATTCTCCAGGCGCTGCTTATCCAACACGACAGATACGTAATCAACGCCCTTGATCTGGTACTTCAGTTTGTCGAGGTTGGTTCGAATGCGACTCGCTTGCAGCTCTGTCCATATCCGTCCGAGTTTATCCAACTCCTCATATTCTACATGGTTTTCCTCGAGCTCGCCGAGCGGCCGAAGGATGTTGTCGAGCACCTCGATCAACTTGATCCGTGGCAGCATGCTCGTGAAGTGCTTGACACGTTTCAGGTTTTGAGGTAAAACCTTCCTGGGAGCGCGTTTCAGACGAGCCCGCAGGACGCGTATCTTGCGAAGGTACCTGGGCAAAGCTGAGTGTAGACGGAAAATCTCGTGCCAGAATTATGGTACTCACTCGACATCAGACTTGTAAGGCCCAACTGCCCAACTGTGAGCCGCGGCGTCAGCTCGCGTAGACATTATCGGTCCATCTCACATACAATGCAATCCAAGCGGCGTTGCTACACCCAAGTTCTTCAGGTTTGGCCCGCAAAAACTCGTTGGCCTTTCCGGGGGAAAATAATGAACCACAGCTAGTATTTTATCAGTATGCGAGCTCTGTACCTCTGTGTGGGAGATGAAACCACTGCAGTCCTCGTCTATGCCGTCTCCAATTGCAGGACGGACTTCGGGATTACTCGGCATCAGCTTCGTGCTAGAGCATAAAGTAGACTACCCACAGTATGGTCGAGATAGGAAGTGTAGAGTCCAGGCATCTGGGTGCTTCTGGCCAGTATTGAGCAAGTGCGTAGCGAACTTCTTCTGGAAGTGTTGGTATAAAGCTGAAGTGGGTTGATGAGGTGGAATATAGAGCACTTTTGTGAGTACGTACCATCCAGGAACATATGTCTGTCAACGCTAGCGCGTCCATGCATAGCTGACAGAGCGTGAGAAGGACGCATGTATGCGTCGTTTTCGTGAACAACTTACTTCGCCATATTGCCCGTAGATCGTCGTCCTCTATCAGATTATGTGGACCATCCTCGAGCTGAGTCACATTTATTCTCAGCAAAAACGTCGTCGTGAAAGGGTCTGACTCGAACCTTGTTCAATATGACCAGCGTTGAGTGATCTACTTGGTCTAATACAGTCGTCGTCGATATATCGACTTTGTAGAGAACCATCGAAGTCGAGGCTCGGATGGAAGCTTCGACTCGCTGGACCATGATATCGATCTTGCTAGAATACGCGTCCCTGTATGCAGTAAATGTAAGTATGGAGTATCAGGCCGGCAGAAATGTGATCATGTACAGGTTGTTGCGCAGAATCTCGTCCAGATCCATCCTCAGATTTCGCTTCATCGATGAATCAAATCTCTCCCCGAGAACTCGAGCGAGTTGTTCGAGCTTTCTATCATCCTGTGATACGAGGGTCAGTGAGTAAATGCGACCTGTGCTAAGCAATCGCTTACCTGCACTACAGCCTCTAAGCCCCCCATGTTGTGAACGTAGCGATCTGCAGTCTGTTCCTCGCTGGACTTTGCTTCCAGAAGCGCTACAATCTTAGTCACTTCGGTCTTCACGTCCCGTATGGTTAGACTAGATTGCGCGGACAGCAACAAATGAAGCTCCTTCTTGTGGTCAGAGAAATCGCCGGCGTATGCAGCCAGCTTGTCCTTGTAGTGTTTCGATCTGAGGGTTTTCACTGCATCATTGTAAGCATGCTACATGAACGAGTAAGAGAAATGTTACCGAATCCCGCTTGGCGATAATAGACTCTGCAGAGTGATCAACACATAATCGTGTAAATGATCATGCTAGCACATACTCGCAGAAATTTCCTGGCCGAGGTGATTGGCGCAAATTAGAGCAGGAGAGTTAAATCACAGCATACCAAAGCTATTGATTGTCTGGCATATTGCATTCAAACAAGTTTCGAGATGCTTGTCTCCGTCTACGACGGGATCCAAGTCGGAGAGCAGGAGAAGTAAGGAGCTCTGAAAAGTATTGGTCTATAACATTTCGAAGAAATGCCCTTCAAATTTACGCACCATTGTGAAGTAAACAATAGCGATCTGCTTGTCATTGCTTCGTCGTGTGAGCTCAAGGTCGATTACAATCTGCGAGATTGTTAATCTTCTGCGGAGTCCATTATGAGACTGAGAGACTAACCTTGACAACGCCTGCAACCACCTCGAACACTGGACGTCAAGTGCTGCCATGCATGAGCATTAGAAAGCAAGATACCTTGACGGCCGGGTGGACCTCAGCTATACAGTCGAGTATGTCTACAATGTCTTTCACGGGAGCGAGCAGATCTGCTACAGCCACCCTGCTGGTATCCCATGGGGCTGCCACTGCCCACGGTCGTCAGTTGGGCGAGTCAGGTCATTGAGAGAAACCACGCAGGACGTGTCAACGTTACCATCCTCAACTTTAGATATGGCGTCATTCGCCTTGTTCAGTTTGTCCTGAGCGGAAGAGACCAGACTCACTGTGACTTTGTGAGCAGATTGTCGGGGATCTCGTTTGCAATCGACTCACTGAGACGTGATGATTTGCTGTTCTGGTCATGTTTGATGTTTGCCTCTATCTTCTTAAACTCGACTCCACCAGTCAGTGCCTCAGCACTAGACTGATGTGGCATTTTGCCTCAAAGTATACAGACTGAGAGCCGTTATAGTTGGAAGAGATGCCAATGAGTGTTGTGCAGGCCAGATTGCATTGAGATGTGGAGGAGACTGGAGGCTGTACTTAAAGTTCGATCTCAGAGCTCTCATAATCTGCAACCGCCTATACCACATCGATTAGACAACCACAGCGTCCTGCTGGCGACCTCGTGCAGCACTGTACTGTAACTAGCGTCATCAAGCAGTGGATCATTAGTCTTAGTTGACGTGAAAAATGCTCACAACGATTCGTTGATTAAGCTGCATGTATCTGGCTCGTTTATTGCGCTGAAGCATGGTTGAAGCATGGAAGAGCAGGGACGGCCCGGACGGGGAGCATTTGGCGCATCAATGATGCGCCCTCTTTCCCCGTTAGGTATATCGGTTACTCCGCGCTGCACACGTTCCTGTCGTGATGACCGCGCCGAAAATAAATTGGGGTTGTTCCTTCGGATACTGCCTCGATCAAATCATTGCATCTGCGCAGCCTCCATATCAGCGTCTGCACTCTCGTCCTGCTTAAATTCCGAAGGCCCCGTTACCACCGATCTAGCATCCTGCAGTCATGTCGTCCTTCCTCGATAAGCTCGCATCGGAGGCAGACAAGCTTGTTTCGAAGGCGGAAGAGGGTGTATCGCACGCCCGCAACACCGCCATTGGTACAACATTCCTTTCTTTGACCTACTTTTTTGTCGCTAATATGTGCCAGGACTCTTAAATCCAAATCGCAGACATGACACTCCGGAAGAGCAGCGAAATGACATGATTCGTGCTGAGATCAATGCCAGCCATCGTTTCCACTCGTTTGCAGACCAGCGGTCTCATAATTCCGTCAAGTGGTAAATACTCCAGACTCGCGGCATCCTGTGTTGAAGACCGCTAATATTTACCATTCTACAGGCATATCGATGGTCATGACTACATGTACGCTCTGTCTGAGATGTTGGACAGTGCTCGTGAAGTCATCTATATTCTTGTGAGTATGTGCAGGCGCAGTGCGAGGACGACCCGGGCAAGAGCGACATGCTCCGGATCTCGACATGCGTCCCTGTATGTTCCGTATCGTGGACTAATTTCACATTGAAATAGGACTGGTGGTTGACCCCGGAGCTATATCTACGCCGGCCGCCCGCCTATAATGAACAATGGCGCCTGGACAGAGTGCTCAAGCGCAAGGCAGAACAGGGCGTTAAAATTTACGTAGTGGTCTATAAAGAGGTAAAAGCTCAAATATATACGTCTGAAAGACATACTCAAAGGGGATGCAGGTTACGCAAACGATGTCGATGAGCTCCAGTCACACTAAGCATGCTCTCGAGGCGTTACACCCCAACATTGCCTGCATGCGTCATCCCGACCATATCGGAAGCAAAGGTATCTATTCCCGGACGTGAAATTTATCAGAAAACTTTACGATAGAATGTAGATGACGTCGAATTTTGGTCGCACCACGAGAAGGTCGTTGTCGTCGACCAGCATCGTGCATGCATCGGCGGACTTGACCTTTGCTTTGGACGCTGGGACACGCACACCCATCCCCTTGCGGATGCGCACCCTACACACTTCGACGAGACTCTATTCCCCGGACAGGACTACAACAATGCGCGCGTTTTGGATTTCAAGGTGCGTCACATGTGCAGGCGCATGTTGGATAGGCGCTGATGTGTATCCCAGAATGTTAGCCAGTACGCTAACAACGGATTAAGTATCATAGATATGCCGCGAATGCCGTGGCACGATGTAAGTCATGTATCATCCCTCCGGCTCGCCGTGCTTACAACACGTATTGTTCTTGATAGATGCATATGACCCTCTGTGGCCCTGTCGTGCTCGACATTGTCCAGCACTTCGTCGAGCGCTGGAACGAGGTCAAAAGAAGAAAAGTAATTCGTAGAGCACATTAACGTGAGACAGATAGCTGACCCCCTCCACAGTACAGGAACGAGAAGTAAGGCAAGCTGTCGCCTGTGTAGTCGCAGTGTGCTGACGTTGGTCTGGTAGCCGCTACGACTGGCTCGCCTTGCCGCATAATATCGAGGCTGCACCGGAAGAATCTGTCGCACGCCATCCGTTACGCGAGAATTGGCACAGCATGGGGAAGCGTTTTAAGCAGCGCTTCAACCGACAGTACGGCGAGTGGTTCCCTGAAGAAGAAGAGGATCCGATCGCCTACCAGCGCCCGCCGAACGGTACTTGTCGGGTGCAGGCTGTTCGCAGCGTCTCAGACTGGAGCCATGGTGTGCTTACTGAGAGAAGTGTTCAGAATGCCTGTAAGCGCGATGTTTCGTACATTCTGGCTGTACTAAGTCAAGGGACATCATGCAGACTGTCAGCTCATTGCAGAAGCCAACCACTTTATTTACATTGGTACGTTCTTCCGCTGAAGCCTTGGATGAATCTGGTGATGACCCATGCGTATGAAAGAGAATCAATTCTTGTAAGTTTATGCGGCGTCTGATGCCCTCATGTCTGACGTTCGATAGCATATCTTCCACTACGACGAAAGACCCGGTCAAGAACCAGATTGCCAATGCTCTTGTCCAGCGTATCGTGCAAGCCGCCAGGGATGGTCAAAAGTTCAAGGTAAATACTAGCATATACACACCTAAAAATTTTAGACTGACAGTGGCGCAGGTCGTGGTCGTCATTCCTGAAGTCCCAGGCTTTGCTGGTAACATCAAAGATGCCTCCTCTGTACAGGTAATCATGGCTGCTCAGTACAGAACGATCAACAGGGGAGGCCATAGCATCTATGAAGAGATTCGCAGGGCGGGATACGAACCGTAAGTGCCCAGTCTACTCGTAGCCTGATCTACAGCTCATTGCCTCACAGCATGGACTATATCCGCTTCTATCATTTGAGGGCTTATGACCGCATTAACGCCCCTTATCGTAAGCCTTGACGTCCTCATTCAGACGGCATGCTGCTAACACGACGGCTGCAGCATCGTTCATCAAGAAGATGGAAGAGGCTAGCGGGGTGAAGTTCCAGCAGGCCATGGTCGCGCTGGCCAGGCAGTGGGTCGGACAGTCGGAAGATGGCGCTCCTCAGCAGCAGTCCGTCACCATCGTTCTACCGGATGAGACGCTCGGCTCCTCCGCCAGTGTAGAGGGCAACAAGAATGCACTCAAATCCGAGACGTACCCGCTCCCGCAGAGCGCCGCCGAGGCGCGGGAGATCATTGAGCGCTTCGAGCACGGGGCGGACGGTCTGCGTAGCGACGAGGACGTATCTGACAACGTCGTGCAGCACATGCTGAGCGACAAGACGAACCTGCTGGACGAGAAGTGGCTCGGGAGCGAGGAGGAAGAGAAGAACGCATACGTTTCTGAGCTGCTATACATTCACTCGAAGGTCATGATTGTCGATGACCGGCGCGTTATCGTAAGTATGTCCCCAGTCCACAATGAACGTCACTGAGTGCGCAACGCAGATGGGCTCTGCCAACATCAATGATCGTAGCCAAAAGGTCGGCATGGTTTTACCTTGTGTACAGTGACGATGTTCATTGACTACACTTAGGGCGACGGAGACTCCGAAATTGCCTTGGTTGTCGAGGATGACGATATGATCGAGACTTACATGGATGGCCAGAAGTATATGGCTGGCCGCTTTGCTGCATCTTTACGCCGCCAAATCTACCGAGGTCGGTCAAGATTACAGTTGCCTATCGATGCAGTGCTTACCGAAGATATCTAGAGCACCTAGGTCTCATTCCGCCTCAGTTCTGTGAAGGCCCCAGAGAGCAAGTGACGTCTTTCATGCGTCCGGCTCCCATCCCGAACCGTGACGAGTTCGGTACTCCTGAAGACAACGCCGTTGCCGACCCGCTGTCGCCACACACTGAGGCCCTCTGGAACGATACCGCGAGGACGAACCGCGAGATCTTTACCGAGATTTTCCGTCCGGTGCCTACCAACCTGATTCGGAGTTGGTCCGCCTACGGAGTACGCCCGCTGCTGGTGTCGCGACGAAGTGCTCGCTAATCGTTTGAACAGAATTACGTGTCCAACGGCAAGACGGACCACGTTGTCCCTGATATCCCACTTGCGCGCGTCAAGGACCGCCTCTCGCAAGTCCGGGGTGCTCTGGTCGAATGCCCGCTCGTAAGTAATCAGTGCACATACCCGCGAGTGGTGAGCTTACTGCACCTCCGCAGGATTTCTTGATTGACGAGAAGGAGTTCACCGAGGGACCGATTTGGAGCGGGTTCGACCCAGTGCTACCTCTCTACATCTAGATAGCTGTTAAGCCAGACAAGTGTGAACAATGTGTACTCGCTAGAATAAAGGTGACGTCTCATGTGATGTCCGTCTCAACATGTCTACGTGTTCTATGGACGTCGCGAATTACTGTTTCGTGTGCGGTACATCGTAGCATGGGAGGGGGTAAGGTTGGGTTCGTGGTCTTGTGAGAGTCGCACGACTGGGGAGCTGCAGGCCTCGTCAGCTGGGGCTAGCGCTGGTGAAGTACGAGCTTCTCTGATAGCTGACCATCATACGTCGGGCGAACTAGCTCGCGAGGAGTTCTCGAGCGTACACTCGACGTAAAGGATGCTCTATCGACGGTCCTATTATGGTGAGATCTCCGTTTCTTGCGACATTATCCCGAAGGCTTATGTTGCGGTAGAAACGCTAGTGGTCCATCGACCTTATAAACATGTCTGACGGCTGCGAAGATCGTCGGACCAGGGCCCTATCGTGCCGGTGAGTCAATGACACGTACATCCTCACTTGTTTCGACGGTCGATGACCAGGGCCGGCGATGGCCACAACGAGCGGTGCGCCTCCTCTTTCGTGCGAGAACTCGGGAGTCGATACGGTCTTCGCTACTGAGACGACAGTGTCTCTCTACAGCTGCAGTACGTTTGTCACCATTTAGTGATACTTCGCGAATCACAAAGTTAAGTGTAGCTCTTCGAGTTCTACCGCGCTTTATGCGTTACTTGTGCTGCTCTGCGGCTGTACGGCCGTCGCGCATCGTTCAAGCGCGAGCGTAAGGAAGACACAGCCCAGAGAGGGTGACCCAGAAAGGTATATAAAGACTGGTCAAATGTTGAAGACCGTCAGCAGAGCAATCCGCCTCACTCAGCTTCACCACTTTCAACACCACTCAACAACTTCCAAACAACATGCCGGCTACTCCAAAGACAACTCGTGCTAGTATGTTACTTCCTCGCTGCTCTCAACCGAGCTCCAGAACTGACACTCGTGCTTCAGCTGGTGGTGCCGCCACTGGCAAAACCCCCACGACCGCCGCTGACGCCTCCCGGATACAGTCCACGCAGGTACGCCCGTCATCGCCATCGCGCCCTCTTGCATCATGCTCACCCTTCCTCTCGCAGGCCAAGGCCGGCGCTGACACCGGCAAGGGCAGCTTTCCCGCTCGCACTCAGGCTTCGGCGGCGAAGAATACTGGAGGTGCCCCGAAGGCTCCCAAGGGCAAGGCTGCATAATCACAACAAACCGGATGTGAAGGTCTACTGAAAGTCTGTAAAGCACTGGGCTTGCCTGTGTAGAAAGCGATGCTTCGTCCTGTATCACGAAAAGCACACCTTAAATACAATGTACATCACTATTTATCGCTCGCATCCGTCGCGCGTGAACCTGGCTAAGGATACACCCCCTTGCTAACGTCGACCACGAGGTAGACGAGATGCGGGCGTTGAACTTCCATCGTACACTCACATTCACAAATGCGCTGCGCTTATGAAGTAAAAGGTAAAAGAATGAAAGTTCGATTTGTAGGTATCAGTACTTGAGGGTTAATAGACCTCTGGTAGGCACATTTAATGCTGCAAGATGTGGAAAGATCGAGACTGAGTAACTGAAATACAATGAGACGAGACAATAAACATGAAAAGACAGGAAGGAATGGCATGATGCAGTCTGCTGAGTAGACGTTAATGATACACATGAGGAACAGCGAACAATGCAGAGTGACAGGGAAGGTAAAGACAGATCAGAGACAAAAGGGCCGAGCTCCCGATACGACGAAACTCAGCGGACGTCTCACTCGACCAGCCGCCCGTGCAAGCGGTGTGTCGACATCCATGTATCGAGACGCTCCATCGTGTCCTTTTCGAGAGCAGTCTTCTGCGACTTCCGCTGACTCGAGTGCCTGCGTTCGACAATGAGCTTGTTCATCGTATTTATCAAGTCGTTTCGCCGCAGCGGCTCTTGAGGACGGTTAGCCGCCGGTATCACGCGCTAAAAACAGCATGTACTCACTGGTAATATGGTCGTCCATACCGGCCTGCAAGCAGCGTTCCCTGTCGCCAATCACTAGGAGTGGTCAGCTTCGTTGTTCAGACCCTAGAGAATCGAGTTGGACTTACTGGCGTGGGCAGTTAATGCGATGATAGGGACATGGGTGAGGCTCCTCTGGGATTCGTATCTCCGAATGTGCTGCGTAGCCTCCATACCGCCCATGAGGGGCATGGATAGATCCATCTGCACATGCCATCAGCACTCAAGCTACAAACACAGATGCTTATATACTCACGAGAACAACATCGTATGGCTCGCCGGCCTCGTAGCGCGAGACATAGCTGTCGACCGCAGTCTGGCCGTTCTCGGCGATGTCGACCGTATGGCTGTACTTCTCTAGCATCTTGATCGCTAACTTCTGGTTGACCATGTTGTCTTCCGCGATCAGGATCCGGTAGGTGATGTTGTTCTCTGTCGCCACCGTCGTGACATTGTTCGACTCCAGCGCAGCGACCAACGCCGACACGAGATCGGGGAGCTTGACGGGTGTCGTGACCTGGCCAGATATACTGTTATCCAGGCACCATTTCACTGCTGTTTTGTCAGTACGTGGTGGGTCGCAGCTTAAAGCGAGTACGCTTACAATTCAGGATCGGGTCCATCTCGGGCGAGAGCAGGATGAGCGGTATGTAGCGCAGGTGCTCATGCTCACGTATCTGTTCCGTGACCTGCATCGAGTCGACAACGATTGTGTCGATATGCGGGCAGTTACCCTTTTCGGCGACCTCCTTCGCGCTGTTCGCGACGGTCAGCTTGAGGCCGAGCGCCTTGATGTGCTCCTCGAGACCGGCCTCTTGACGTCGGCTGTTCATGTACAGAATGTTGCGTTTTGAAAAGAGCTCAAGCTTGTGGCGCGAGCTCTCGAGTGTCATTGGGCTGATTTGCGACGTGACTGTGAAGAAGAAACGCGAGCCCTGGCTGACCTCCGACTCGACCCACATGTTACCGTGCATGAGGGCGACGAGGCGCTTCGAGATGGATAAGCCCAAGCCGGTTCCACCGTATTCCTGTAAGATGTGAGAAACGACAGACATAAGAATAGAACAACGACCTACTCGCGTCGTCGAACCATCTGCCTGGCAGAAGGTGTCGAAAATCACCGTCAACTTGTCCTTGGCGATTCCAATACCCGTGTCAGACACGCAGAATTCGAGGATGACATTCAAGTCATCGAGAGCGAGTAGTCGACAGCTGAGGGCAATGAGACCCTTGGAGGAAACCTTAGACGGCGTGAACTTGATAGCGTTTCCGACCAGATTCGTGATGACCTGGCGCAGACGCAAGGGATCGCCGATTAACTGGTCAGGGATGGCGGGATCGACGTCGTACGTCAGCAGCAGCTCGTTCTGCGATGCCCGGACGACTAATGTCTTGAGTATGCCGAAGACAGTCTGGCGAAGTGAGTAGGGCACTTGTTCCATGGTCATCCGACCAGCTTCGACTATAGCGCTACGTGAATAGGAGGTTGGCAAGGGACGAGCAGGGGCAACGTACTCTTCGAGATATCCAAGATGTCGTCGATGATCAATAATAATGAACGTGCCAAGCTGTGGACTAAGACCAAGCTTTCACGTTGCGAGCGGGTTAAGTCGCTGTCCAGCGTTAGCTCCGTCATACCGATGATACCGTTCATCGGCGTCCTGCAAGCGCACAGGTAAGTTTGCAGGTATGCTGCCCACGAAAAGAGACGTACCTGATCTCGTGAGACATGTTCGCCAAGAACTCGGACTTGGACCTGTTCGCCAACTCGGCAGCCTCCCTGGCGGCGGTGTTCTTCTGGATGCTGTCACGCAAATTGAATAACATTTGATTGATGTGCGTCTTCAATGAGTCCATTTCACCGCTCGCCTCGACCGTGATGAACCGACTGAAGTCGCCGTCCGTTGCCGCCGCAGAGATCTGTGCGAAGCCACGCACTTGCGTTGTCAAGTTGTTCGCCATCGTGTTTACAGACATTCTGGATACCGAGTGAGCCACCACGGTAAGCGATCATGGCAAAAAGGACACGTACGTGATCTCTTGCCACATGCCCTCTAAGTTGCCTGGCTCGGCCTGTCCACCAAGCTTACCCTCGGTACCGACCTCGCGGGCTACCTTCTTGACTTCGGCAGCGAAGATGGCCAACTGATCAATCATGCGGTTGATGGTGTTGACTAAGTCAAGCATCTCTCCAGAGACACTGACGCCAGTGACCTTCTGCGTCAAGTCACCGCGGGCGACAGCAGTTGTGGCAATAGCGATCGTTCTCACTTGCACCGTCAACTACCGAACTGTCAGCTCAACATCAATGTATGCGTACAGCTCATACTCACGTTAGCAGCCATGACGTTAACGTTGTCCGTCAAATCTTTCCAGGTACCGGAGACGTTCGTGACACGAGCCTGACCACCCAACTTTCCGTCGGTACCGACCTCCTTGGCGACTCGCGTGACCTCGTCGGCGAAGACGCTCAAAGACTCCGTCATGCCGTTGACAGTATCCTTCAAATCCAACATCTCCCCACGCACGTCGACCGTGATCCGCTTCGTCAAGTCGCCGCCGGCGACGGCTTTCGTGACTTCGGCAATAGATCGCACCTGGTTCGTCAAGTTCATGGCCATCAGGTTGACGTTGTCCAACAAGCCCTGCGCAGGGAGATCAGCACGGGCCAATAAGAGCGGACAAGGAAATCGCACCTTCCACATGCCCTCGACATCGGGTACGTAGGCCTGGCCACCCATGATACCTTCCGTTCCAACTTCCAAAGATACTCGAGTAACCTCTCGTGCGAGCGTAGACAAACGAGACACCATCTGGTTGACGGTCGTCTTCAACTCCAACATCTCTCCCTGGACATCGACCTGGACCATCTTCGACAAATCGCCGCGGGCGACGGCCTTCGTGACCTCTGAGATCGAGCGCACCTGGTCCGTCAAATTGCGGGCCATACGCTGCAGGCGTGTATCCTCGTAAGTGGGTGGCGGAGCGACAAAGATCACGAGTGACGTACGTTGACATTCCGCGTCAAGTGATCCCAAGTACCCTCCGCACCCTGAACGACGGCCTGACCACCCAAAATACCTTGCGTACCGACCTCCTGCGCTACACGCGTGACCTCGGAAGCGAATCCGCTCAGCTGGTCCACCATCTTGTTGACCGTCTCCTTCAAAGTAAGCATCTCACCCTCGACCTCGATATCGATCTTCTGCGTCAAATCACCCTTTGCGACAGCCGTGGTGACCATTGCGATAGACCGCACTTGGTCCGTCAAGCTCGAACACATACGATTGACCTGCATAGAGCTCAGCAGCCGCACTGAATTGCTTGTCACGATGCACTCACGTTGCGTGTTAGTTCCAACCAGACACCTTGGACGTTCGGGACCTGGACCTGACCACCCAAATTACCGCGAGAGCCGACCTCCATCGTGACACGAGTGACTTCGGCAGCTAATGTTCTGAGACGAATAACCATGGCGTTGACCGTTTCCTTGAGTTCGAGAATTTCACCGCGGGCGTCGACATCGATTTGCCTGGACAAGTCTCCCAAAGCGACCGCTTTCGTGACCATAGCGATAGACCGCACTTGCATTGTCAAATTTCCGGCCAAGTTGTTGACGACGTTTGTCAATTCTCGCCACGTGCCTTCGACATCCAGAACGAGTGCCTGACCGCCCAATTTACTGCACGCGGCTCAGCATATGGCGATCGATCAGAGGATAGAAGTGCTCACCCTTCGGTACCGACCTCGATACTGACACGGGTGACCTCACGAGCGAATTGACCTAGTTTCTCCACCTGGGTACGAGCTCAGCATCTAAGACATGGATGAACAGAGATGTCGGAAATACCATGGTATTGATAACATCCTTGAGTTGGATCATGACAGGGCCTTGGACGGGTACCGTAATCTTCTGCGACAAATCGCCCCTGGCGACGGCGTTGCAGACCTTGGCGACGTCTTGGACCTGGGCCTTTAGGAGGCGCAGTTCCTCGACAGCACTCATACCAGATTCGAAAGCGGCAGCAGCGAGGGGACCGGGCGGGATGACCATGGGGGAGCTGACGGGAGGACCGGCGAGAGAGGCAATTCTGGCCATGGTCGCGCTGTCGGTGATGACCTTGCCGCAGCTTGGACAAGCGACATGATCGACGTGCGACGACGGAGGGGCGGAGGCAGGACCGTTCATAGTGTGGTTATAAACTTTGGTCTTCTCGAGAGGATTAACAACTCCATCAAGTGAGATTGTCATAGGAGAGGGCGGACGTACGCCGCCGGTCCTCAGGGTCGCGGAGGGCGTCGGCTCGGTACTTTCGTTTATCAACATCGTGATGTCCTCCTTGCCGTCGCTGAACGCCGCGGGAATGCTGTCGAGAGAGCTTGTGGGAGTGAAGAAGGGCGATTGCGTCGCAACGCAGCTCGCGGCGGTCGCGCCACTAAGGTTGGTGAAATCCGTCGACGAGACTGAGCTTGCTGCGCTTGAGAGTGGGGGGCTGTCGCCAACGCTACGTCTCTTCTTCGAGGGGCCACCTACATCAGCGGCCTTTATTGCGCTGTAAGCATCCTCGGCAGTAAACATCCGACGGGCCATGCTTTCGAGAGATCGGAGGATGCTTTGTGTTTGCCAGTTTGAGGGCCCATCGTAGCGTGGTATCGGCGTTGAACAGTGGCCTAGCTCGTAGACCGAAAGGAGAGCTATAAGATGGTTTAAGAATGGGTGGTGTAGGGCCTCTATGCCCTGCGAGGACGCCATGTCGTCGGGCGTCGTCGTCGAGGTTGAGGTTAGAGTCATCCTCGCCGTTCGCTCGCTAAGAGACTGCTAATCGCAGATTTCCCACGCAAAGTGCCGGCACGCACGGCTCACTCGCGTTAATTGGTCGGACTTGAAACCTACATCTCAGCTTTGATGCAGACCCCTGTTCGGGGACACTGGACGACGGATCAGTCAATCGAGCACTCAATCTAAGCGAAAACTAAGCCATCCGGAGACAACAAGCACTCCGGGTGCGCTAAGTAGCTCGGTCCCCTCTATGCTGTGGTTTTCTCGCGTCGTCGGACACGCCGCAGTAAACGTAGGCTAAGGCACGCGTCTCACGCACCTCCGACAAACGTTAGCGTGCTTTGAATTGTCGTGCCGTGGTCAGTCGATCAGCGGGCACGACTGAACCTCGAGTGTATTCGGATCGGTCCGAGCAACAATCACACATGCCTGAAGCGTCAAACAAAAGGGGCGGAGGTGCAAAGGTGCACGCCAACGACAATGGGCACTGGAAGATGGAATGGAGAGAGCTCCTGCGACAAGTGTTTTACACATAGCACAGCTGGTTCTCCAATCGTTGACATCACGACAGAGGTAAAAGACAACACGCGTCGGACGAGTTGTCAGGTAGGCGCGATTACGACACTATGACTGCATAAATCGCTTGAGAGACCCTATCTCACGGAGATGACAGCTTTCCGCCCCAGCGGCGTAGAGCACGGAAACCCGCGAAAGAGTTGGTTCAAAACACTGATCGGCTTGCCCACACAACGTGTCTCCTGCGTGGCGAAAGTCTCCAGCCTACAGCAGCCTTGGACGGGACTCCACGGGACAAGAACTAATAACCGTGAGAGAACTGTGGAGAACGACGGAAGCAGCCAATAGCCCGTGATAGCAGTGGAGGATCTTTGCTATTGCGTGCGAGTGTCATCAGAACCTTATATATCGATGTGGCAGACTACTGTCTGGGGGCTTCAGCTCCGAGTCACTGGCTATCGGGGCGCCAAGGTGTTCTAACGTGCACTCGCAACAACTGTATGAACAACGCAGCGCGACATTACTTCAGACTATGCAGTCAAGCATGAGCCTGTGGGCAAGCAAATTCGTGCAAAACCGAGGCAAAAAACCTAGATGGACAATGTCCACCTGACCCAGCGCGAGGCATGGCTCAAGCGCGCAGCTTTGCTTCTCTTCGTTCTCAACATTCAATCTACAGCCCGTCCCAGAACGAAGGGCCGCAGCTTGCGCGCCCGCCGTCCGGCACGAATGATCCCGCAGCTCCACCTGGAAGTTGGCTTGTTGTACACCTTTGCACGCGTACTCACGTTGAACGAATGGGGGCATCATGAATGAAAGGCGAAATAGACTGCACGAATGAGAGCTATTCGGAAGGAGGCGGAATAGGCCGCCGACACCGCGGTCCGCGGTATACCAGCCCGAAAGTGAGCGTCCATGCCGAGATTAATTGGGCTGAGGCGAAGGCTTGCCACGGCAGGATCAGCATTGGTGAACACATCGAGGCCGAGGGTGCTGAAAAGTTTGGATAACTCGCCTGCCGCTGCGTTGTTTGGACAACGTTCCCCAAACAATAGTGGGGGGCGCGTGCGGAGAGGAAAAAAGAAGACTTGCTTGAATATTATGACACGTACGATGCAATTCGAATCCTTGAAGGTGAGCCGCACTGAATTGGACCGCGTAGATTTTGTAGGAACAGTGGTCGACGGTTAGTACTGATGAGGCTCTGAGCGTCTATGGGCAAAATTGAAGAAATATGCTCTCTGATCCTCAATGTCATCGCGACAACTTCCTAAAGCATGAAGTCAAAATCAGGCTCGGATGATCGTGTAACACTGAATAGATATTGGCAACTTATCTGAAGGTACTTGTCCAGTTTGGAGAGGAGTATCACTGATCTGTCATCTTCAAGTTATTTGTTCAATTTCTGTTCTTGCATCCTCGATCTAGTCTAGATCCTCTAGAAGCATCAGGCATCTGATCTGTGGCGCGGGAAGTACATGTGTGTCGTGAAAACTCAGCTCAGCCTCGCGCAAGCTTCACGAACACACGTTGCCAGAATATATTCTGAGAACTCGTTGCATCCTCCATCACGCTTCTGGACATCTTGAGGTCGGATAGACCTGCGCTAATACTAGATCTGTAAATTATTGAGGTTGTGGGTACATCTCATTGATATCCGTAAAGCTTGTAATATCTAACCCTGCGCACCTTGAGGCTTGCCTGTGGCAAGCGCCGGAATCCTTGCAAAACTGGCGTGTTTTGCTTACACAATATATCTTTGTATTCTCTGTTGAGGAGCTTTAGCCCTCCCTGCTACTCCTTCTCACACGCAGCCTCAACGCGCTTCGGTTTGATGGCAGATCTTCGAGCTACGTGGGCGTTCACTCATCCCCACGTCGTGGCGACACTTCACCGATTGCCACGCAGCCAATTGTATTGCCTGATACTGGCAGTATCAGATCGTACATATACCTCCGAGAAGCAAAGTTATTGTTAGTATTCAGTCTGAATATAGCGATTGAATTGGCAACACGACTAATCTTGAATATATCATGTCCTTATAGCCTCCATTCCCGTTGTCAGCGTTGGTTATACCCCGGTTCATCTTCAGGCTCGGTACCGTCGGTAGGAGCTTCAAGACATCGCACCCATAATATGCAGCAAGGGTCACTGCTTCAGCGACGGGCATCGAAACGGACAGTAGAAAATAGTAGGTGCCTGGTAGTGCGGACGCCGAGCGCCACAAAGCTAGGCACCGGTCACTATTGCCGGGTTGGCGGACCCATGCGTCGGGCCCCGAACAGCTATCGTATACTGCGCCGGCGTGGTCGGCAGGTAGGATAGCCCTGACTCGATCGCGCGACTGCGGGGCTCTGCGGGGCGTTTCGACTTTGACGCAGAGTCGAGACACCCGGTGCCGGAACAAACCCATTCGTGCGTATCGCTCTGGCTGGCACTCGAACCATTAGCCACGCAGTGTACGATCTGTCCGGACGGTGTCGAACGGCCATTGTCACGAGCGCCGTGGCTGCGCTGAGTAAGTTTTTCCATGGCAGGTCCTCATGTAACAGTAGTTTTACGGGCCTTTATAAACAAGCGGAAAAAAGAGTAAATTTCTCACATGAAGGAACTACACATTTCCTCCTCGTGTAAGGGCCGAGCCGATAGCAGCAAGCAGAAGGATAAATTCGGTCGAGGGCTTGCTATAGGCCGGTTATGCGCGACTGGAGCTGAGCGCTGAGCGCTGAGGCCTGAGGAGCTAGGAGGTAGCTCGCCGAAATTGGCAGGTCAAATAGCCGCCCACGTAACGGGGCTGAGGTCAGTGGACCCCTCAGAAGCGGTGCTTTGTTTATAACACTTGCACCGACGTCCTTTACTCTCCTTGAATTACCATTTCTCTCCCCCTATCGTCCTTTTGGCCTTCAAGCCAAGTTTCTCCTCTCCTCTGCTTCTCGCCCAGGTCGCTAGCGAGGACCGCATATACCAACTTATTCAAGATACCCGCTGAGGCTTAGGCCCTAGACCGAATCCCCATGGGAGCATCCTGCCCGTCAGACAACACCCAAGCAGTCGACCAGAGCAGTTTCTGGAGCGGTGGAGCTCACTGGGATGCACACAGAGTAGGTTGGGCCGTCTCTGGCGCCTGTGCCCTCGCGGTACGTCGTTACTTCGGTTGGCACGCTGGTTTCTAGCTCATAGGCTTCTATCAGACCGTTCTTATATCGTCCATTACCGTGCTACAGCATTCCTTGTCAGTCTCTCTCCTCTGAAGATGAAAGTCTTGTGCTGAGGCTCTGTGGACAGGCACTACAACAACCCCGGCGAGCAACGGCAAATGTGAGTGGCCTTAGGTGCGCGAAGTGGGGAACCGGTGCTTACGCTTGACTTCAGTTTGCGGGTATTGTACATGCCCCCGGTATACGCCGTCATCTCATTCCTTTCATACCGATTCTTCCGAGACTATACATATTACGACCTTATTGAAACTGGTGCGTCTGCACGAACACTCCGGATTATTAACCCATACTCAAGCCGCACACAGCCTATGAGTCCATCACCCTCAGCGCTTTCCTGTACGTCCGCGCCGAAATAATAATCATATTCGGGCAAACTAACCGGAGTGAACTGCGCAGCCTGCTCCTTATCGAATATGTCGCCGCCACAGCAGCAGATCATGATGTCAAGAACGCCATTGCACGGAAAGATAAGAAAAAGCTTCCTCTTCCAGTAAGCCCCAGGCATATTCGAGGCGCATACATCCTGCTTATAGTCGTCCAGTTCTGCTTCTGGAGGTATCGGCCGACCAAGGTACGTCGGAGCCCTGTATTCTCGGCTGCTCATGCTGACTACATCATGCACAGCCATACTTCATGTACACCGTCAAGTGGTCCGTACTGCAATATGTAATCATTCGGCCCCGTAAGTTTCTTGCCGGCTTGCCGATCCTGCATGTACTGAGCAGGCTTTCGGGCCGAGTGCAGTTCTCTCCATAGTCGGCATCATTGCGCAGGCGACAGGCACTCTCTGCGAGTCTGGTTCATGGAGCTTCAAGACGGCGAAAGCGTACATCACACTATTTGACGGCATTAGTATAACGTAAGCGGGGAAATGTGCTACTTGTTGCAGACAGACTCACGCTGCCGCAGAATTGCGCTCTACGGCCTGTTTCTCTTCTACGGCCTCACCAAGGAAGAGCTCGTGGGCCGGCGCCCGCTCGCCAAATTCTTGGCGATCAAGCTGATCGTCATGTTCACTTTCTACCAGTCGTTTATCGTATGTCATGTCGATCATCACGCACCACGAGTCAAGTCTGACGCATTACAATATAGTTCGACGCGCTCGAGGGGAACGTCATCCACGCGACCCATTTCTGGACAGAGGCAAACATCGCCGATGGTCTGAATGGGCTTACAATCTGTATCGAGATGGTGTTCTTCTCAGCATTCATGATGTGGGCGTACACGTGGAAAGAGTACAAGGTCCCCGGAGAACCACGGACGAGGATTGGCAAGCCTCTGTGGGACAGGTGAGCCACCTCCCTCTATCCCTCTTAAACACACTAACGTACAATTACTTACAGCATTAACTACTGTGAGTTTCCCTCGCGATATGCGCCTTTTTTCTCGCCGTTGACGCATACATGCACCTTTAGCGGACTTCTTCGTCGAGATCGTAGGCTCAGTTAAATACTACATCGACCGGTGGCGCAACCGTAAGGGCGCGAGCCGGCCGCGCGTGACGGTGACGGACAACCAAGGCAAGATGAAGGCGAAGGCGAACTTTGAGGAGGCGTTCGGCTTTTCGGGGTACGAGGCCACGGAGGTCGATGCAGAGACGGATGCAGGCGCGATGCGCATGCGAGGTAGCTACGACGAAAATATCCGGCTTGCGCCCTACGCTTACGGCGGTGCCGGCAGGCGCCGGGCGACGAGCACGGATGACGTAATGACGGCGAGTGGTGAGAGCCAGGAGCACTGGCAGTACCCGTCGCCTGACCTCCACAAGATGGACGCGCCGGTGTAAGCTTATACTGCCGTGAATTCACGTTTATATCTTCCCGAAATTTGCATTTGCCATGTAACGACTTCGCAATCCCACTTTAGTTTGTATTTTTGTCATCTAATGTATTACTCTACACCTTTCCTTTGTCTTTCTCCATTTAGTGCTGCGGATGCGTTGCATGGCGGGCTGGCGTGAGATGCTACTCTTGAAAATCGCACTCGGATCTAACTTATTAAGCGTAAAGAACAGTAATCTGTGCTCGCCTCGCGCACGCTCAGTGACAGTTGGGTGAATCTAAGGCTACATATCCTCGACGGAAGTAAACTAAGTAGATAAAATCATCAAGTCTGGCTACAGAGAGGAGTCACGCCGTAAGGATCAATCTAGGTCACAGGTTGAACTCCTCGCGTCTAGAACTTCGAAGCCGGTGTACACACTAGAAGCCTAGAGAAACATCTCCAGGCCTCCTCCAATGCGTCAGGTGAAGACATGCATTACGCCTTCGGCCTCCATCTCGGACATGTGCAAGGGTAGCTCGGTGTGCGGGGACAGGAGCTCGTGGATCTGCTTCTCATAGTTCGCGAACCGGTTGACGTATGCCGGGAGCTTGGCCGTGGCGAGGCTCTCAGCCTTGATCTGCTGGCCTGTGGGAGTGCGTTAAGAAGAGCGGTGGTGCATCTACGGGTGATGTCCATGCGCACCTATCTGAAGTAGACGATAGTAGGAGCTGTTGGAATTAGCGTCATTGCATAGTCACAAGAAGCAAATGAGGACGAACTCGCAGGTGCTTCCTGCGAGTAGATGTGATCGTGGTTAGTTCCTCGGAGGGGTCGGATACAGAGCAAGGACTCGCCGAAGCTGTTGATTGTGTTGCCCAGTTGCTTGAGCAAATTCTTGAACTGCCCCGGGAAGTCGCGATCACGTGGCATCTTCAGAGACTCGAGCATGTAAAGCTGATACACTGCATCAAACTAAGCATGCGTTTATTCAGGGTGCGCGCAGGACCAAAAAAACGCAGCAAGCTCGTACCATGAATAAGTAAACAACTACGATTTTCAGATTGTGCATGTTACGCTTGGTTTCCAATTCAACCACAGCCTAACGGACGAAGGGCTGGTCAGTCAAGGTCTTCCTCTCGCGCGCATCATATAGTCCCGAACCTTGAACAGCTTGACGAAGACCTAAGGATGGTGAGTATATGTGCGAGGATAGTAACGCAAGCCGTACGAACAAAATTAGAGAGCAGGGCGTCATGCTTCTCTTCCAGGGCCGCCAGATCTCGTACGATCAAGGAGGGTAGTACAGAGAGTACCAAGTTAATGATAATGGCTTCATCTTTTCCATTTATCACGCTTCTTCTTGCTTTCAGTAGCGCTTGGCCGGCTTTCGGTAGTGCTTGACTGGCTTCGAGCACAGTGAGTTTACTGTGAAAAGATTTATCGAGGGAGCCCCTACTTGGTTCTACCACCCGTGAGAAATACACCACGTGCCGCATAGATTCGTCACTACTTTGTTCGCTGTCGTCGGGCTTCAGCATTCGATCATGCAGCTCGGTCAACAGTTCTTCGACGGATTCCACTCGCTGAATCAGTATTCGCATCCACCTCCGGGTGTCTTTAATCTTGTTCATGAGTGCTGCGTCAGCCTGGAGGTGCATGTTCTCAGGCTATAACCCTTCATCATAAGTATCAATACAGAAGACAAACCTTTCGTTTGCTAACCGCCACAGGCTCCCAGTCAGGCCGAGTGTCTAGTAAAAGCCCAGCTTCATCCTCTGGCTCGACAGGAACAGGATATCGCAGGCGGCTCTGCAACTCCGAAGCGACGTCGTCACCGTCTTCTACGTCAGCACTGTCCGTTGACGACGTCACATAGTAGATTTCATCGCTGTCAGCAGCATACGCCACGGAGTTCGCTTCCATCTTCGCACGGTTCTGCCAGTGATAGAGCATTCAGCCGACACCTCTGCACGAGACATCTGAGATACGTACACGTTCATGCCACCCACGAAAGAGGCCCCGGCAGTAATACTGGACCTGCGACTCCAGGTCAAGCCGTTGCTGCCGCCAAACTTCCCAGAGAACTTTGAGCCGACGGCCGAACGCGTCGAACAAAGTATTCCAAGTCTCTCGCATGTCTTCAAACTCACGCACGGCGACTGGCTTCGTGATCGCGAGTTTGACAACTTCCATGTCGTGGCGGAGGAGGATGTACGCAAGGGCCATGATGTGCTAAGGGTTCCAGTCAGTACGGTGCGCTAAACCTAAAAAATAATGGGAACGGGAGCAACATACGTTCTCCAGGCGGCGCCCACCCAGTACCAGTGACACGTAGTCCGGTCCTTTGAGCTGGTACTCGAGAGTCTCGAGATTACTCTGTATTCGCCTGCTCTCGAGATCGCACCACACAAGTCGGAGCTTCTAGAGCGCAGCATAATTCGCGTGATCTTCGTCCACCTCGCCGAGGGACGATAGCACATCATCGTACACCTCTATCAGCTTAAGCAACGGTACAATGCCCGCGAGGTGGGTGACCCTGTTCTTGTTCTTGGGGAGCACCGTCTCTGGCGCATGGATCAGTCGCGCCCTGAGCACTCGGATCTTACGCAGGTATCTGTGCCAGTGTGAGCGACCGTATAGCTACTAGTAGCCTGAGTAAGATATGAACTCACTCGACGTCGGTTTTATAGGGACCGACTGCCCAGCTGAGGTGTTCGTAAATAAAAATAGAATGACAGGTTGAGAAGGGACCCTACAATGTGATCCACGCGACGTTACTGCAGTTCATTTCTTGGGGCTTGGAGCGCAGGAACCGATTGACCTACGGCGCGGCGCGTCAGCGAAGATGAGCGACCCCAAAAAAGGGCTTCTATACCTCGGGAAGTGATTTGAAACCACTGCAGTCTTCGTCCATGCCATCACCGATAGCCGGGCGGACTAATTGGAAGGAGTTAGTGGAAAAGCGCAGGTTGCAGATATATCGCCCTTTACAATATGCCTTGGATAGGAAGTACAGCGCCCATATATCGGGATGCTCTTGGCCAGTGTGGTCACGGTGCTCGTCGAATACTCTTTGGTAGTGGTTGTGCAGAGCTGCGAGAGAACCGTCGTGAGTAGATGAACGGTTATCAATGGCAGCTACTGAGCATCGAGGAATATGTGCGTCTTGACACTCGTCCGAGCCTGCATTTCTTCAATGACGAGATCAACAAATGAAACCCAGCTTAGCTGAATGATTACCTTTCCACACTGCTTTTATCTCGGGATCTTCAATGTCTTCGTGTGGGCCACTATCGAGCTGCGGCACGACATCATCACCTGGATAGGAGAACACCTGCGTGTCAGCACGCACCTTGCTAATAATGGCAGAGGTCGAGTAGTCTAGCTGTTTGGTAACATCCGACGTTGACTGGTCCATCTTTACTAAGAGCACACTTTGTGCATCATGCATCTGTTCTAAGGAGAGTTTGACCTTGTTTGTGAATGCCTCGCTTTATGGTCGCATATCATCAGCAGATGAACACACAGCATATATAGCGAGACATACAGGTTATTCTTCAGGACCTCGTCTAAGCCCTTCCTTAGGCTGCTCTTCATTGCGGGGTCCAGCTTCTCCCCAAAGCGCTCTGCCAGCTCTTCAAGTCTCTGGTCGCTCTACAAAATCATGCTTTCAGGCTTAACACCCCACTACGATCATAATGACATTGACCTTGACGATAACATCGAGCCCACCCATACTGCTGATAAGGCGCTCCATCGACTCTTCTTTAGCAGACTGGGCCTCAAGCATGTTAATGATCTTCTCGGTATCGATTTTAATATCTTTCACGGTTAGAGATGACTTTACAGAGAGCAACAGCCGTAGTTCTTGCTTGTGATCAGAGAACTCTTGCGTATATCCTGCGAGCTTGGCCTTGTATCCGGTGGACTTGAGGGTCTTCACTGGGAATTGCGGCTGTAGCAATCTGTCCTCGGACACCCAAACGTTTGGACTTACTGAACGATCGCTCGCGGTAGTAGACGCTTGAGAGCAGTCAGGGAAAATATTTGGCCTCAGTGTATACAATATGACGCACTCGCGAAGGTTTGCTGCCAGCGAGAGACGTAAGCCTTGCAACTACTCTACCGCCATACCGCTTACCAAAGCCAATGATGGACGTGTGCATTCTATTCAAGCGATCAACCAGAAGCTTGTGGACATGGTTGCCTTCATCAAATACGGCGTCCAAGTCAGAGAGCAAGAATAACAGAGAACTCTGGAGATGGCTATTAGTACTGCAGTGGTTTAGCATAGACATAACACGAGCCATGGTAAAGCACACAGCCGTAATTTGCTTGTCGTTTTCTCTGCGGTTCAGCTCCATATCGATGATGGTCTGAGGGAATGGTGCAGCGGTGAACTTGCGATTGTCAAGCCTCGGGACGAGAGCGTAAAGGTGCATACCTTCGCAACCCCAGCTATGATCTGTGGTTGGTGCATCAGCGAGCTAGGCCTTGTCACCGCTGACAGAACATACCTTCAGGTAGGGGTGTAACTCGGCGACATAGCCAAGGATCACCGCCACATCCTTCATAGGCGCAAGTAACCCTGCCACTACGGTTTCACTATCTTCGATGACATTCTCGACATCGGACAAGAGGCTGTTCCCCTTATCAAGCTTCTCCTGTGCCGAGGCAATCAAATCTCCTGCGAGCGATGTCAGTGTGAGAGAGAGATGACGTGTGGGACATGCGTATACTGATTTTAGACCCTTTGCTGTCTTTCTGTTCTTTGACACTGGCCTCTGTTCCTGGAAGATCAATGTCGCTCGCGTCAGCATCGAGGCCGCGAGACCGAGAATCTGCCATTTCGGGTGTAATTTCTTTAAAACTCGCAATGGACCGGCAGGCGTCGGAGAAGTCTGTGAAGAGTCAATCGCCCTCGTGAGCCATATAACTCGTACAAGGCGTTAGGATGCGTCAAATTCTGCCTCAACCTGGGTCCTTAGTCCTTCGCATGGAGCGAGAAATGAGATGTGAAAGGGCCGAGCTGCGGTCTAGAAGCTGAACAGACGTACATACTTCCATTCTTATCGACGTCATAGTCCCTAGGATCTCTGGTTCTGGACCGCATGGAGCCGTCCGAACAAAATAAGAGGCTCGCAACGCTGAGCAGCGAGCATAGAGAGCCAATTGTCCAGCTGTTGCTAGTGGTCCAAGGGGAATGAGAGCGTAGACGAAGTAGTACTAGTCAGATTCTAGTGCCATGTGTTGTTACCACGACAAACCCTATACTGTGAACGTTGAAGGCAGCCAATGCAGATAGTAATAAGAAAAGAAAAACCGTACTCTTATGTAAACCATTCCATAATCTTCGAGAGCACTAGGATGCAAGACTTGAAATCGCTCAATATCATGGTCGTGACCAAAAGCCATTAAACCGGCGTCATGGTCGAAGTGTAAAGGCTTCCGAGGCGCCAGACCTCTGCAAGCCGTGTTGGCGCGCTTTCGCTGCAAGCACCAGCCAATTGCAAGGCCCCAAGTCACGAAGTCGAACCGGCGAGTAATCTCAGGGCCGAGGAGCACTTAAACTCGGGCTCCGGGCCTCGGACTTGCGCCCTCTAAAGCGTGCGGCTTTCGCGCGGTTTGCACCTCGAACGGAGATCTAGATCATATTGGCTCATACTGAAGAGCACGACAAACTTGAAGTTACCGTGACATGGATCCTGCTGAATTTCACGCAGCCGTAAGTCTTCATATTCTGCGGCTCACAAACGCGCAACCCGCTCTCTTTATTCAAATCTTGCGTCGCGACCCCAGGTATACCACGTTATACGTCAAATCCCACCAGGGAAAGTCACCAGCTATGGTTCGTTCACTTTGCATCTGTCTGCGCACTGGACGTCGCACTGACCTCGTCCCTAGGGCACATCGCAAAGCTGATCGGAATGCCCCGCCACTCGCGGCACGTCGGCCAAGGTCCGCCCTTTGCATTTTGACCTCCCCAGATCCTCGCTCAGCGCAGACATAGCACTCAAATGGCTCTCGCCAGATGCCGCGCCGCCCGTACCGTGGCAGCGTGTCGTCGCGTCGAACGGGACAATCTCCTCGCGCGGGCCAGGGACCGATGGCGCGGAACGGCAGCGCGCCACGCTCGAGGCCGAGGGCGTCGAGGTCGTCGTTGGCCGTAGCGGCGACATGCGTGTCAACTTCGAAGCATATGGATGGTTCCCCGCACCTGGGACTGTCGCAACCGGAGCACCCCAGCCTGATGCTCCCGCGGAGGAAGAGCAAGATGGCGAGGCTGGAGATCTAGACGAGCTTACTTCGGAGGAGGAAGAGGAGGATGCAGATGGCGGGAACTCGTAGCACTCGTTGACATCCGGGCTTTCGAGAGCACCAGGACACGCTGTTGAGCGGTGTACGTACCCTATACAAACAGAAGAATGCAATTGGAATACACTTTACATGCATACGGCATGTTAGTAGCAAAAACAAGCGTAAACTGATATATAATGCACGAGTAGCGCAATCGGGTAGAATTAAAAGTCATGCGCCATGTAAACAACGAAACTGTAGAGGACAGGAGCTGTCGTCTACGACAGCGGGCAGTCAGCCAGCACCGAGCGGGGATGGGAAGGCGTAGGATATAATCACTCGGCGAAGACAAGGGAACTAGGTTACGTGGGTATACAAAAACGACGCGGTCGTTATGGGGATTATGAGGATCCGTGAGAGCGGGTCCGCGGAGACATGGAACAGCCTAGGTAGAGTTCAAGGCAGTCAAAGGTGAGCGAGCCAGAACAGTAACACAGGTCGCGGAAGTTTCAAAGAAGGGCGATGGACACACAGCTACGGCTAAAGCTCGATGGAGGGGTTAGGAGAAAGTGGGCGAGGATATAGGATACGAGATGAGAGAAGTAAATATATAATTGGAGATAAATCGTACAACCAAATGTGGACCAAACAGCCGTTTTGCTCACTGTTCACCTAAAGGTGAGGCGAGCGATACAGGAGATGTCGCATACAACTCACGCCCAGGATAGCTGGTGACGTGTGTGGGGAGACGCAGAGGACCAGGTTACTGAGCGGTTCCGGTGTAGACATCGGCCTCTGAGTACTTGCTGTGCTCGGTGGGCGATAGGCTTTGACGGTTATCCGGGGCGTAGAGGACACGCATGCCGCTACCATTGAAGCTCAGCGCGGGGGATGGCAGGGCAGGGGCGCCGGCGGGCGGAGGGCTGGCAAGGGCGCGACGCTGCTCGGCGTAGGCACGGAGCATCTCATCTGGAGACATGACACTTGCAGACATTGGTTGCATCGGCATGGAACTCATGACGGGAGACTGCAAAGCAGGTTCCGGGAGAACAATCATAGGTACGGGCATCGACATTGGGGGGTTGGGGTTGATGGTGGACTGCTGCTGGACCAGGTCGTCGTTGCGCATCACTATTTCATCTATCAGCGCGGTGACAAGGCGCGATCAGTCTGAGAACTCACTCGTGATAGCGGGCATGACCTCGTCCATGCTTGAGCGCGGCACATCAAAGCCAGACATGCGGCGGTTGATATCCTCAAACGTCAACGACGACGGGCCTTCCTTCTGGATGGGCGAGATCTCATCGGTATCCGGCCGCGTTGGAAGAGGCGGAACGTGTCCGACGTGGAAGGCGCGACTAGTGCGAGTGTTGTGCAGGCTACGGCGACTCTCGCCAGAAGGACGAGTGTCGGCTGCGAACGAGATGCGTGACTTGCGTTCGCTGGTAGCAGTGTTTGCCCTGGGGCGAGTGCGAGGACCTGGGACGAGCTCACTCGACTGCGGCGTGGTGAGATCAATACCACCGGACTGAAGACCCTTTGCCCCAATGCCTGCTTGACCGCCGTCGAGAGCCGCAATACTGGCCGGACGAATAGCGCCGAACGAGAAGGACGATTGGCGGTTGTCACCACTCTCGCCAACGGCCATACTGGCACGGATGGCGGCACTAGCACCTGCCACAGTGACGGGCTTCCAGTCGGTGGAAATAGTGGACATGCGCTTGTCGACCATTTCGCTCCATCTCTTACGTTTCTCCTTGCCCTTCTGCCTCTTGATCTTGAAGTATACCCCAGCGACAATAGCGGCAATGATGAGGAGAGGCATGATGACAGCAGCGGCTAACTTGCCCTTAGACAAGCCCTGCTTGGGCTGGGGAACATTGTTCACGACCTGTATCGCAGAGGCTGGCGCGTCATCTGTCGTAGTGGCATTAGACGTGCCAGTGTATGTCCCCTGGAAAACTGGGCCGGCAGGGAGGGTAGCCATGAAGGGCGGCGTGCCGGACTGGACGATCGCCAGCTGAAGATTAACACTGGGCGTGGAGTTCCACCAGGAAGACTGTAGCTGAGTCTCATAGGAACCCGTGGAGAAGTCGACGGTTTCCCAGAGGTGGATACGAGAATTTGCTGCGCCTGGCTCGTAGAGATAGATGTCGATGGCGGTGGTGGACAAACATGTAGAGTCCCAAGTGATGTTGAACGGTGTGGACGCAGGGACACTTTGATTCGCGGCTGGCGACTGGTAGAATCCGCCGGTCTGGCACGCTGCGCGCAGATGTAAGCGCACGAATAGGGCCAGACGTAGTACTACACACCGTTTCCATCGCGCTTGCGATGGTGAGTGCCGATGAGCCCTCCGTGCGCCCTGGATTTTGAAATCTTCTCGAGCATGATGTTACAAGAGGTTTACTTCCGAGTTTCCTTCTGCTGTATTTGTCGTGATCCAACCGAGCACCAGAACCAAAAATGAGCGTGAGGGTCGGGAAAGGAGGGGAGTGCGGAACGAGGGGATGGTGATGGTCGGCGACAAAGTTCGAACGCGGGCGACCTCGTCGCCGCCAACAACGACGGCCGGGCTGACTGCGACGCGAAAACGGCGCCTATCATCATTTTGCCTTATCAGGATAATTCTTAACCGGAGCGCGGCGTGGCGTCTCCGCCGCTCGATGCCGGCGCCGTCCACAGGGAAACCTGCAAGCACTGTATACATTGTACATCCAAAGGAGCCCTCTATCGTACACACATCATCCGCAAAGTTCTATATGTTTTATCTGAGTCCGTTGACAGTCTCCGGGACCTGAACTGAGGTTAAGTGAATCGTTGAGCTCCAATTCCCGAAGTCCTTACCTTCCACCCATGTGCAGCAGCTGCACGTCGATATCCCTCAATAGCTTCGCGCATCTCGTACGGACTAGAATGAAGAGATCGGTCATTGTGTCATGATACATAAACAAAGGCATCTCCTACCGATCCCAGTTGCTTGCAAGCCGTGCCGGACGGGGGTCGAGATTCGAGATCGCCAGTCTGATCTGCAGCAGAACCGCAGATATGCTGGACGATGAAGCACACAGAGATAAGCATCGTGCCATAATCTGTGCCATAATGAACTCACCTGTATGCAGGGGACCATCCTAAAAGCAGTGTTTAGCAAAGTTGTAGTAAAGGCGCTACACCCAGCGACTTACCGTCGGCGGTCAAGAGGTCCATGCACATAGAGCCACCTAATTTGCATGTTAAGTATGTGGTCCGCATAAGTAACGGATATCTTACCTCCTGTTACATGCCCTCCACCGCCCTGAATGAAAGGCAAGAAGCGTGGCTTGAGGATACGGAAGAACGGAGGCGAGTGCGGAAAGTTCGGCGGGAAGCGAATCTCAAACACGAGCGAGTTGACCTGCCTATCCACACAGCCACTCACTTAGTCAGTCGCATGCCAATATGACCCGCCTAAAAAAACACACCTGGCAGCCATATCTTGCGCGACAGGCAGACTAGGCTCGAACGAGTGCAACTCGACGATCCACTGGAAGAGGTTGTCGCCGATGAAGTCCTCCGGCATGTACCACCCGAGCTCCCGCAGGCACCGCGCGCGCTCCTGCTCCTTGAGCATTGCTGCCATCTCGCGCTGCACGGCCGATGCGGCCATCGGGCTAGCCTCGACAGGTGCAGGCATGAGGTGCTCGACACAGGACGCGACCCACGCGGGGTCGTGCGTCCAGTCGTCCTCGGGGCGGCTCACGCTCTCTTGCCTCTCCTGGTTCGCCTGGTTCTCCTCGATATCGTGCGCATGCGAAGGCACATCGAGAGACGCGCCTGCCAACACCGCGAGGTCGCCCTCGTCGAAGCCCTCGTCGGCGTGCTCGTGCATGCGCTGCTGGAGAAGGCGAGCGAGCTTGTGCGTCGGCTCGGGGATCCCAACGTCCTTGTTCGCGAACCGCAGCTGGAAGCGCGGGTCGAGGTCCACGCGCGGCACCTCTTGGGCATGGCGTACCTCCGGCAAGAGCGGCCCGTCCGTGTCGGTTTGGAGAGGCACGCCTCCGACAAGGAGGTATCGACTGCAGAGTACGTCAGAGTTTCATCTGCAAAATAAATAACATGCTGCTCACCAGACGATCCACTCTGTCTGCGGTACGACGAGGATGCCGGTGTGACCGGGGAATCTAGCCCGCGGGAACATGATGCCGCCCATGGTGTTGTTCATGGTGCCGTTATGGACGCCAGCGCTATATGTGAACTGCGAGGGGAGGTTCACGATCTCTGCAAGTGCAACGCAGGTGCGCACGTGGAGGTCAGACTTGCTCCAGGCGTGCGAGGCTCCCCGTGCGTATCCATTGGAGGTCGTGCCATCAAGAGCAAAGTACACGCCTAATGGCGATCTTAGATCTGCCACTCCTCATTATCGAGGAAAGGGGACAAACCATCGCCGTAGGCACGCCCGTGCGCGACGTCCTTGTACCAAAGGCCGTTGCGGATGATCTGCAGCAGGATGTGAGTGCCATGAGTGCGGAGTTGTGCAGGGTATTGATACGTACGGAATGCCAGTTCTTCGCTGGCGAGCCGTGGAAGCCCTGGAGAATGCATGGTCATGTGTATGCATCGCCGATGACCAGTCGACTCACATATATCGACGGATACCTCTGTGCATTGGCGTCTTGCAGCTTTGCCTGCTCTTGCGCTCTGTAAAACTTGGCCTCGGCATCAGGCGCACCGACGGTGAAGCGAAAGTGACGATATTGGTGGTCTTAAAGCGCAAGTATCAGTCAGCTAAAGCTCGAGTTAAACATCACACTGCATACCAAAGCCGCCAGTAACTTGGTCTTCCTCTTCCCTGAGCTCCTCCAGGTGCGCTGTGCACGACGCAACACACCTGACGCGTATCAGCATATCCCCCGCTTTCGACTACTCAACTATACTCACCACCGCAATACCGACCACGCCGCGGGCAGGACTTCGGGGTCGAGGTCCTGAAGGCACTGCTTCATACGCCCCCGCTTCGTCTTCTTGAGCAGGTGCCGGCGCATGTCTGATACCGCCGGGAGCGCATCGAGGAGCCAGACAATCCAACGGCGCTTGTCAGCCGCGGAGAGCGTGTCGAAGTCGCATAGCATGCCCGCAAGCGCGCCTGGCGTGGGATGCGCGCCTACTTGAGGCACGCGTAGGTGCATCCCGTCCGGGAAGTCCTCAAGCGCGTTCTCCGCGGCCGCGACGTACGCGAGCGAGACAAGCAGGTCGACCGTCGCGGGGCGCGAGCAGATCTCATACTTTGCGGGGTTAGGGGGGCGTCACGGTGCAGAGAAGGGAGGGCACACCTCGAGAGACGGGCCACGGTTGAGATTGTAGAACTGGTACGTGCAGAGCTTGTCCGAGCAAACGTACGGCTTGAGCGCCTGGAAGTCGGTCTCGATCTTGTCGTAACAGACCAGGCAGAAACGCGAGCAGAGCTGTACGGACAGGGACGCGTCAGTCCAGTTGAAGATTGTGGGAATAAAACTTACGATGAGGCGACGCAGGAGGTAGCAGTAAGCGATAAGCGGAAGGTTTAGGGGCCCAGAGCGCCCTGACGCGATCAATGGGTCAAGGGGCAATCTATAGCTATCCGTGAGCATGTTCTCCTCGTGATCTGCTGCCAAAATTTCCTGAGATGGCTGTCAGTTACTTGGCAAAGTCGGTACAGCAGTGCCTACCTCTGGAAAGTCCTCGAGCACCTTCTCGACAGTTCTCTGCAGTCGATGTACTCTGCTGACGATTGTTTCTGCCGCCGCCCAGCCAATGCTGTACTTCGCACGCAGCGCCAAAACCTCCATGAAACGATCATTGAGAAGTGCCTCCAGGGATGTACTTAGACTGAAGTGAAATGAATCGTCGTCTTCGGGCACCGGCTCGCCCAGAAGATCAGGCGACTCAGTCGGCTCTTGTCCGTCGTACATCTCCGAGGTTATCTCCTCTGTAGGCTGTGATTCTTGCATACCGAACGTCCGCACAAGGTCGAGCACTTGCTCTCTATCAGGCTTGTAGTTCGGCGTCAGGCCGACTCTGAACACCAGTTTAGATGTCCCTCTAGCCAGTGCATCACTGCTCAACGTGCCCTCCGGTGACAGCACGGGATATTTGCCATGGATCCCGGTGATCACGAGGGTGAAGTGATGCGACTTTGACAACAGACGCGGGTCCCAGGCCATCAGCGCTCTAGGAGCAACGCTCTCCGCCAGCCTGAAGGTCGGTGCCGACACTGAGAGTACCAACTCGCTGACGCCGATCCGAGTGAGACCAGGACGGCCGCCAACCGCGACTATTCCACTGAAATCACTAAGCATAGTGATTAGACCGACAGCGAATGTACGAAAGGCGCATATACTCACTGCTGTAAGACGCTAGCATCAAAATCGCTCCCTGCCTTGATAGCGGCGAGGCCGTATTGATTGAAATCATCGTCTTCAAAATGACCTTCGTCAACGGAGTCATCATCTGCGACATCTGATCCATCGGTCAAGTCACCCTCAGGCGAGGAAGATCCGACGTTGGGGACCAGTTTCTTGGATAAAGAGGCAAGAATTTTGCTTAGCATATCTTGTATAGACCGCGATCCGAGGTCCGACGCGTCCTGGAGGACTTCTAAAAGCGGAGGTGGGACATTTTGGTCCTGAGCAAAGCATATGAAGCTGTGGTCGTTCGGATACTCGGACGTATCTAAGATATGCTCAGCCCCGGTATGATTGCGCAGAAGGCTGACACGCACCAGGTACGACCATGTTCAGCGTCAAGACGTGCTGGCCGCCGACGGACTTGACAACCTCACACAGAATAGAGCCTTCGTCTTCGCCAGTCTCAATCGCTGCAGGTACGGGTAGACAACCTCAGAAAAGAAGCCTGCGGTGCGCAGAATGCGGGGGCGTACTTTGTAACCTCAAGCCGTGTACTTCGAAACCAGTCGCGCATGCATCTGTGGCGTCCTTCAGATCAGCCATGAACTTCCTGCGACCCTTCAGAGGACGGTTCCGCGCGTGTGCGCCGCCGGACGCCATGGCGGATGCAGAGCAGTGAGAGTGTGGAAGGTCGCCGAGGTCCTCACAGGAGTCACAGCGACGCTTGAAAGGACAGACGATGCAGACGGCTGCGCTGATGCACGAGTCTTCTGGCGCTTCACTACCACGTTCAAATGCTCAGGCTCAATCTATAAAGAAGGCACTTGATTGCTTAAATAAGGCCTAAATGCAACAAGACGGATGTGAGGATGCTGCGAAATGTGGTAAAAGCTAAGGAGAGACGGAATTATTATGGACAAGACCCTAACATTCTCGTCACGGCGTCATCAGGGGCATCACGAAGTGCGTGATATGTGACAGCCGTGCACAGCGCTGAAGGAGATGCAGGTCGCTTGCACTGGGTGGTAAGCACGCTTTTTTCCGGCGTAAAATTGGCCAAAAACTGATTGAACAAGGCCCCAACTTTCTCCGGTTTTCACTTGAAAAAAACCGAAGGCAAAACTCAGTTTTCCGCCAGTTTTACTGTGTTTTAGACCATTTTGGCTGGTTTTGCACCAGTTTCTCCTCAGTTTGCATCGGCGTAGAATCGAGGAATAACGGGGCCTTGTTTAGCTGCTTTTCCCTGAGTTTTCTCAAGAAAAAAACTGCGCTTACCACCCTGTGTTGTGGGGTTCAGCCCTGCTTCGGGAATAGTCACAGGATAAACCAGCGCGAATATGGACAAGGCATCGTGCCCCACGGAGGAAACGACCGGGTAAGCTTCAGCTTCAGCCCCAGCCCTTGATGCCTGCCCAAGTGATTGCTCCGTGACTGAACTTGCACATGTCCATACAGTGCGGAGGGAAAGTAATTTGTTCTTTCTGTTACTCATGACAGGAAGTGCAGGTTCACGACGCTAGGTGGATTTTAGAAGCATACAGTTCAGGCCTGGAACGACTATAATTAATGGTTATTTCAACTCTCGCAGCGCGCGATGGGTCGAAGGCTTGCACTAGAGCAGTTCAGCGAGAGTTGAAAGGCAGGTGTTACTTGCTTCACAACAGGCGTCCCGCGAGGAGCCCCGCCCATCGATATCTTGCTGATAAATTGGGTATGGCGAGAGAAACTGTGTCGATTATCAATGAACTCTAGACTGATCATGCGCTTGCTAGAGCCACCGTATTCTTTCCAGGCTTGCTACCCGGGCTACAAGAGTGCGAGAAATTTGGCTTCTCCTGAAAACTCTAAAGCCATGCTAGGTGGCCGTTTATGATTCAAGAAACGTGTTCCATTCTCCTGCACCGCAGAGCCTAGAAGATGGATGAAAGAGACAACAAAGTTTATGGTTGACATGGACAATCACTGCGTGTCGAGCCTTTCTAAGGACGGTAGCAGGAGACAATATTAATGACGATGACGGTGACGACGACAAGGAAGAGAATTAAGAGAAATCGAATGAGAAATGAGAGGAACGCGCCGCCCGCCGCCAACCTTCGGTTGGCTGGGCGTGCAGCGCCCCTGTGAGAGGCGCCTCGTGAGAGGGGATCACTGGCCAATGAGAGTGCCTCTTTGTCTCGGGGATTTGACGCCCGAGGTGTTTTATTATATTAGATAGATAGATTGATTGCTGGCTGTCGATAACAGCTCACACGGTCTGGGGTCTCCGGGGTCGCATCTCGCCTGGCGTCTAATGGTCCCGCTCTCGCTTTTGCATGCCGTAAGCGACCTACATCCCGCGGAGTTCAGACCGCGACGTCGACAGCACCCTCGCCATTAACACTTTCGTCTTGAGCAAACAAATCCTCATCTACTTAGATTGTCTTTCTTGCACGAAGCATAGGATATCGTGGGTATGTAATTCCCGCAGTACAGTCAGGTTGTATGCTGCTCACTTCGCGAGGCCAGGACGATTGAGCCTGAGCTGCAGATGTACACGCCATGAGATCACAAAGCCCTCCAACGAAGAGGATCAAGCTCGGGCCATCTCCTAAAACTGATGATGCCGAAGTCTACAAACCTGCAGAGCCGCCTGCAGATAACGGTGACTTCGACGAAGCTGATATCGACGAAGAACACTGCACCATCTGTCTACAACCTCTTTCCGACCGTACAGTATTACCTACCTGCTCGCATGAATTCTGCTTCGATTGCATTCTTATTTGGACGGGTCCGTGTCAGTATCTCTTTCGCTTTCGTTCTGTGTTCCAATGATGATTGGCTCTACTACAGAACAATCGCGCAAGTGTCCTCTATGTGCTCGCCAAATCGGAGAATATCTCATACACAACGTTCGCTCCAAGTATGACTACCAAAAGCACTATCTTACTCCGCTCCGCACGTCGCCTCAGCCGGACACAGGCTTACCACTTAGCCGGGCACAGGCCACCCAGCGCAGGCGGGCGAGAAGAGAGATAGAATGGGGCAGGAATGCGAGGCGGGAAAGAGAGCGAGAAAGGGAGGCTGCGGACGAGTTAGAGAGGGCAGTAGAGAAGCGACGATGGGTCTACAGGCACAATCTATACGTGAAGGTCGGTTCCATCCCTGGCGCCAGTGCCGGCTTCTGGCCTCTAACAGCAAGCTCAGCACGTCGCGTCAAATTCGTACACTCGCTATCGACCGCTTCCTACCCCTCAGCAGTTTGCTGCAAATTCCGACCTCATAAGTCGCGCGACTATATTCATCCGACGAGAACTTCGCGTATGGGATTCCCTCGACGTCGAGGTACGCAGCCCTCATGCCAGGCCATTTGCACGCGCTGACTGGCAAACCAGTTCCTTACGACATTTACCATCTCAATTATGAAACAACTAGATATCCGCTCCGAGCCTGCAATCAAGCTCATCGCCGAGTTCCTGGACATGGATAATGAAGGGCACAGAACGAATGCAGAGCATTTCGCCCATGGTACGCCAGTCTACCCTTAAACCACAGTTCCCGCTGATGTATGCTGCAGAACTGTACTCTTACTTGCGCTCTCCGTTTCGGGACCTGTCGGTTTATGACTCTGTCGCGCAGGTGAGGTTGCCTGAAATATTGCACATGTCGCTCTTTTGATTTCGTACGCAGTACGATACGCCAGAAGATCTATCGCCGCCCCGACGCTGGGAGCGAAGTCGCAGGTTTGCAAGCGAAAATGCTTCACCTCCGCCGAGCCGTTCTCCGTCGCCGGATCTTTCGCGCACTCGACCTCAGGAAGAGACACGACGCTATACACGGGCGGCTTCGCCACGCAGGCGGGAGTGTACCCCAGGCTCGCGTGCCGCTGAAGGCCCCTCAGGCGCCAGCAGAAGAGCCAGATCAAGATCGAGGTCGACTGGCAGAAAACGCAGGGACTCGCGTCGGTCTCGAGAACGGCGTGGTGGGTCGCCAGAGTCGTCTCCTGGGCGGCGGTCACGCTCGCGCGCAGAAGCGCACGCGTCCGGGGAGGGATGGGGCAGCCTGGACATAAAAGGAAAAGGCCGCGCCGTCGACGTCGCGCGAGGAATGGAAGCAGCAGGGACCTACACGCACCGCCAAACCGACCGCGGCTCTGATCGTGGCGGAGCAGCGGCTGGCGAGGACATCACCCGCGGTGCAACAGCTGCCGGCGGCCAATCGGGTGTCGCAGAAAACAAGAGCACGGGGCCATCAGCGGGCGCTGGGCTTGTTGGTCCAGGTGGGCTCGAGACGCAGGGCGGCACGGACGGTTCGCAGGCCGCGGCAGGGCAGACGAAGGAGGCGCGGCCGCCGGCGGCGGATAGGGATCGGCGTCCGCGGGTCGACCGCGAGAGGTGGAAGTCGCTGAACACGTACCTGGCTGGAGCGGCTACGGGCGCGTCCAAGCGTCCGACCGACGGCCAACAACATTCTCCTCTCGACGCCCACAGCGTCGACCAGCCTGTCGAGCTGTCTATCCGTGGTGCTGCTCGTCGCGGTGCAGACGCTTCGAGGCGAGCGCCTAACGACCACATGTCGCCTCTGGCCTCAGAGCCTGTGGCCGGCGGCAAGCCCATCGACAGGACAGCCACCGGCACGCCTGCGCTGCTGGCTGTGACGCCCAGCATCGGCGGGACAAGTCCGCCAGAGGAGAACGCACGTACGAGCGAGGTCCTGGCCCGCACGCGGGCACGGCTGGCGCGGCTGAGGGCCGCGTCACCAGGTCAGCTGGACGCGGAGGAGGGAACGGAGGATGTGCACAACGCGCCATCTCCCCCTCCTCTGTGTACACGCCCCGGAAGCGGCACGCCGATCGACGCGGACACCCACGCACGAAGCAGCAGCAGCGGCAACAACAACAACAACAGCACACCCTCAGCCCTGACACCCTCAGCCCTATTACTAATGGCACCGGCGGCGGCGACAACAACAACCGCCGCCGAATCGCCGCCTCCCTCGACGACGACGACCGGCAGCCGCAGCCCTCGTGCTGGTGAAGGAGGGCCCGCGCGGACGAAGCATCAGCAGCCCCTCGCGGCACCCACACACGAGCCCCATCGGCATCGGCATCGCCAGCAGCACGCCCACCCCCATCATCATCATCATCATCATCATCATCATCATCATCACGAAGCCCGCGAGCGCCATGGCGACGGCGGGCAGCAGCTGGCCCAGCCTGCTCTGGACGCGTCCGTGCGCACGGCGGCGTCTGCGCGGCGAGACGCTGAGATGCGCGAGGCGGCGCTGCGGGGGCGTCTGCTCCGCGCGCCAGCAGGGTCTGAGACGTGGCTCGGGCTGCTCGGGAAGGGCCCTGACTCCTCCTGCTCGGTGGCGGAAGCGGCGGCGGCGGAAGAGGAGGAGGAGGAGGAGGAGGATGGGGGGTTGGGGGAGAGGGAGGGGGAAAGGCAGGAGGAGAAGGAGGAGGAGGAGGGGGGAGAAGGGCAGGACGCGGCCGGTGGCGTCGAGGGCACGTTGCGGACGAGGGAAGAAGCTCTACGGGCACGGCTGAAGCGGGCGAGATGAAGCTAAGCCTCTTTGTGCGGTTCCCTTTGCTCCCAGTTATATGCAATACGCCTTTTTGTAAAGCTCGTGTGTGTGTGTGTGCGTGTGGCATCGTCGCGAGCAGTACGCGGTTAGCCGGATTTGAAAATTTTTGCGCGTGCACACACACACAGAGTTCGCGTGCTGTTTCGCCAGACGGCCCTCTCTCTCTCTGCTGCGCCGCAAGGCGTGGCTCTAGTAGTGTGCGAAAGATGCGGGAGTGCGGGTTCCTATTAAAACAGTGCGGAAACGATTGACATCGGGGGCTATGCTATCTGCTAGATGCTAGTAGTAGGGTAGTGTAGTAAGGTAACGTGTAGGGGTAGGGGGGACACGGCGCAGGAAGTACTAGAGACACATTATATATATAGAGAGAGAGCGAAGGAGAGTGAGAGTGTGTGAGGCTGCGAGACGGCGACAGGGTGGTAGCGTAGCGAAGTGCAAAAAAAATAAAAATAGAAAGAAAGACGGGAATGAGGTTGCGGCGACAGCAAGAAATGGGAAAAAAATAATTATATCGGGGCCCGGGAGATTGTAATAATGAGTGTAATAAGATAGCAGTGGCGGGGGCGAGGGCGTATGGCGTCAAGGAAAAACGTGGCAGGGAGCGTCGTCGAGGTAGCATAGCGGTACACAGGTGGGGAAAGACGTGTGTTTGCGTGCGCCGGCGGCCGCCTTAGTGGCGTTGCGGATTAAAAGGAGAGAGACAGAGAGACAGAGAACAGAGACAAAGAGAGAGGGAGAAAGCAAAGCCAAGAAAAGAAACCAAAAAAAAAAAGGTATGCCAGTGTACACCAAGATCGTGTGGTACAACAAACAGAAAAAAAAAAAACGGAGGCGCGGGGGAGCATGCTGCCGGGGGCGTGAAGCGTGATGTGCGCGTGCGCGGCTTGCGCCGGCGATTTTTCTCTTCTTCTTTCTCGCCGAGTGGTATGAGTCCGTGTGTGCGCACGCACGCGCGAGTGAGTGGGTGGGTCGTCGGTGGCGCGCGCAACGCTTTAACGTGCGGCACCACCGTGGTCGTGTGACTCTTCTTCATCGCCGTCGTCGCCGCCGCCGCCGCCGCTGCGATGGCGGTGTGGTGGCGGTGGCGGCGGCGGGGGGAACGGCGGTACAGAGGCGAAGGGCGCGCGGCCGTGCAGCAGCGATGGCGGCGGCGGCGGCGGCGGCGGGCGCAGGGGCAGCAGAGGCAGAGGCGGGGGTGGGGGGAACGGCGGCAGCACGAGCGGCTCGTACTCGTACGGCGCCGGCGCCGCCGCGGCGCGACGCGCGAACGGCGAGAACGTCGGTTCGTCCCACTGCGGGCGCGGCTGGAGCGTGAACGGCGGCGGGAGGCGTTGTCCCGGCGCCGCGGCGAGGGGCGAGCCAGGCCCCGCAAGCGGCGGCAGCGCGAGCGCAGGGCGCGGTTCGCGCGGGTCTGCCGCGTCGGCGCCGCCGAACGTGCGGCTCCGCGGGCGCGCGAGGCGTAGAGGCGGCAGGCGCAACAACTGCCGCTGTTGCTGCTGCAGTAGCGTCGCGCTGTCCGCGAACGCGACAGGGTCCCGGACCGGCGGGGAGCCCGGGCGCGCGAGCGTGCGCAGGCTGCGCGGGGACAGGCTGCGCGGGAGCGGCGGGGTGCGCGGGGACAGGCTGCGCGGCGGGGGCAGTGGCGGCGGGGAGGTGCCACTCCCGCGGCGGCGGCGCGGGGCGGCAGCGCCACCGCTCGTGTCGTGTGCCGTGTGCGGCCGCGGCACAATGCTGCTGCTGTTGTTCCCCGGGGCAACGGCGGTGCCCCATGTGTAGGGCGGTGGCGGCGCGGGGAAGCTGTGGCGGTGGCGGTGCGTGGGGAGGAAGTCGGGCGGGGCGCGCGGGAGGAGCGGGCTCGTTGCTGCCGCCGCGGCCTGTGCTGCTGGAGGGCGCGCGTAGGGCGTGAGGCGCAGCGCGGCGCGCGGCGAGAGGGGACGTGGCGGCACGGACAGCGGCGGGAGAGGCATAGGCACAGGCGCAGGCGGACTGCCGCCGGGGATGCCCGGGCCCGAGAGCTGCTGTGGCGTGGCGGAGGCGTACGCGTCGGGGCCTGCGCCGGCGGGCTGCTGCTGGTGCTGCTGGTGGCGCTCGCTGCTGGGCCCCGCGCGCGGGCTGGGCTCGCGGAGGGACGAGCCGGAGGGGATGCTCGGGTAGGGCCCGTACTGCGGGGGGCGCGTGAGGGGCGGGACGTGCGGGCCCTTTGGGCGGCGTGCCTTCTGGCGCTGGTTCTGCAGCAACAAAAAAAGGTGCAGGGGGAGGCGAGAGCGGCGCGTCAGAAAAAAGAGGCCCGTCAGGACGCCAAGTTTGTGGTGATGTCATATGGGGGAAAGCTTACTTGCCTGGAACCAGATCTGTCGTGTTTTTTTTTTTTTTTTTGAGAGGGGCGCAGGGAGGACAATCGGCAGTCAGAAATCGACGTGGTCGTGGCGTCGGCCACAGGGGGAGAGAGAGCACTGCTCACCTGCACCTTGCGCGCACTTAGCCCGATGGAGCGCCCGACCTCTTCGCGCATGGCGGTCGTCGGGAAGCGCGACTGCAGCAAAAAAAAAAAAACGGCACAAGAGAGACAAAAGTCAGCGTTTTCGCGGCTCCAGCACACCAAACCCGGCTGTAAAAACAGGGCGCACCTGCGCGAGCAAAGCGTGGAGCACCGCGGCCTGGTGCGGCGTCGTGAGCGTGCGTGTGCGTTTCTTCTTCTTCGGCTGCTGCTGCTGCTGCTCTTGGTGCGGCTCCTGCTGCTCCTGCTGCTGCCGCTCCTGCGTGTCCCCCTCCTCCTCGCGCAGCGCGGGCTCGCTGGGGGCCGCAGCAGGGCCCGCGCCCGCGTCGGCCTCGGTGTCGGCCAGGTTGCCGCCCTGGGAGGAGGACGCAGAGGGGGGCGTGGAGGCGCGGCGCGCGCGGCCCTTGCCCTTGCCGATCCTGTCTCTGTCTCCTCTGTCTCCTCCGTCGCCGCCGCCGCCGCCGCCGCCACTGCCGCCGCCATCGCCGCGTTCCATCGGGATGCTGCGTGCGCGAGACGGTGCTCGTGCGTCGGAGGAGGAGGAAGAGGCGTCAAGGTGTGCCCAGGAGCCGGGCGGGGCGGTGGGGGTCGTGGGGGAGTGGAACACGAGCGCGGCGAGCGCAGAGACAGGAGGGTGGTGCTGGGCGAGGGTGTCGGAGGGCGGTGCCTCAGGGGGCGCGAGCGGGCTGCGGTGGCGGCTGCTGCTGCTGCTGCTGCTGCTGCTGGGGGAGTGCGAACGAGAGGAGGCAGAGGAGGCTGGAGAGGTGGGCGAATGCGTCATGTATGGCGTGGTGGTGCGCGCCGGGTGAGGACAGGTGGTGATGCAGGGCGCGGCTCAGAACATTGGGTGGGGTGCTGGTGGCGGTAGGGGCGAGGGCGGGTCGTCGTCGTTGTCGTCGTTGTTGTCGTCGTCGGTCGGGCGGGCGGGCGGGTCGGCGAGGCAAGGCAAGCGAGGGTGAGGTCGTGCACACGCGTGAGGGTGCGTTAAGGATTGGCAAAAGGAGGGGAGACGCGGAACGAAATGGAAAAGGAACGAAAGGGCCGGGGCACGAAGGAGGAGGAGGAGGCGGCGGAGGAGGAGGGGACGTATTTGAGGGAGATGTAGGAGGGCCGGGGAGCGGATGTTGATATACTTGAGGGAGGAGGAGGACATGGCCGGGAAAAAAAAGGATCCCTGGCAGAGGTCGCCGGAGGGAAGCCCCTCTATACGTGCCCTGGTCACTGGACAAACTTTGTTTCTGGTTGCCAGAGGGCGTGCTAGACCAGATTAAGGCGGAAGACGCCCATAGAGCGAGAGGTGGGCGCGACGGTGGGCGTCGGTGAGTATCCTGTCGTCAGGGGGTTACCATCGAGACCAGGCGTTGATTGCGGGCTGGCAGGGGCCCCCGGCGATATGCCCGCTGTTAATTGCGATGGCATTGCCGTGCGGCGAGGACCTGGATGCAAGAATGACGTGTCAGTAGTTCCTGGCGAGGATTGACGATCGTTTGTTGCGGCTGCGGCTGCGGCTGTGGGGGAGATCACAGATTGTGCCAGCGGCCACCATGGCATACTTGCAGCGCGCGCGCGCAAGTCTCAAGTGCTCACTAGCACTTCCAGGCATGAGCTGGAAGTTATGGAAACGCGAGACAGGTCATCAAGGAGCAGGCACGGAGCATTGAAATCGGCGACGCGGGGAAGCTCGCGTCTCTCTCAGACCGAGTACTACGCCGCGGAGAGGGCCACGGGGTCTTTGACGGTGCCCGTTGATCCAACGATTGGAAGACCTCGCCCGCCTCGCTCATCGGTAACGGGGTCAGACGGAGGATCGCCGCACTGGACGCACTCGCAGATGCAACGGCAGCCGTAATGCCCGCGACGCTTGATTCACATCTCTGCGGCCCACGTGAAAAGAGGGAGCAGCGGTGCGAGGGCGATCTCGGCCGAGCAGTGGCCTTTTCCAGCGACTGCAGAGCACAACTGGCCAAGGTTCGCGTGCCCAACGGCGCGGTAGCTGCTGCGCGCGTCCGCGTCCGATCCCCACGACCCTTGTCGGAGGGAAATGGGCCAGCCCAGAGTCGCGTCCGGTTTGCAACTCATTTGATGCACAAGGTGGTCAAGACAATAAGACAGTGCGCGCCGACGCAGAAATGCCGCCGCGGAAGACTGCCCAGGGTTCAGCGCAAGGCGCCCGAGCAGGGCTTCGCGTGGGAGCCCTCCTTCGATGGCTCCCGCAAGTGCCGCTCCGTGCGCTGGCGGAGAATAATGTCCAGTGCGATTCGCTCGGCATCGTCGGTCGACTCGACGGGCCTCATCGCCAGGAACGCTGCGGACGCGCGCATCGGCAAACGAGCTCCCATGGAAACACAGACCCATGGGCATCCCAGCTCGCAAGCCGACCTGGAAACCTTGTACACTCCCATCCATCCGCCGCTGACCGTGTCCACATTCGCTAGCCCTCAATTTGCCGTAAATGAAACGTTAATGAAACGACAATGAAATGCCATCCAAAACCCGATTATCAACCCTTCCCCCCCCCCTCAGCTCATGCCTCGCTACCATGTTGCGTTGACAACTTGGACCAAGGGCAAGCGAGACGCACGCGCGCCCCCCCTCCCCCCCCCACGGCCCAGATGAGTCACCCACGCTGAGTCACGCGACTGCCAGCCGACCGCGTCTCCCGCATCCAGCGGAGCAGCGCACAAACGGCTTAGTGCCCCGTCGCCCTCGAGCCGCCCGCGTCGCGTCGACGCGTCGCCCAAACCCGAAAAAAAAAAAAACACGCACACACACAGCGAGACCCGGGCTTGGTGGCGCCGGCGGCTATCGGAACCAACGCGCGTTTAGCGCCCGGAACGCTCCAACTTGGTCCGAGACCACGACCGTCTCCGAGGTTCTGCGCGTGTTCGCGTCGCATCAGTGCTCTCTGGGATACTCGTCTAGAGTCGCATAAACGCGCGTCACGCTCGCCCTCCCCCCCCTCCTTTGTTGCTGCCCGTTGTATCGCGTTCGACGCGTCGCAGGTTTCAGGGCTACGACGCGTGCCAAACGCTCACCGCGACAGCAAGACCGCCGACCCACTCCTGCTCTCTAGCCCTGCCTTGAAAACCAAAAAGAATGCTGTACACGCTGAGCAACGCGTGCCCCGTCCCGTGGACGGCCGTCCAGGAACGCTCCCTCTCCCGCGAGTTCCCCGCCGCCACCGGGCAGACCACGGCCGCAGAACGCGTCGCGCGGACGTACTACCAGTTTCTGTGGCTCCCCGAGGTGTGTATCTGTCCGTTTCAGCACGCGAAACGCGTACCGGACGCGTTTTTTTTTTTTCTTTCTTTCTTTCTTTTCCTTCGTCTACCAGCCAACGTCTTCGACGCGAACGCTGACCTTTTGCGGCTCTGCCACAGTCCATCATGCCCCTCGACCGCCTCACGCGCGCACTCGCCGCACCCCCGCAGCCGCAGCCGACACAGGCGACACAGGCGACGCCGCCGCTGCTGCTGCTCCTGCACACTGCCCTCCGCGCGCTCCTGCACACCCCGCGGAACGTCGCGCTCAAGTACCGCACGCGCGTCGCACGCGTCCTCGTCGACGATGGCAGCGGCGAGGAGGAGGAGGAGGAGGAGGGGCCAGGGTGCGCGGCGGAGGACGAGGTGATGTACGTCGCGCTGCGGCATGACCGAGGCGACGAGCAGGACGGAGGCGAAGGCGAAGACAGGGGAGAGGGGGGAGAGGACCAAGGGGAGGATGCGGGCGCGCGCTGGCGAAGGGGCGTCCTCGAGCGCATGGAGCGGCGCGAGTGAGTGGGCCTGTTTTTTTTTTTTTTTGGCTACGGGTTGGTGCCGTGTCTCTGACCGCAAACTTTCTTTCTTTTCTTTCCCTCGAGCCAGAGCGATGATGCAAATCCTCGTGCACATGCTCTTGCTCACCCTTCCGCCTCCGCCCGCAGACAAAGACAAAGACAAAAACAGAGCCACACCACCCGCCGCACCGCAGCCGAAATCGCGGCGCACGACGCGCCAGCGTTCCCCGCGCGGCGGCAGCGGCACCGACGCCGAGGAGGAGCTCAGCGCGCGGCTCGAGGCGCACATGGACAAGCTCGCGATGTGGCAGCTCGTGGCCACGCTCGACGGCAGCGACAGCGCCGCCTCCGCGCTGCGCGACTGGACGCAGGCGTTCTGCACGGGCGTCGTCGAGCCGCTGTGAGTTTTTCCTCTCAACTACACACCGTTGTGTTTTTTTTTTGTTTTTGCTCGAATAAGCGAAAAGTCTGACGCCTTCCCCAGGTTTGGAGAGAGCCTCCCCGAGCACTGTGCGCTCCTCCGCAGCAAGGTCTTCCGGAGCTCTCCCTTTGACGACGATGACGACGATGACAACGACGATGACGGTGACGGTGAAGGTGAAGACGACGATCTCGCCTCGCCACCTCCCGAGCCCAGACGTGCGGGCGCGACACAACAACAACAACAACAACAACAACAGCGCGCGGCGACGCCCTCGCTCTCCGCGACGCTCGCGGCAGAGGAGCGCGTCCGCGCGCGCGCACGCTCGCTCAGCACCGGGCCGCGCGTGCTCGTGCGCGAGGTGAGCATGGCGACGGGGTTCCGGGGCCGAAAGTCCGCACCACGGGAAGCGGAGCAGGAGCAGCGCCGCCGGCGCCGTCTCCGCGGCGAAGGAACAGCAGGGGCAGGGGCAGCAAGGGCAAGAGCAGGGGCAGGGGCAGGGGCAGGGGCAGGGGCAGGTGGCGGAGGAACAGCAGGGGCGGCGGGAGGAGCGGCGGGTTCCCGGCACGGCACGACGCTCGTCGCCGCGACGCCTGTGAAGCCCCGCGCGTCGCAGGCACAGGCACAGGCAGAGGGGCGGCCGCTCCCGGCGCTCGTTCTCGCGGGCGCACGGGCGGTCGAGGGCGGCGCGGACGACGCGGAGTGGACGGTGCGCGCCGACACCGACGTGGACGACGATGCCGACAACGACGCGGATCAGGCGGCCGAGGCGTGGCTCGCAGGCACGCCCACGCGGAAGCGGAAGCGCGGGGCGTGAGGCCCGGCGGAACGTTCGCGGAAGCGGATGAGTAGCGAGCACGTGATCGTCTCGGACCCGCATCTTGATGCTTGTATCATACCAACTCTTTTTTTTTGATCACCCCCTCTGTTGATCGAACCTGATTGTGAACCACCACCGCGCCCGTTGTGTTGTTGGTTGCGTCGTCGAAAAAGTCAATGGTGCGCAGCCCTGCGATCGCTGTGTGTGCGAGTTTTCGGCCACGCCCCTGAAGCGTTTCCATCCCAGACGGACGCAGTGTCACCACCGGAGCAGAACAGGGGCGCCACCGCCACCGCCGCCGCCGACGCAGCAGCACCTGGGCTCACGCCCGAGGCCATCCAGTTCGCGCACCGCATGTTCAACGCCGCGCGGCACGGCGACCCGGTGCTGCTGGAAGCCATCGCGGCGGGTCTGCCCACGAACCTGACGAACGACGAAGGTGCGCCGGCCCACGCATACGTGCGCCCACATGCACCTCCTTTACCGTGTGCGCTGACACCGCGCGTGCGTGCCCGAACGGCACATATGTGGCACAGGGAACACGCTGCTGATGCTCGCGGCGTACAACGGGCACGCGGAGCTCGCGCGCGGGCTCGTCGCGCGCGGCGCAGACGTCAACCGCACGAACGACCGCGGCCAGACGCCGCTCGCCGGCGTCGTGTTCAAGGGCTTCGACGAGATCGCGCACGCGCTCATCGACGCCGGCGCCGACCCGAATGCGGGCACGCCCACGGCGCTGCAGACGGCGCAGATGTTCAACAAGACGCAGCTGCTCGCGCTCATGCAGGAACGCGTGGACCAGGGCGCGCCGCCGCCGCCGCCGGCTACGATAGAAGGGAACGCGGCTGGGTGAGAGAGGGAGCTTTGGAGGAAGTACTGCGAAGCATGTGGCGATAATCCAAATATTGGTATCCCTTGTAAGACAATAACGACCCATGTACTACTGTCCAATTCCCATTTCAGAACGAAGCTCCTTTAGACATTGCTTTGCGAGGGTCCTTGCGTCCAGCTCCACCGCCTTGCCCTGCTGCGCCTCGCCTGATGTGATCGAGTTCCAGCTCAGAAGGGGCGATCTTGCTGCATCTGAAGATGCATCTTCTGTGTGCTCTGTCATGACCCAGACGGATGGAGGCTTCCGGGGGATCGCGACAATCTCACAGAAGACGTCAAAGAAATGGAAGAGATGTGCCTTCGTTGAACGCTTCACGGCGTCTGCAACAAGGGCCGAGGGACTCAAGGATGTGTCGATGGCTATAAGGCTGTCAGCCGGCTTCCTACAAAGTACAAACACGGTATACACACCAGGTTGTTCACTGCTGTATCTTGATGGAGCCTCTGACAGCGCAGCCCACAACGTCCCAGGCCATAAACGTAGTCGTAGCAGTCCACGGAGCACGTACAGTAGTTCCTCTTCCCGGGCTCTGCCAGGTAACTCAGAGTTAGCGCGCGATTTGACGAAGTGCAGCGGATACGAACCTCGGGAAGGGCAGGTTTCCCCTCAAGGCTTCATCGGCGACATAGCTCACAAGTGTGAAGCGACACCGTTCGAGAACAGACGGCAGCGCGAGGCTGGCGACTCGTCTGCGAGCTCCGAGGCGATCTACAGATACTGGCTCAGCGATGCTTCAATTATTGTCTGGTGCAGCGCAGACTGACCATGGGCAGCGTCAGAGCAAATGACGAAAAGCAGGTCGAAGCACCAGTACGAGAAGCGTTCGCGCGGGACATACCGCCCGGGCTCCGTCGTCCCTTCGATCATGGGCACGTCGCCGAACTTGTCGACCTTCTCAAACTCGTCTGAGGCCCTGTTGGGATTGCGGCCGGGTGAAGCGGGCGACGGCGGCCGGTAATCGTGGTCGTCCCGGATGCGGCTGCCACGCTGAAGCACGGTCGCCAGTTGCTGAAGGATGTAGTCGGGGACGCGGAGGTCGCCGAGGTATGGTACTACGTCTATCTCGAGTGCGGCGATGAGAGAAAGGTCGAAGGTTTCTTCTGCCTCTTGTACGTCCAGCGGGAAGTGTTCTGCAGGCGTACTATTTCTTTACGTGAGTCAAGCGCTGTCTACGAGTAAATTGCTACGTACCAGTCCGCTAGGATACCTCCGCGGAACGACTCGACAATCTGTCGCCAGATGCCTTCTACTCTGTTCGTTTCAACCTCTGAGCACGCGCCGTGAGCTATCTGCATATTATACAGTCGCCAAAACCCACCGTCTCCTAATCGCTGCAGCTGAGGCCCACACTCCTTAACGACCTGTAGAAGGTGCGTGGTAGCACTTTTCCACAGGGGCAGATCCTTTCCATATTTTGATGATTGCGGACATTCGTATTTGAGCTTGATAGGTATCGAGTATGCCTATCACCAATCAAATCAATATCGTAAGAATTTTGGATATCTGACTAACATACCGAGAGAATCGTTTCCACAGTGCCATCGTTGTAGATGGCCGCATCCTCTCTAAACTGTAAGAAGAGCTTGACGACTTGCGGCATCGTCTTCTTTGACAACGCAATGTAGGTGACGCGCTTCTGCGGCCGGCCGGACTTCGAGCTGGTGGTAGATTCTTGTACATCGAAGGAAGCGAGGAAGGGAAGCGTAATGTATTCGGAGAGATCCCTTATAATCAGGGAAGGAACCCCTGGAGTTGAGAGTTCAATCTCATCGATGGCTTCCATAACGACGTTCTGTACCGTGTGTCTCAGCAATAGTCGTAAAGAAAAGTAAACAAACGCACTTGAACAGTGCTCATGGCTTCGACATCCGGCCGGAAATCGGGAGAGTTGGAGTAAGTCAAGACACCTGTAGACCCGCTAAGCATTCCTTATCGCTGAACGTTCATGGTCTCCGTACCTTTCAGCACAACAACGAGCCGGGTTATTCGCTCCAGTGTCCATTCCTTCTTCTCAAACTCCTTATATGCGTTCCTGGTGCTGCGAATGACCTCGACAAATGTCATGAGGCTCTCCTGAGTGAACGGCTTGGCCAAAAGCTCCGAGTCCTTCCTGACAACTGCCTCTCCCATTCTGTCACAAGCCTGCCAGACGACCTCCAGCGCATCGGACGCGCGCGCGCGAAGATCTCCACTGGCGGACGCAAGTGCCTTCACAGCCTTGTCCAGACAGCGTAGCGCAGGGGCACTGATCGCGCGGTTATCGTTCAGCCACGAGTCCTCGATGTGCTGGACAAACACGGCCCACGCCTTCTCGAACGACTCGAGGTGCATGATCTTGACGGTAAGGAAGTCATGAAGGATTGACCCGACGGACTGCAGCGCGAGCACCTTGGACTCGTCCCACTGTTGATCCACGCCAACCGTGCCAACGCCGTCGGCGGCTGGGGTTGTACTCGCTGCCTGCCGGATGGACTGGGTGATGGCGTCCAGGAGCGGAAAGGTCACCTTCCAGATACACTCGTCCCAAGTCGCCAGGCTCAGCGTCGCGCCGTACAGCTGCAGGGTGCGGAAGAGCGTCTGGATCGCGCCGACGCGCACCTCGGGGCGGGCGTCCGTACAGAGGCCGAGGATCTCGAGGAGCAGGAACATCCACAGCGCGCTGTACTCGGGCTCGTTCTCCGCGTCCTTCCGCTTGGCCTGAATAGAGTCCGATACGCCCCAGAGCAGACTCTCGGCAGCGGTCAGCGCGATGTTCGTGTCTGCTTGTCTCCCAAACTGACCAAGCGTGGTGATGCACAGACGCAAGTGCTCAGGAGAAAGCCCCGAGAGCGAATCGCACACCAATGTTAACGACTGGAAGGCGATCTTGACCAAGGCCGAATAGCTCCTCTCGCTTGCATAGCCTAGCGGTGGCGGTCTGCGCGGCGCAGCACCAGAGCCAATATCTGCAGGGACTGTAGGAGCTGGTGCCGCAGGTTTACAGACACTACCAAGAATCTCGAAGATCGTCTCCCAGCCGACGACGAGCGTATGGCCAGACGCCTGCAAGATCTGGTGTAGTGTTTCAAGACCCATGCGCTTGACCTCAACGGTGGTGGAGTTTCCGAGCGCACCACCGTCGGTGATAACTTGTTGCGCAAGGACATCGAGCACTCGCCGCTGGACTTTCGGCTGTAGGTCACCAGTCGTTGATAAATTGCGAGGTACGACAATGAGGATGTCATCAAGGATGTGTGCCGCCTGCAGCCTGATGGTCTGTGGAGCCGGCGAGTGTTTGACGACAGCCAATAGGTGAGACGTCACAATGTCCCATGCCACTTTGGGGTCACGGTAGATGAGGCGATGTATGTTTAACTTGGCTACCCCGCCGAGTTTGTTGATGCCAAAGTCCCCGGAACGCTGGTGTCAAAAAGTCAGCACAAACCTTGCATATATGCGCAACATACGCACCAAAGTACGGGGCAAATGTATACCACTGATACGCCTCCGGTTCGCCGACTCCCCGGGCAGCATCAGACTGGGGCTCGTAGCGACTTCTTCGCCAGACGCAGACAATGCCCCCAGGCCCTCGAGCTCTTCCGACTGCATACCAACCATGGCGGCACTGAGCCTGCACAGGGCCTCTACAAAATGGTGGAATGCGACATCGTCCATATTCTTCGAGGCATCAAACAGGCGCTGCATAGCGGCAAGCACGCTCTCTGCGTCGAGGTCGGCGAGGAGCGGGTGCCGGCTCTGCGATTGGGCCAGCGACGCCGACTGGGGTGCAGGGCTGCCTGTGCTCGAACGTGTGGGTCCCGACACCGACCGCCCGATGGGCGGCGCAGGAGCTAGCGAGTTGCGCTTGCTCGGCGGCTTCGCACCCTTGCTCGTCAGCACATAGTCCGCGTTCTGGAGCGTTTCGAGGATGTCGAACCAGCTTTCGCCAAGCGAGCCTGCGAGAAAGAGCGCCGAAGCGATGTACGCTTTCAGACAGGCGAGATTGCGCTCGGACAGTCCCGGTGGCTGCGGGGGTGCGGTCAGCCCAAGGTTGTCTGTGATTGCCCCGGCAGTGCGTGGCGTCGATGGTTCGATGTAGTTCTCGAGGCTGGAGACGACACGGGCGGGGATAGCAAGCTTCGCTAGGCTCGTAAAGAAGGCGTCCCGAGGTGTTGATAGGCCAAGCATGCCGGAAACGTTTGTCATTGCCTGGAAGCTGGCGAGGACGTCGACGAAGAGCTCGTCCGACAGATTGGTCGAGATGATGAAGGATAGGGCTGCAAGGAATGCGGGCCAGCCGTTCTCGACCATGTCGTGCACAGCCCGCAGCTGCATAGCAGAGGGCTCTTCCTGTGGAAGTACGGCTAGGTCCAAAGCCGGAGGTGCACGAACGACAGGCTCTCCAGCTGCGCGGGGTCGCTGAACCATCAAAGAATTGTACAAGGGCCCTACAAACGAAGCGAAGCCTTCAGAGAGAGATACGAGGCACTGCACGCCAATCAGATAAACGTATGGCTCCGGTATTGGTGGTGAATCGGCCTTGTCAAGTTGGTCGATGCTATTTTAAAGTGTTATCAGCAGCACTGCGGGATTTACAAAGCCCACTTACCACTGCAGCTTCATTGCCGACCCCTGTACACTCAGACTGGCATCTGAGCTCATCATACTGGCTACGCCAGACACAGTTGCGCTAGCCGCATTTGCGACTAGCCCAGCAACACCACCAACGTCCAAATACCCCGACCCGCCTTCCGGTGGAGGCCCTCCGATACCAAGCATCTGGGTGCCAACTCCGAGTAGCGCAGGCTTTTCGGTGACCAGACGCTTGAGCGCAGTGACCAGCGCTGTGAAGACTTTGGAGCCAGACTCTTCGGCGTCATAGCGCACCCAGACGTTGCGCATGAGTTCCGCATCGCTGCACAAACTATTGAACATCCGTCAGTCTGCGCGGACGAGTGATATAATGGAGCGCTGGCGTACCCTCGCATGATTTCCATAGAAAGCACGCGCATCCACTGTGGGCGACCGCCATGAGTGGGGTGGAAGCTCTCTGTTGACTGCGAAGGCGTCATGCCCTCCGATGACTCGGGACTGACGATTTTGATTAGCAGCATGAGGAAGACTTCAGCTTCGGTCTTGAGTTCGAGCAAGAATTGTTTTAGGAGTAGGAAGACGACACGCGTGGCCCGCAGGGTTAGAGGGAAGCTTGGACGGTCAGACAGGGCTTTGAGCAAGAGTGGGCATAGGTGATGTCGGAGTAACATGAGAAGCTCATCATGCTGTTTAATCCATGAGCTTCACAGTGTCGTTCGTGATAGGGATGTGCTTACCTTGCGGAAAAGGTCATGATAGTTCGTAAGCACACTTTCAATCAGCTCGAGCGCGAATGTCTTGCGCAAGGATTCGAGTCTCAAGAATTTCGGCCGCTCAGAGTTGGCAAGCAAACAGAGATCTTCAAACACAGCGAATGCATCCCTGGCAGAAGGACCTAACGGTTTTGTTGTCCCGTCGGGAAGCGCAACCTCTTGTAGGTCGCCGGGTTCGAGAATGTCTCTGCGGTCTTCGTCGACAACCTTATCAACGACGAACATAACAAGTTGCCGAAGCGTAGCAGCAGCAGTGGATGACACCACCGCGATTCGCGACTCTTGCAGCTTGAAACATAATAGCAGGGCCTGTGCACAGTTTAGCGATGCATACCCATCAGAATGAATGAGGTAGCGCACCTCTCCAAGCAAGTCTCCATGCACGTTAGGGAAATTGGTAATCAGAGAGAGCAACGTTTGCAAGATCCGCAGCTGGATGTCGACACCCTGGTTTATGCAGTCTGTCATAGTCTTCACAATGACGGGCACAGCAGATTGTGGGACGGCTTTGAGCGCAATGAGCCGCTGCAGCGAGCCGAGTGAGATGGCGACGACTTTCGCATTCTTTGTCTCGCAGCCCATAAATACTGGTCGGAGGAGGTCTTCAGACTGTGGTCCATCTGGGGGACATACGAGGTTGGACACCTGTCAGCGAGAATGCAATGTGCCACGCACCGGAAGCCAAGTTCACCGTTGCCTGCTCCGGCGACGACCTTAAGATAGCCAACGACTTCTCTGCTGCCTATATGCAACCATACGCTATCAGGACACCTCCAGACACGCGGTATACAGAGGACAGACACCTCTCGGACATCAGGGTGCTTCCGTCTCGTCTCACTGGCTAAAGACTGGGCAGGGTGAGTTACAGGCGAAGTTCTAGCAAGAATCCACGCACCTGAAGCTCAGTTACTAGAAAAGCTAGCGAACTCATGATGTCGACAACATGAAATTGCAGGATGGCAGGGCGCGCAGTACACCGCATTATACTTCGGCTAGCTCGGCCAGCGCAAACCCTAACCAGACGCAAGACGGGCGCTTTGAGGCGCGACGCGAACACGAATGCGAACGCGACGTTGGTTAATTTTCGATCGACTAGTGGCATTGGTTATCAGATGCGCGCGTTTTATCACAGTAATCTAAGGCACAGTGCTCACAAAAACTGTTCTATCACTAACCAGTCTCATCCCAAGTCAGTAGACATATACTATCGAGCTGCTGGCATTACCCGCTGTCAAGGCTCAACAGCGCACATGTGACTAGTTTCGCAGTCTGCCCCTCCGTTATCTCCATTCGTCCTGAGAGACAGGAGCGCGGCAAGCACAGTAACGTTAAGATTTTGGTAAATATGCACAGGATAACAAATAACAGCGGTATCGTGCATCCGCCCACAGAGCAAGAACCTAAGAGTGTAACAAGTTGTGACTATTCACTAACCCTTTTTCACCCGGTCTCATCCCACGTTAATACTGTTATGACGCCTTAATGACTGTTACTCGTGAAGTAGCAAGTGGGTCGTCCTGCTTCTCTCTCACCAAAGATGCGTACCCTTTTAAGTCGAGATTTGACATAGTTATAACTTGACTACGTTTCGTATCTAGTGCATGAGCGTATCCGATAGGTGTCGAGTTCCTTCTCATGCCTCCTAGCGGAACAAACGATTCAATTCTCGCCGACCCCTGAGGAGTCTTATTGATGGATGCTGATGGCATGATCAATCTTAAGTCGTTTGTGGTTCTTCGGAAAACCACAGTTAGCGAGTTCAACGAAATAATTTTTGATCAGTTCATGTTCTTGTTGAGCCAGCCCGCCAAGACGTATAGAGCAAATAAAGGCAGGGGCTGAAAAGACACGTATAGCAAATAAAAAGCGCAGCACGCTGGCATGAGACTCAGCAGTGCCGAAGCTTCAGGTAATTTTCGTCGTAGTTTCGCGTTTGGCGCACCCGACAAACGAGAGGTGTGTGCTTTGGCGCCACCCTCCTTTTGTCTGCGACGCAGTGGCACACGCCTCCTTTGTATTCATCATGTATATATACGCGTCGTACGCCTCGTGCAATTAACCATCCTATTCCCCTCACTCTCTCGTGTGCTTGAATTCCTCTACAAGAATTTTCACGGCTACTACCAAGCAAAGTCACGAAGTCACGACGTGGAGGACACGACTCGCGCGCTGTGAAATATCAACTCGAAGGCGCTCTGACCTCAGCTCGTCTCGGGCCGTTCAGTGCACCGGTTACACTGGCAGCTATCTCGGGACAATATTCACCGAGCCTTTACTAGCAAATATCAAGTCGAATGGTTAGAGATGTTCTTCAACACCGGCATATCATCCCTCATTCCAAGGGGGACCTCCATTCAAGCGCAGGCGGCTTACCCCAGACCCCGAAAACCGACTTTCGTCTCGCATCGTCTCTTGTATTGCACATCTAAGCCCGTCTCATTTACACCCGCAAAAGTACCCTTGGCTTACTATATGAGCTACTTGTACTACAATGCAATATTTTAGCTCTGCTTCGAAGTCACTTCTGTCTGTGAGCTGCTGAATGCACTTGGCTTTAAGTTGTGAAGGCGGAAGATTCGTACCAGGTAAGTGGGAATTGCTACAGGATAGCCAATCAGAGCCCTATTTGGCCAGTACGGATGGGGATTGTGTCAGTAATCGCAAAGGCATGTGGGATTCTCAGACGTGGGTGTCTGGTGAGTTATTCAAGTTTGGCCGGCCATACATATGAAAAAAGCAATGTAGCCAGATTGGCGTAAACGTGTATACTAAGTAACACGAAAGAAAATACTCAGCTCGTCTTGGTCTGCAGTAGCCCAGACGCTTCCATCCTTCAACTTTGAAGCTGGTGGCATCGGGAGTCCTTCCAAATTGCTCGTCACAAAGACAGGGCTCAACTTTTTCTTTTACGCACTTCAGAACAAAACAAAACATGCTTGCGGATATACTCTTCGAAGGCTTAGCCTGACTCAGGCTGGGATTCAACATTCATTTCCTGGCAGCTCTTACTAGGCGTGACGCCGTTTGGCATTTAATACCTCTCCCCGCTCTCGTAGACCTCTGCATAACGCAAAATCTTGAAGTATGCGCTGATTATAATTAAATTTGACTCATTGCCTTCAGCTGTATTCAAGATTCTATACAAAAACGTTAACGTCGCGCAATAGATGCTAATAGATGTCCTTTGCCTGAGATCTTATCTTATCTTGCTCCGAGTCAGGGGCGCCTGGAAGAGGTCGATTTCATCGGTTGCGATCGTGCCTAGTCGTGCCTGCGCCTTGTTCCTAACATCCGACTTTTCATTGAGCCATCAATTTGCCCTCACTCTGCGAAAACCATTGATGTCGAAGACATAGGCTGGGCGATGCACACACCGGGCACACAAGTTCCGGACAACGGATTCGATAAGAGGATAACCGCTGTCGTTCTCAGATCTTTTCGCGTGTACTCTTGAACCACGTGCAATAAGGCGCTGTTTCAGGGAGTGGGGTCTGAGTGGTGTCTCATCTACTGAACAAACCTTGGATAACTGCGCTTCGCTGCGTTGCTGGCAAGGCTGGACATAGCTACCACCGTCCTTCACGTCCCCGAGATGAATACTACCACTCGATACGCGATTCTCGTCCTCGTGGTGGTCGTGAGTATCACTAGCCCCTATTCAATTGACACCATTCATGACGTCCATCACAGCTGGGACTGCATTCAATACTCAGCTTCACCCATGAAAGCTATGGCCGAGCAACATCCCTCTCGAACATTTCCTCTAAGTTATCATTCAATGGATCTCTCGATGAACCGGACCTGGATGTCGATATATTAGAACCCAGAGCAAACGCAACGCTCTTAATGCTAGCACGAAACAGCGAGACTGACACTGCTGTCAGAAGCGTGCGCGAGCTCGAGGACCGCTTCAACCACAAACATCACTACCCCTGGGTGTTCCTCAACGAGCAGCCGTTCTCGGACGACTTCAAGACACGCGTGTCCAATGTTGTGTCTGGATCCGTCGAGTTTGGCTTGATTCCCCATGACCACTGGCACCAGCCTGACTGGATTGACGAGGAGAAAGCGAGCCAAGCTCGGCAGAAGATGGTCCAAGAAAATACCATCTACGGAGGCAGTGTTTCGTATCGCAATATGTGTCGCTTCAACTCCGGAGTAAGTCTACTTCTACCTGAATCCCCCTCCCCCTCTCCCCCATTGACTCCCTTGCAGTTCTTCTACAAGCATCCCATCGTCCAGAAGTACAAGTGGTACTGGCGTGTCGAGTGCGCCGCCCCTCTACTGAGCGTTCGAGCGTGATATTTATCGACTTTACAGGCCAGACGTACATTTCCACTGCGATATCGACGAAGACCCATTCCTCTTCATGGAGAACAACGACAAACTGTATGGCTTCACCATCTCAACCTATGAGTTCCACTCTACGATCCCCACGCTTTGGGACACCGTCAAGAGTGCGTTATCCTGCTATCACTACGACGCCTAGGCTAACGTGCGATGTCTCGCAGAGTTCATCGCCGAGAACCCGCAATACGTCGCAAAGGACAACGCGATGGGGTACTTATCGGATGACGGCGGAAACTCGTATAATATGTGTCACTGTACGTCATCGTCATCTCTTCTCACGCGTATCATGCGGGGCACTGATTGTGGTTGCCAGTCTGGAGCAACTTCGAGATCGCAAACATGGACCTCTGGCGCGGAGAAGCGTACACGAAATACTTCGAGTACCTCGACTCCACTGGTGGCTTCTATTATGAGGTGCGTGCACGTTTCGCGTTTTAGGGCACTCGGGCGTCGGCTAACGGTCATCTCTCGCGTTAGCGGTGGGGGGACGCCCCGGTGCACAGCATCGCTGCGGCGCTCTTTGCGCGCAAAGACCAAATCTATTTCTTTGAGCAGATCGGGTATGAGCACAACCCCAACACACATTGTCCGAAGGTCGCCGGCCTTTGGAGCGGAAAGAATTGCTCGTGCAACCCCGCGAATAACTTCGGTGCGTGGTTCCAGTCTTCCAGCTAGATGCAGCGCCGTAACATTGCCACGCGTAGATTACAGTATCTATTCTTGCATGCCCCAGTGGGAACGCATACAGTAAACAAGATCTCTTTCCACTTGCACTGGCAGGCCTCACATTCGGATTATCTATCGGCTGGTTGTTGCAGGACGTCGATAATTGGTTCTTGAGTATGATAACAATAACCCGTACTAGACTGTACTATTAAGTTATCTATCCGGATCCGCTTGCAGCAACTAATGTACCCTTCATTGTAGTCACGAACTCTTTATCTAGCAGATTTATCATAGCATGCTCTCCGCTTTTTTATTGCTTACCGCACGTTATGAAGAGGTTGAACACATGGTGAGAAAAACGAGAACCGCGGACTGCGGCCCTGGGAAACGTGGATACCAATGATAGTTCTGTCTCTAGGCTCCAGGTGTGTTCGCTGACAATGATGACACTCGCAGTCGTGCAGCAAGGTTTAGAAAGTTATCCTCTAACACTGCAGAACGACTCATTATACAGTTCAATTACAGGCCTCTGCACACTGTCGGCGATTGGTCCGCAGGCCGTATCTCTGCGTCGATGAACCCCTTCCAGCTTGGAAGCCCGTTCTGGCCTGACAGGCCTGCAATGGCCAGTCACGGACGTTTCTTCGCCGTGGGGCGGTGCAGGTCAGGAGGCAAAGCATCTGGGCTACCTAGGAAGTACACGGTGCGGGTGCCGCGCCACCTGCGCTTCTCTGCCTCAAGGTTTCGGGCCCCGGCAGTCTTAGTAGACGTCCCCTCGGTACTGTAGTCCGGATATAACACAGCAGAAGTGACTCAGAAGGCTGGCAGGCGCCAGAATCAATGTCGACGGGGGTTGTTATCTGCGATTTCGGAGGATAGCTGGCAGTGGGTGGTATTGCCGTAGTAAGGAGGCGGCACTTTATCCCCTCGGTGTGACCTTAAGGTGACCTTCCCATCGCGCGCGTACGCGCTCACGTGTTCGACGCGTTCACCCTTCTGCCTCTGGCGCGTCTCATTCTCGTCTTCTCCCCAGCCTAGCATGTCAAGGACACATTATATAATGTACAGTAGACAAGAAATGCAAGTAAGATAGGTGGCAAATGGAACACCTTGGAACCATAGCGAAAGGTGAGACGTGTCAACCGGTGCCCCACCACTCGTTAGACCGACGGACCACGACAGCGAGTATAGGCAGCACCGCCCTCGCCTAGGGAGATGAAGTCGGGCTATTTCGAAGAGTTTTTGCCGCATTTTATTTATGTAAATAAAGCCTCAGGTGGGTTGATTCTCAGCTCAGCACCCTTTCATCGCTTATGGCTGACTGATCACAGCAGCAGCCGGTCTGCGAGGATCGCGGCTTCGTTGAAGACTTCTGCACATGCAGCGAGGTAGTATGATGGCGATATGCCGCTCCATGCAAACCTCCTTTCCCACATCGTCTGGCCCACTTAACGCCTCCAGTCGCAAGTTGAAGCAGGCCCACTGAACTCAGTACAGCACAAATTATTTTGCAGAGTGAGCTCCGGATTGGTACGAACTATAACTCGGACCGCTCTTTGGCAGCATGCATTCCAGCCAATACGCCGCATACAATGTGAGGTCACCACCAGGGATCCCACGCGCAACTGTTTTAACTTTTTGGGCCCAACAATGCACCCATATATGCCATGGGCATGTAAGTCAAGTCGCTTTACTGATATATGCACACTCTGGGACAGCCCTATATTTGCGGACTGTCATGAATATTACGCATTCCGAACGGTTCTCCCGGATTCCATGGTATTCGTTCACTTTCTATACACCTCCGTATATTTGTAGGATATTCTAGATATTCAGTCTGACATGTATATAAGGAGCTCATACTGCTCAATAACAAGCCAGACTTGAGCTGGTCTTTCCTCACTCACATTCCTCTCATCTGTCTCCTCAGCGTTGTCGTAGCTCAGTCCAGTTGGATTGTTAGTTGCTGACATTAGCTCGAGTCTCCACCAACTGCCCTACGACGATCCTCGTCACTCTCACACCAACCATCACCCATCTCCACATGACGATCCCATCTCATTTCACCCAACCGAAATCTCACCCCAATCCTAACCCTATCGACTCTACCACATCAAGACCCCGGGAACCCTTTTTCGTGCACTTGCACATAACCACTTCCTCATCCGAACCCTGGTAATCCCTTGCTCCGTTGGAGCTCGACCAGGTCGTGTCTGTATTGGATTCGTGCCCCGGCCTACCATAGCTGGCGCTAAACGTGTTGCGCAGTGCACATGGTTATCCTGAGTACGACGTGGCAACCGGCTGAGGCTGGGTGTCGGAAAAGAGACAAAGCTTCGTATCGGCGATCCCTACCCCGGGTGTCGGACCGAGAGAGACATAATTGCTCTCTTGAGGCTTTGAACTATATCGTAGAACTATAAAAATTCGAAATTCCGTATATACACCGACCAATTCCCTATCTTGGCAAACTCTACCTCTGATCTGGTCGTTCCAACACGATTGGTCCCAGAGTTGCTGCAAGATAAGCTTCATGGACCCGATAGCATATGACAATGCTCTCCTGTGATTGTAGAGGATATCAGCATCGAGTATTAGGAGAGAGAACCATCTACAAATGCGGAGATCCTGTACGATACTGTGTACAGCAGCCGTGCCCACACTCTCCACACAATAGTACTCGTTGCCCACGGTGTGAAGAGGAATTACGCGGAGAACTAGTAACAAGGGTAAACACCAGAGAACCTTCCGAGTCCCTCGCAAATCCCGAACCCACAGCATCTACCTCAGAACCCAGAGGAAGACGCGACACCCTCGATTCAGTCACCGAACATCTCTGATCAATTGCCCTCGGAGAATCCGAAGTACCACCAGAAAGACCACCAGACCCTGTAAAAGAAGCCGTAGAGGATTCTGAAGCATCAAATCCACCCTCTTGATGTTCTCCCACTCCACCTTCGTCTCCATCTGATCCCGGCGCAATGGCCGAGAACCAAGACAATGCCGTGCTCATAAATGGTAGCGCGATGAAGCCCGATGCCTTCGATGGCACGAAGTCCAAGTATATCGCTTGGAAGACACAGATGAAGCTCTATGTAGTAACGCAAAGGAAGCGACTGCCTGAGCGATTCGACAGGGTCTTAATGATCTTGTCCTACATAAAAGGAGGTCATGCTGGCGAATACGTCGCCACATACATGAAAAAATACGACACCGATGAAGACACGGTGATCCAGACCACGGCAGAACTATGGACGGATCTGGATAGACATTTCCTAATCGACGAGCAGGCCGAAGCCTACGACCGTTTGCAAGCAATGCAGATGGGAGCGCTATCGGCGCAAGAGTTCTTCTCGAAGTTCGAGTTGTGCACCTTCCAGGCAAATATTCACAACTTTGAAGCACACTTCCAGGAACTCAAGTCGCTTCTAGAAAAAGTGCTCCAGGCCGACATCATTTGGCTTCTGTACAATTCATCGGAAGAACTCCCCGCCACATATGCACTCTACAAGCAACGGGTCGCGCGCATTGACCTGAATCAGCAACAGTATCGCCGAAGAAACCCTCAGTCCCAACGACAGGGACAGTTTCAACCAAGGCAGCAGCAGGCGCAAAACCCACCGTGAGCGCAAATGAATGCACCCGCACCAGCAACTGCTACCGCGCCAGTTCAAACACAGCGCGACGGAACCGGTGTCACATTCGGCGGCAGGGGACAACTGATGGATTTAGATCAAGCGTGGCGCCAGGATCTTTGTTTCCAATGTGGTCAACAGGGCCACATATCACGAAATTGCCCTAATCGGCAACAAGCTCAACAAGTACGAGCCGCGGAAACCCCGGTAGTTCCCACCACCAATACGTTCGCACCACTCGCATCACTGAACGAAGCTCCTGCCGCGACGGCAGAACCGTTCGACTAGAAGAGAGCAATCCACGAAGAAATTCGTGCGGCCATGAAGGGTTTTGCAAGCGGTCAGCCGGGTGCGTAGCCAAGTTGACCGAAAAGAATTTCACAAACTATCTGTGTTCCTGGTTTGGTGTACCCATGTATATACCAGAAAAAGGGGCGTCCGCAGAGCGGCGCGGAGAGGCACAACCCTCTTGCTTAATTCCCCCCAATAAAAAATTATTGCCTACACCAGAACATCAGACCGAATCTACGCAGTGGCAGCGCCACACACCTTGGACAGCGGCTTGGATCCACCAATGGATAATCAGCAAAGAAGCCTCGGCGCTTAGATTGCTGACTGAATGGGTACACTCAAAGAAGAGTGTTGATGCTTCCGAAGCCTGTATGAACCAAATCAGGCAGATGAAAGAAGAAGAAGCTATAGACTTCTTAAATGAATTGAGAAAGCAGCCTCGATTCATCCGAGGAAGGAAGGGGACACAGATGGACGTCCCCATGATTATAACCACTCTGGACACGCAGCAGCGCTTATCAGTCAAAGCGCTATTAGATACAGGATGTACTGGATCTTCAATTTATGCGCAGTTTGTCCGCGATAACAACATCGCTACAAAGAAACTGCCATCACCGATCCCTGTCTATAATGCAGATGGCACGCATAATGCCGGCGGCGCTATCACAGACTTCGTTGAATTAAGGGTGGAAATTCAGGGCCATATAGAACGACTTCCTTTCGCAGTTACCAATCTAGGGAAGACTCCAATCTTCCTTGGATATGAGTGGTTACAGATTCATAACCCATCTATCGATTGGCAAAACCAAATCATTCAGTTTGATCGGTGCCCGATTACCTGCAAATATGCCGCCCGATTGATTGATATTGATGCCGATCAGGAAGAGCCCAGCGATCCGGAGGCTCGCCTAGAAGAAGGGGATAGAATCTTCATTTTAGACCATGAAACGTACTTCGCGACGGGAGCAGCACGCATTCGCACCACAGCCACTGATCTAGCGATCAAAGAAAGTCTGAAACACGAAGCCAAGACCTTTGAAAATACCATCCCAAGTTACTATCACGACTACTCTGACGTATTTAGCAAAGAAGACTTTGATTCTTTACTGCAAAGACGACCGTGGGACCATGCGATCGAACTTACACCAGGCGCGCAACTGATCAGTTGCAAAGTTTATCCTATCTCTGTAAACGAACAAAAAGAACTTGATGAGTTCATAGAAGAGAACCTTCGAACCGGGAGAATTCGACCATCAAAATCTCCGTGGGCTTCTCCTTTCTTCTTCATCAAGAAAAAGGATGGACGACTTCAACCCGTGCAAGATTATCGAAAGCTGAATGAGCTGACGATTAAAAACCGCTACCCACT